ATGCTTATTCTTGGTGGTTCGTTGCTTATCAAGTTGTTATCGCTGTGCCTCTGTCTTTGGTCGAGGTCCCCAACGAGTTGGAGGAATATGCTTCTTCTCTCATCTCAAGTCTGGAGATGTACTTCTCGACAGCAATAGTTGGGCAATATGGAGCTCGGTTGGCATTGCTGCGTCAACTTCAGAGCCATCTCAAGCTATTGACTGAAGATTACCCAGTACTTCAACTTATTTTGCATGCGTTGTCCAACTTCATCCAGTACTATTCCCGCTACGAGAAGATTATGGATGAAACTATCTACAAAGGACGCCTTCCCATTGAGAAGAAGATGAAGGACGTACTGCTGATGGCTAGCTGGAAAGACACAAATATCAATGCACTTCGGGAAAGTGCTCGCAAGTCTCACCAGAAACTTTTCCGAATCATCAGAAAGTTTCGCGGTGTTCTTGGTCAGGAAGCAAAACAAATTATTGAACAAGGTTTACCTGATCAAGATGTCCACCACGCAAATTATGTAGGAGATAAATCTCCTATTACGGATGTTTCTGCGGACGTGTTTTCTAAGCTTAACAACGCTCTGCCAGGGTGGACCGATGGCCACAAGCGACTTGCTAACGTCTCTAAAACTGTCTCTGTCATGCGAAAGATCTCAGACCATCCAGAAATGACAAGCCAGGTACCTCAAATTGTTGATGACTACGTCTCTAGCTTGAGCGAGTCAATGACGGAACTTCGCAAAGAGACACCACCATTTTTGACCGATGAGAACAAGGACCAAGTCAAGCACTTGAAGACAAGAAAGAGGAAACTGTTTGCAGATACCCTGCGCGATCTTCGGCAAATGGGTTTCAAGCACAACCTAGGACAGGACAAGCTTGCGGAGCAGGCATCACTATCAGTTGTGTTGTCGTCAATGCAGCCTGTGCAACTTCCTTCGAACAATTCTGCCGAAGCCATGGACTATCACTTGCACAAGATTCTCGATCTAGCCCCCAAGGTCAGGGCTGCTTCTCGAGATCATTCTGAGGATCTTACCAGTGCCGAGGTTGCGCGAAGTGCTGGATTTGTTGAAGGAATGCTCAACCTTTTACTGACTCAGAGATATTCGATCACATCTGGTGCCTCCCTTTTATCGGTTCTTGAACAATCGACAGCGCAATTCAACCGCCTTGGACTTTCTCATGAGCATGGACTTCTCATTCGTAAGACAGCAGTCTCCGACTGGAAACGCCTTGTCCCTTGGCTTGTTCAGATTCTCCAGCATGCCATTCATTTGATTGAAATCCATGAGAAGCTGGGGGAAATGAAGCACACTGCGGCTATAGAACAGCTGAAGTCGTGGCACGGGCGATTCGAGTCTCTCCATACTTTGAATGTTGGGTTCGGCCAGCTTCCAGATGGTGTGTCTTCCGAAGCAGCTGCTCGTGCTGAGACGAATTTCTCGAGTGAATTGGCTAGTTTCCGCGCCAACCTCGAAGAATTGAATACGGAGCAGCCGGAACTCTCTTTCATTCTTGTCCAGATTGTTGGCTGGACCAAGATTACAAATGAAGCCGCACCTAGCCTTACATCCGACGACATGGAGATAACCACTTTTGCAAATGCTGTCTCGACACTTTGCGACAAAATCCTAGTCGCGATGGAGAGCGTGAAGAAGGCCGCAAAGGGAATTAATCACAAAGAGGGCGAACCTGCTTGGCTCACCACTCACGCCGACGGCTTCGTAAATCTCTTTACCAAACTCCGTATTGCTGAGATCGAGAGGAGTGTGGCCAGCTGTATCAAGATGCTGAAGCAGATTCATCTCGAAGAACCGAATCTCAGCCAGGCGGCCATGAGTCTCATGACGATCGCATGTCCTGTCCTGAATGAGTATGTTAATCTCGCTCAGCAGACCTTGATGCAAGTTATCGACATACACAGCGCCATAGCACATATGTCCTATAGCATGACCAAGACGTTCACTCAAATTTCCTCTCAAGGGTTCTGTACACCACAAGAAAAGTCTGATGAAACATCTGGTGAATCTGGTAAAGTGGAGTCTGGAACTGGTCTTGGTGATGGTGAAGGTGCTGAAGACATCAGCAAGGACATCCAGCCTGATGAGGACTTGTCCGAGCTTGCCCAAGAAGCCAACAAGGAGGAGAACGGCGAAATGGAAGATGAAAAAGATGCGGTGGATATGGCCGATGAGGAGCTTGAAGGAGACATGGGCAGTGTCGATGGGGCCGATGATGATGATGAGGGTTCGAAGAATGGAGATGAAGAGGAGGAAGAGAACGATATGGATGAAGAAGCTGGAGAGGTCGATGACCTAGATCCCACTGCCGTTGACGAGAAGATGTGGGATGGAGAGGATGAAGAAAAAGCCGACAAAGACCAGCAAGGTGAAAAGGCCAAGGGCCAGAAGAAGGACGATGAGCAGATGGCAGCAGATGAAGATGCAAAGAAACAAGAGGGCGAGGAGCAGCCAGATGTTGACGACTCTGGTGAACAAGACGCAGAGGAAGATGAAGCTGGTGCCGAAGAAGAAGAAGTCAAAACCCAGGAGGAAATGAATAAGCAAGATCAAACCGCCCAAGAGAATGATACACTGGCGCTCCCTGAGGATATGGAGTTGGATCTTGATGACGATCATGAGTCGGCGTCAGATAGCGATGACTTGGATGGTCTTTCGGATATCGAAGAAGAGAAGAAGGAGGGAGAGGACCAGGAGATGAGTAATGAGGAGGAAGATGGATCAGATGACGCTGCGGCCCAAGCCCAGCTTCAAGAAGAGGCCGGAGAAGAGGCCGAAATCCAGGAAGATGAAGAGATGCCAGAAGAAAAGGCCGGCGGCAAGGATGAAATCGACGAGGAGGCCAAACCTGAGGAAGACGAAGAGGACAAGGACCAGGAGGATGCTACAGATCAGAATCAACCGCCTCAAGATAACGCTACCGCGGATACCGACAATGCTGCACCAAGCGATGTCAAGAGTTCCGGCCAGGATCAGAATGCTGACTCGATGGATGTCGACGATAACTTCCAAAGCAACGCTGCCCAGCAGGAGGATGGCGAGATGGGAGAGGGAGCCGCGGATCAGGACACAAGCGCAGGGAACAAGGGATCAACTTCGCAGTCCAAGGAGATAATGGATAGGGCCGAACAGGAACAGGAAAAGGCGGATTCGGCACGCAGTGATCCATTTAAGAAGCTCGGCGATGCACTTGAACGCTGGCATCGACAGCAGGAAGACATCAAGGACGCTGAGTCTTCAGACGCCAATGAACAAAACGCACCACAAGACCCAGGCGCTGATCAAGGCCGTAAGGAATTCCAGCACCTACAGGACGATGAGACTGCTACAGACACCCAAGCCATGGGAACTGCGGATGATGAGCAAGTACAGCCCATCGACGAGTCTATGGCTATCGATGAGGAGAGGCAAGATCCTACAAGCCGCCTGATGGACGATGATAAAGAAGAGACTGAGCAGGATACTGATAAGATGGACACTGCTGATTCGGGAGAGGCGCCAGATGCCAGCAAGCAAGATGCAGATAATGACCAGGACGAAACGCGCTCAGGGGTCAAGACACGTCAAGGCAACTATGACCGTGAGATCAGTCCTTCAGATCAGGAGGCGCAATTGGATGAACAGGAAGATGAGGTCGAGATTCAGGAGACATGGACTCAACTCTCTTCAACTCACATCTCGGATGAAGAACGGCCACTCCGAGATTTTGGCGAGTCGATGCAACAGTGGACTGAATTCCAGACCAAAACACATTCACTCTCTCTGGCTTTGACATCCCAACTCCGACTTATCCTTACCCCTTCACAATCAACCAAACTCTCGGGAGCTTTCCGTACAGGAAAACGACTCAACATCAAACGCATCATCCCTTACATTGCATCGAGCTATAAGCGAGATAAGATCTGGATGCGACGCAGCATCCCGACCAAACGTACCTACCAGATACTGCTTTGTGTGGATGATAGTAAGAGTATGGGCGAAACATCATCAGGTACTCTGGCCATGGAGTCTCTCGTCATGGTATCACGATCTCTTACCATGCTGGAAGCTGGCCAGGTTGGCGTCATGGGCTTTGGAAGTGATGTTTTCACAGCCCATGGCTTAACCGAGCCTTTTGCTGCAGATGCTGGAGCCAAGGTGTTGCAGAAGTTCAACTTTTCTCAAGATCGTACCGATATTGCACTTCTCATCCAACGAACCATTGAAACGTTCAGACTTGCACGGCAACAGGGCAGCGGCAACTCGGATCTCTGGCAATTGGCACTGATTCTCTCTGACGGTCTTACGCCTTCATCAGCCCACGAGGGCATCCGCCGAATGCTGCGAGAGGCGATGGAGGAGCGCATCATGATTGTGTTTATCATCATGGATGATACGGGCAAGAAGAAGGGAGACAGCGTACTTGAGCTGAAGGAGGCCAAGTTTGTTCGGGACGGTGGAGAAAGCAAAGTCGTCATCGAAAGATATTTGGACACGTTCCCATTCCAGTACTACCTAATCGTTCATCATCTTGAAGAGCTGCCAAGCGCCCTGGCTGGTCTCTTACGAACATGGTTTGCTGAAGTCAACGCCTAGGAGAAAGACGGTTTCTCTGTATAGGTCAGGGGATGGTATAGGTTGGCGATAGATGGTTGCATATACTGGCGTTTACGGAGTAATCTGATATAATAACAATTCTCTATAGAACAGGGGCAAGCATTATTTAGACTAGGCTGTGGACAAAATTACTTCACTTTAGAGACATTAGCTTGATTCAACTATTCAGAAAAGTCATTTCTTGCCCCAACATCCAATTGTGAATGCAATGGATCTGATAAGAGACAATTGACATCATCGTCAATGACTCTCCATGGTATTGGGACCTGTGGATGGACGCCACTGTCCACTAATGTCTCAGCTTATACCTAGGTACTTAGGGTTCAGCGGGTCAGACTGCTAATGCAACAGCAGTCGATCACCCCCACTTTCCCACTGCCGTTCCCCCGCGCTGCGGCTAACTTCTATCCCGTCCCTCACCTCAGTCACCTCTTGGAACTCAACCACCTCCAAATGTCTCAGATCTCGATTTTTTTTCTGGAATTGAGATCTTAACCATAGGCTGGAACTTAATCTGTACGTTCTTCTTTTCCATTCATTGTATCGACTTGGTGAATCCTCGATCTTAGCCTTGCGATCTCGTTATGCAAGTTCTCTCGACTGTCATTTCTCGACGTGGGTTATCTCGGTTGGCTATAGGTTCGCGGGCTGCGGCAGCAAGTATCAGTAATTCAGCGACCTTGAGATTGGTTAGCACATCTCTAGAAGGCACTGCCGTGACTCGTCCTGCTCCTGGCTCTACGTTACACCAGATTCGCGCCATGTCTTCACCAGCGCAGAATGAGCTGCGGTTCAGTAAGTAGTACTATGATTTGATATGGGCCACATACAAGGAAGAGAGATGCTGACTTGCGGCGGTCAGAGAACCCAAGGATCTTGTATGTATCATTACTTTCGATCTGACAGAAACACCTAATTAAGAGTGGGATAGCGTTTGCGATATTCAAGAAAAGTTTCGCCATGTCATTCACGAATTCGATAGCATGTATGGCGACCTAAGTTCATTTGACGCCACTCAGCTAATCAACCTCAGCGTCCTCACCACCCAAAAGCTCCTCAAATTCGCAAACACTCTCTCCGTTCCCGTCGTAACCACGACCCAAACCTCAGCCAAGCTTGGTCCCACGGTTTCAGCTCTCGCGCAGCTCCTCCCCTCGTCACCACACGACAAGACACGTTTCTCCATGTCCATCCCCTCCATCACCGTCGATCTACCTCAGGGCTCCGAAATCGCTCTTGTTGGTATTGAGTCGCATATTTGCATTACCCAGACAGCGCTCGATTTGCGCGACGCAGGGCATAAGGTATATGTCATTGCTGATGGAGTGTCGAGCTGTAATCCCCGCGAAGTCGACATTGCCCTCGATCGATTGCGCGCTGAGCCCGGAATCACGGTCACGTCGAGCGAGAGCTGGATGTATGAATGTGTGGGAGATTCGCAACATCCTGCTTTCAAGGGACTGATTGGTGTTGTCAAGGAGTCAATTGCAGACACCAGAAAGGTTTGGCAAGCCTTGCCTCCTGGATCCAAGATCTAGGCGCAGTGACATACTTATTTAATGATAGATTAGACATACATTTGCATAGTACAAACATCATTGCTGTCAATTTCTCTTCTTTGCTTTTCTAGCAAAGCATCGAATCGCCTTTGCCTCTATTTGTTTTCTTATTTTCTGTTTTGTTTCGTTTTATTACATCAAGTCGCAATCGTTATTATCAATCCTGTTTATGAAACCCGGATGGGTCATTGCGATTCTGCAATTCTTCGAGTCTGCCCATTCATGGTCTCCATAGACTAGAGAATGAACTTCAAGGGACCTGAAAGTCTACAAAGCTGATAAAGAAAGGGATGACTACTGGCAAGCCATCCAAACCCATTACTCTGAGCCCGCGGTTGTTTTGGGTTTGGACGTTGGTGTCATCCATGAGAACGCTGAAGCAACTCCGACAGGGTTGGCAGACCTAGGCAGGGAATTGTTGCTATTGGCGTTGGCGTTGGCGTTGGCGCTGCGACCATCACGACTTGGAGGTGGAAGCGACTGTGGCTGCGATTGCGCTTTGTGTTCGCTGCTCATACTCACCGCTCGCTTAGCCTCCCATCTATTGGCAGGAGTGCCACCGTTCTCCCCAACGCTAACTTGACTCTTGCGTCGACCGTCTCCCGGGCCTTTGGACGAAGAGGCATCATAAGAAGAAACTGTCCTTGAGGCCGACTTCTGGGGCTTCAGAACTTTCATGTTGCGGCCTCGACCGGCAGGTTGATATCCACTCAATGAACCATCTCTATGCGGGCCGTCCACTCCATTCCCTGATCCATGGCGCCATGATCCCCAAATGCCTGAAAGGGGTTCTCGCCTGGAAGTCTCGGAGGCAGAATGCTCAGCAGCACGCTCCTTAGGACCTAACTGATCTCCGTTGGTGAGTCCACGAGACCTTCTCTCACTCTCCACACCAGACACACTGCCTCTGGAGCTGGGTCGCTTATCAGGAACCACCTCAGTTGCCATCGGCGACATTTCGCTTCGAGACTCATAATCCGGCTGAGGAGCCTCCATGTCAGGGATACTCTCCTGGCTAGCCTGGCTGAAATCCCCAGAGACGAAAGGAGCAGCGTTTGCATTCAACTTGGGCTTCTCCGGGACCATGTTGATGGTGCAAATATTCCGAAACACGTTTTCATCCTCTGGTCGGACAAAGGGGACCTGAAGTCGCTCTCGCTCGTCGCCACGAAGGGTCATGGTATTCTGGGAAAATAGAATATCTGCGGAATGAGCTCGGAGAGCGTCGCTGCCCAAGTAGATTCGAATGGCTTTGCGATCTACGGCCTGAATAGGCTGCTCTGTCACTCCATGGACCTCGAAAAAGACAGTGATTGAAGGGACAGGCCCATGAGGACTACTAGAGCGACTGCCATGATGTGTCACCACGGCCTCTGCAAAGTAGACATTCAACCTAACGCGATATGCACCGTCAACCTCGCGATGGATCTGATCTACAAGATCCAACTCTCTGAGTAGAGAATACTCAACCATGGACTTTTGCGAGCCACTGCAAACGTCGGCGTAGAGGAGTGTTGAGTGGCCAAAGTTAGGGGTTAACCAACATCGAACGATCGAAGGAACTGTGCCGAGGACGTAAAACGCCGCAGGGGGGCCAGGAATGTCGAACGAATCATCATCGTCGTCGCCAACAGCAAAGTTGTTATCAAGGCCTAAGCTGCTAGCCCGACCAGAAGCAATCGAGTGGTGAGAGTGAACTGAATGTCCAGCAGAACTATGTCGTCCATCCGACTTGTGAGATAATGAGCGCTCCATCAAAAGGCCACTTCCAGGACGAACAGGACCAAAATCTCCCGAGTGACGATTACTTGGGCCTCCCCAACTGGATCCGTGCAGGGCGCTTTCGTCGAATCGAACACTATTAGCCCGCGAAGCAGCGCCTCGGCGAACCGGCTCCTCCTCTGCTGGTCCAAGATGAAGAGATCCTAGAAGCTCCTCGCCTTGCTCATCCAAGTCATCAAACATGTCATTGTGTGGGATGGAAACAGGTCCTAGAATTTGTAAGGAAATGATCAAAATGTCAACAGGCAGAGAACTCACCTGTTTGAGGTGTGCCACTCAAGACACCTGGAAAGGGAGAGTTCCAGACAGACTTCAACGCGGCATCATCCGCCTGTTTCTTTTCCAATCGAAGAAGCCGTTCAGCATGATTGCTCTGAGTATATTGTACTTGCTTCACTTCCATCTGCAGACTGTACAGATCTTCGCGAGAAACTGGAAATCTGGGATCCATCCCCAGAGCAGGTCTGATTAGACAACAAGGCGCCAATTCTAAGGGTAGAGAAAGCCGATTGACTGCAGTTCGCGGGCAGGTGGCTCGACTAACAAGGATAGGGAGAGGGCAATCGAGAGACGAGGGGGGGGTTGGAGGCGTTAGTAGGGAAGCGCAGAACAGACAATGGCTTTAATCGTACAGCATGAGCTTTGATCCAGCACAACTTTGTCGACAATAAAAACAATTGGTACTTCCGACCTCGATCCCCAGTTAAGATTTAGTTCACGAGGTCCTCCCTCCCCGCCGCATCGCCTAGTGTAGACCACAGGGCCTTCGACAAGCAGAGTGCGATCTCGAGAATCGCCTGGTCGTGGTGAGTAGTGGTCTCAAATAGAGCGACTGGCAAGTAGCTTGGCGTATGTTTGGTAATAAAGGATCGATTGAAAAGGCGCCAGCTCGAGAGTGTGCGACTTAGAATCGTGATAGTTGTGGACGTGACGATCGGCAAGGCGTGCTCGTTTATTGGCGAGTGTTGCGAGGCAAGCTACTGATGGAAGAAATTGTCGTATTTGAAGAGGTCTAAGAATATAGGCGTCACAGTTGATAGGAGATGGAAAGTAGAGAGATTGGCCAGATTTGACGTAGGCCGGTCCTGATATGAACGATAGGGGTCGGAGTTAGGTGTAAATGGATGGCGTAAAGCGGGCAAGAGGTTGAAAGCAGCTGGGATCGTGGGGGGCTTTTACGGAGGGGTAACGGTCGATATCGTGTGCTCGTAAGTTTGGGGGGAATCTTGGAGGCGTATTCGAGGTCGTAGAGGTACGTCAGGAGTTGGAAACAGGGCAATCATCAAAGTGTGAAGTCCGAAATGATGTTCAGATGGAACTGGTGTGGATTGAATTCGAGAAACGGAGCAACTTGAGGTCTGGGTACGTAGTCGAGACAAAGGCTGGCGCGCTAACGTGGCGGTTCCTCTAGCGCCTGTGGCGTGTTGAAGTAGCCCACTGTAAGCATTAAACGTCAGGGGGCCTAGCCACTAAAGGGAATACGATCGAAGATTGCCTCGAACTGTCATGACCCATGGAATACTGGCTTCAGGGAGCAACAGAACTTCTGGCCCTGAACCAAGGTGCCAGAAATATTAGTACCCACTTGTCTAGAGGCCTACCGACTAGATTATACTATACCTAGGACTCTTTGTCATTTATGATAAAAGATCCCAAGTTTTATAATATCCCCTAGACTTGGTCCCTTGCCACTATTCATCCGAGGTAGGTAGGTAAGGTACCTTAAGTTGTACCCATTCGAATAACACAGCATGTACCAATTTGTTGAATGTCCACAATCAGGATTCTCACATCTCACACAAGTGACCTCCGGAATGTAGCACGCATATATGCATCCCGTTTCCTGGGACAGAGGGGCTAGAGGGGTTACATTTCTGTAAGTCAGGTAGTGGGGTGAAATTGTCTTGGCATACCTGAAGTCACGCTCTCATTGCTGGAACATTGGGTCAAAGACACAAGAAACTCTGCACAACGCGTATATTTTGACATCTTGTATTCAATCAGTGCCTCTGATGTCGAATGCCATAATCTGCATCCCATCTAATCGCCAGTGTTCAGATTGGGCTTGAGCTCGAGCAGTTCTCGCCAATCTGGGATCACAAATCCCTTGCGATCATCATCCGCGAGGCCATGCCACTCCTTGCCAATAAATGGCTTGAGGCTCTCATAGAATACCTGATAACCAGATCCGCTCATATGGAGCCCGTCGTGAAGGAGAGTATCCAGACCACCCTGCTTACCGTTCTCGGGGTCGCCTAACCATGGTCCACCTGGGGTGTAATCGTCAGGAGTAAGGGAGATGGCCTTGTCCATCTGGGCCTTCCAGAGGTCGACCAGAATAACCCCAGGATTCTCTCGCGCGACCTCACGAGCCACCTCGGAGTAGGCAGCGCTAATAGCCGACTTGCGAACTGCTCCTTGGTGGCCATTCTCGATGGATCGAGGGGTTGTCTTGATCTCATCCAGGGGAGGGGGCGTCACCAGCAGAATATGGGGCTTGTGAGCAGCGATGCGCGGGTGGTTGATGATCTTGGTGAGGTTTTTCTTGTACCGATCTATAGGAACATGCTGCTTGGTGATAGCACCAGGAAGCACAGCATCATTTGCGCCAAACAGGAGAACCTGTTCATTTTTAGCCACACATTCTTCGCTTTATATGGCGGTACCGTACCAGATAGTCCATCTTAGGTGATGAGGCTGTACGCTCCGGGAAGATTTCAGGAAGATATCTCAGAGCGATGTCGGTGTTGAATCCCGAGTACCCCCGGTTTACGATATCCAAACGTCGAATGAAATCTGCATGCAAGTCAGGCCGTTTCCTATGTGGTCACTTATGTTGGATTCTCACCAGACTGGAGAGCAGCTTGGAAAGAGAAACCGTCTTGGATATCTGAGCATTGTTGAAACAAAGAGTCTCCGAAGAGAACAACCTGAGGAACTGTCGACTGTGATGTGTGAGCTTTTTCTTTTTGGCGTTGACTGTAAGTTGAGCGTTGCTTACAGCCATATTGGGACGTGGCAAAAGTCTTTTGGTTTGGTTGAAGCTCTCGTCGTCACGGGAAAACGTCAGATTTAAGTTCTATCAGATAGGGAGACTTGCGACCCTAACAGCCTCAATTGTGCGGTTAAATAGATTGGCAAGTCACCAGAAACCTGCGGCTTAAATGTTCGTTTCCAACGGGCTCTGTCCCACCTGTTTCTCATGTGCTCCTCTGCGCGTTGTGGGGGTTTCGAGCCAATAACGTAGTATCTTTTTAAGTCGAACAAGGCATATTGGATTGAGACATGCGTTATCTTTTTTGTCTATCTATGAACGAGATTTGGGAAGTCTCAGCGAGCGGAATAGACATCTTTCAAAGCATCATTTACCTATTTATTATTTCTTGAACAGGACATTATTCACTTCCTACTAACTTTAGGCCTTAGTTAGATGAGCCCCATAAGCAATGTACTTGACAACTATCACAAGATAGTCTTACGAGATGCTGTAAAGACTCAATCATAACCATTTGGCGACTTTTAGACCCTCGGTAATTTATAGGTTATCCACGGTATAGAATCTGATATAATGTCAAGGAGAGGCAGGAAAACTTAGGATCTCTTTTCTAAGTGATGAAAAGACTTAGGTAAGTTTAGTCTATCTTAGCAGGCGTTTAGACCAGTTTATTTTGGCACCCCGGTTTAATATCAGAAGTTTTCTTTCTCCTTGAGGCATATAGGAAAGGAACGCATAGTTGACCTCTCATAATATGCCCATTGTTGATCCTGACCCGGTTGTCGAGTCAATGTTCTTCTGGTCAATACAGCTGGTTGGATGGCGGGGCCAGAAGGATATGGCTCCAACTTTAGTACAGGGAGCTATGGGACCAACTCTGCCGAGAGTTAGTCTATTGGTCTTCTCAAGAAAATAGTGATAATTGTCATAATTGTGTTTGTAATTCATATTTCGCATATCTACCCGTAGAAAGTCAAGGTAGAAATAGATTCCTTGTTTGTCCTTAACGTCCCAAAGTAGTATGTGGGGTGGCTGTGGTGGCTGTGGAACCCGCGAGTTTCTTATCGATAACAAAGTTCTTTTTGTAGTCGCCAAAATATTTTCAGACCTGCTGCACTCTGATGCTATCACCGACCATCTCATCGACATCCTCACGCCATCTACCGCCCAGAGCCTGAGTCGCAGCCCTTGAAATCATGGCGACTGCTCTCGCTGCTCAATTGGCGCAGGTGGCTGCCAATTCGAAGTCCACTCTCAACGTTAAGGCGCAAAAGGCTGCCCATTCCAAGTCATTGATATGGGAACCTCGAGTCGCTGCTACTCAGAGCTATCAAACTCTTTATACAACCTGCTTCCAGGGCTTTGAGGAGCTCTGTCAACTCGATGCTCGATTCGCGCCCTTCCAGTCTACCATCTTCAGCGAGGAGAGTCAGAACCAGGATCGTACCCAGCTCACAGCTTCTGAGAATGAGGAACTGGACCGCCGGGTTGAAGCCTTCCTGCGCCTCGCGGGCAGTCGACTCAGGCTGATGCCTGCGATCAAGTCTATCGAGTGGCTCATACGAAGATTCAGGTAAGACAATGTATTCTGCGATTGGTGCGGGAAAGCAAACTAACACCGCGAAGAATTCATGAGGAAAACACACAAGCCCTGCTGCTCACTTTCCTGCCTTACCATTCCATACCAGCCTTCGCTACCCTCCTTTCGATTCTGCCGAGCAAGACCCCTCACGATTTCCGCTTCCTCGACCCTTACATTCGCTCAGTCACATCGCCTCCCCGATATGTCTTGGTCCGCGAGGCTATTCAGCACCCTTCATTCTTGACTCTCATATCCGAGTACACCCTCGAATCATGTCGGATGCAGTACAACTATCCCGCCTTGGTCTCATTCTGGGCCGGCATCATGACAGAGGCCGTGAGTGGTATCCTGGACAAGACGAGATCAGGCCGAGCTGCAGTTCAGAGCGAGAACGACCAGGCTTTGCTTCATCGACTGGGACCTGTCTTTGCTGAGTCCTTGGTCATGAAGAAAGTCCCTAGTATTCAGATTGCTTCATACATGGCGATCGCAGTGTTTGTCGCCAAGGGCAACCTTGAGGATAACGCTGTCACTGCATTCATGGACCAGACGGTTTATGGTTGGACTAACGACACGGTGCGGCCTGCTCTTGTTTGTCTGGCTATCTTGGCGCAATACCGTTCTGCGAAGCAAATGAGCAGCAAGACCACAAAAGCGCTTATGAAGGTCACAGATATTGGAAAGCTACTTGTAGAGATCGGCCAAGAGCGGCGGGTGGACAAATTAGCAAATGGTCTCTGTCTTGCATTGATAGAGAGACTTACCAAGAAGGGCGACGCTCGAGGTTTGGCGACTATTATCACTATTCTCAGCAGCTCGGTCCTCAAGGACAAACAAATTGCTGTAATTTTCAAGTCTCTTATCTTGACTGCGCATCGACTTAGCGATGATAATGACGAGGACGGTGCACTTCGACGGGAACTCGGTTCAGCACTGATTGCTCTGTCTCAGAGCACCGGCAAATCTGGCGACACCATCCAGTCGGTTATTGAAGAAGTCAAGTTCGATATTGAGGAGCTTGAGATGAAGCTCGACCTTTCATTCCGCTCTCGACGACTCCCCGACTCGATCAAAGACGATACAGAGATGGCTAATGGCAATAATGAAAAGAAGGCACCCCAAGATTTGGGTTTGTTGCTCGAGGAACTTTCCAGCCGCTCCGAATCGCTCTCTCCTTGTCTCGTGCCTCAACCCGGCGAGATCTTTGACGAATTCAGTCATATCTTCTTTTCTGTTGTTTCTGAGAGCTCGCAAAATGCGGGCCTGCTTTCCGAATTCGATCTCAACCCCAAGCTTCACCGACAGACTGCTTTCAAGGACTGCACGTACTTCAGTTTCTTCATTCGCATCTGGAGCGGTCCCTACCCAGCCCTAGCTCGTGTTGCAGCACTGGACATGGCTAAGAAAAGATTAAAAGTTGGTGATGCCGGAAAAGCCGATCTCCAGGCTCTTCTTCCCTACTGTATCTCAGCACTCAGCGATCCTTCGAAGCGCGTCCGCCAAGCCGCGGCCGATCTGATCACTGTCCTTACTGGTCTCTACACTCCTCCAGTTCCTTCTACGGGACTCGACCTCTGGGGTCAACAGAGCCTCTATGGAAAGTCCAAAGAAATAATGTCTCTACCATCTGATGTTGTCGCCAAGGTTCTGCATCTTCAGATTCTTCCTACCGTTGAGGAGTGTGTCATGGACCCTGAACATATTACTGCCGTCCTTCGTACCGCAATTGAGCAAGGCAAATACCAGTCCAAGCTGAACCCTGCATTGGATAAGAAGGACCATTTGTCTCAACCTGGAAGACTATCTTTCCTTCAGTTTCTCGCCTCACACATCGTCAACACACCATTGATTCTGGTAAAGAGTAGGTTGCTAAAGACCGTCAACGAAGTTCGAGGCGTCAGCACCACAACAAGAACGCAACTTCTACTCCCTGTTTTGCGATGGTGGGCAAGTCTGAGCGAGGATGAGGCAGCTAAGCTCTGCAGCGCAGAACGTCTAGAAAAGTCAGATATGGACAACTGTTTTGTCGATGTTGTGGTGCCAAACGACGTTGCAGGTTTAGAATTCTTCCTGGAGTTTCTCAGAGATCCAGACCAAAGAGAAAAGGCTGATCTTATTCGTGCAACTTTCACTCGCATGAAGAAGATGTGGTCTTCCATGAAGCCTAATGTCAAGTCAACAGCTGCTGATCAGTTGCTGGAGATCTCCCAGGAATCAGCAGTCTCAACTGACAGCAAATCAGTTGTTTCTGCAGAGGCGGCTGACTTTTTGAGGAACGTGCGACTCACCACCGATATTCTTCATGATTTCCTTCAGTCGATACAGACTGGAACCAAGATGGTCACCGAGCCTCCACCCAACAAGCGCCGCCGAACTAGCTCTTCTGGAGCCGACCGTGGTCTCATCACTCAGGTTACTCCCGAACTCAGCCAGTCGCTGCGAAAGGTCACATTCGTTCTGCAGCTAGTCGAGAACTCGGACCCAGTTGAGCATCCCGAGCTCTTGGATGGCCTGTTTACTGCCCTCTCTGAACTCCAGCACTTTAGAACAGTGGTCGGATCTGAGCTGGGCTACCTACAGAATCTCATTCTTCGAAGCCTTTTGGCCATGATGCCAGCTTACAAGGCGAATAAGAAGCTCACAATTGACAGCTCTGGCGGGTACGGAGATTTGCTTGTTAACTGCATCCAAAGATCTTCGAGTCCCGTTGTTCAGAATGCTGCCCTTCTCCTGATTGCCAGTCTGGCCACTACCGCGCCGAACTTGGTCCTGCATAGTGTCATGCCCATCTTCACCTTCATGGGTACCTCGGTACTTCGCCAAAGCGACGACTACTCTGCCCATGTTGTGTCTCAGACTATCAAGGAAGTTATTCCTCCGCTAATCGACTCTCTGCGTCAGGGGCAGAAGAGCCCTATCGCTGGTGCCTCTGATATTCTTGTCAGCTTCACAACGGCATACGAGCACATCCCCGCTCATCGACGACAGGGGCTGTTTGTTGCCCTTGTCGAGACTCTCGGTCCACAAGACTTCCTCCACGCTCTTATCAGTATGCTGGTTGATCGATATGGTGCGAGTGACGCTCTGCTGCAATTCATTATCGAGTTATTGAATCACTTCAGCATCCCAACACAACTCGAATCGCTCGTCAAACAGCTCGACCTTATCGCTGACCTGTTCAAGGCAAAGCCTGGCATCTCTCTCGTCCTCCTCGGTGTCACTGACGAGACTGATGACAAAAATAAGGACGTCGAAGCCATTGCCCTCCGACAACTATCGGCTTTCCCTAGCTTCTTAGCTAACAAGACACTCAGAGCGCAGATTGGAGGTTTGATGGAGAAGGATGATATGGAGGCATCGAGATTGAGGGAGCTCTATGCCACACTTCTTGAAAACATCCTTGTTCTAGCTGATACGGTCAAGGCGAATAAAACTCTCCATGGCCGCTGCGGACAGGCTCTCTCCAATCATCTCAACTTATTGTCCATTGGAGAGTTTATCAAGGCTGTTGAGAACCTGCTCGATAGACCTGACATGGGACTGCGGCAAAAGGTCCTACGTGCTCTTGAGGTTCGGGTGGAACAGGAGAGCAACACCGACCCAGCATCAAGGACTGTATTGCTTGCTTTCCTTCCGCAGCTTACGGCCGGTATCAGAGAGTCGACCGATATGCGATACAAGCACACCGCTGTCACATGCGTTGACAAGATTGCCGAAAAGTATGGAAAGAAGGACATCGAGGCTGTTGTGGCAGCAGCTACAACTATTGCTGGCGAGCACTGCTTGGGGCAGTCTGAGGAGCGCCTCCGAGTTATGGCTCTCTTGTGCCTTACCTCGCTCGTGGATGTACTGCAAGACGCCATCGTACCCGTTCTGCCGAGCGCAATCCCGCAGGCTGTCAAGTACCTGGGTGAAAGCTTGAGGGGGGATGCTCGCGATGAGGAACTTCATGTTGCTTGTTACGGATTCATCAGCGCTCTGGCTCAGCACCTTCCCTACATGCTTTCAACATATGTCGATCGCATTCTGGAAGTGTCCAACAGATCAGCCGAGATCGAATTGGATGATGATACGAAGGAAAGCCGTGTCGATTGTCTTCACTTCCTGGCTAAGCAATTTGAGGCGAAGGAGATCTTCTCGGCTTTGGACCGAAACTGGGATAGTGCCAGAAGTGCCGGCTTCTCCGTAAGTTTGATAACCACTGTGTGTATGAAAGTTGCTAACTTTTGCAGGCTGTTGCTGAATATCTCGATGTTCTCGGCTTGGCCATTGACAAGCACTCCAAGTCTGGCATTTCCAAGAATGCCACGCTACTATCGAGCATCCTCACAAAGGTCTTTGATCTGCGACGACAGGAGCGTGCTAAGGGCGAGATTGGTGAGCAAGATCTTTTGAGGCTCAGTGCTCTTGACGCCAGCACCAACGACAAAGCGTTGAAGATGATCTACAAGCTCAACGATGCGGCATTCCGACCTGTCTTTGTTCAGCTCATGGAGTGGTCAAGCTCTGGATTGTCGAAGAGCGACCGAGTGGGACGCTCGCTACGTCAATACAGCGTCTATGGATTCCTTGAGGCATTCTTTGGCACTCTTAAATCGATCGTTACCAACTACGCTACATACATTGTCGAGGATGCAGTCAGGATCTTGAAGTCGGTGGATCTGAAGAGCCCAGAGGAGAGACAACTCTGGTCAAGGGTACTACGGACCCTGGCCAACTGCTTCGAGCACGACCAGGATGACTTCTGGCAGGCTCCGGCCCACTTTAGCGCCGTCGGACCGGTCCTGATGGAGCAGTTCTCACATGCTGGTACGGTGGAGGTGACGGAAGAGCTCATCCCAACGACAGTGGAGCTGGCCTCGGCGGCGGATTCACAGGCTCACCAGAAGGAGCTCAACTCTGCCCTCCTGAAGCACCTGCGATCTGAGTCCGCGGCAGTGAGACTTGCCGCGGTCAGGTGTGAGCAGGCACTGACAGATCGTCTTGGCGAGGAGTGGCTGTCTATGCTGCACGAGATGCTGCCTCGCATTAGCGAGTTGCAGGAGGACGATGACGAGGTAGTTGAACGGGAGACACACCGATGGATAGTCAAGATTGAGGGAGTGCTAGGAGAGAGTTTGGATGCCATGTTACAATAGACAAAAGGAGAGAAATAATGAATAGCATGAGGCGGAGGAAGGGAGGGAGGGAGGGAGGACTGGAGTTGGCTTTTGAGAAGCTGGGAATAAGCATGCCATGACGTAGAAAGTTTACACTAGCATGAGCTATCAGAGGTTTACTATGTATGCAAAATGGAGAAGCTTGGTTTTTTAGCATTACCATGAGGCTGATGTGAGAGTATGTATAACTCGTATAGGTAGGGGTATATTCGGAGCGTGCTGTGTAGCAAGGGCATGTGAGTCAGCTGGTAGAAGAAATTTCTATGGTATCGGACAGCCGGGTCTTGGATATCGCAGATTCCGGAGACACGGATCAGTCCGTGACCGTGAGTCCAAGCTCGTGAGCGGAAAACTTTCAAGGTGAGTAAGAAGAGGAAAGGGACGGCTCCGGTGAATTATCGTTGGCGGAGCGCTCACCGGGAGGACCGGGGGCCCGGGGCGCAAGTACCGACTACAGGGAACCCCTCGTAGTTGATCTCCCGGAAGGGGTATCAGGTACAAACCAGGCTAGGTATGACACTGAGTAAAACACTACGTATGTAGCTGAAGATAGTGACGATGAATTGATATAGATAGTCTAAGTAGCTACTTAAAGAGCACCAACGCCCGCTTAGTTACGGCTTTTGTAATACATTCACTAAATCCCAGTCAACATTTGTTGAATACTCACCCATCATCCCTCTATCTCGGTTCTTCTCATTCTAGCGGAGGCAGCTAGAGAAACGACCCTGCCAAAACACCCACTTACACGGCGAGACTTGCGGCACCGCATACCCACGGTTTAGATATTCTGTTCTTTACACTGTTTACAAATCTCTATCGTCAAGAACTCATTGGCTGGCGTCTTCGTGATACTACGGGCTTTCTAGTCACGCGAAATTAGGAGATACGCCATGATCGGACTTGGTCTGGGCCGTAGGGGGACAGAACAGCGCTTGTTGGTGAAGTTGGGAAGAGTCACTTGCAAGAGACTGGCCAGTACAGTGACTCAAGAAGGTGAGTGCGGCGACTTGTTATGCGGGTCAATTGGCTTGTGCTTTTGCCTCTGCGCCTTGAGAGACTTGAATGGCCTCAGAGCACCTCATCTCCTGTCACCACACTAACTAACATGAGCTTTCTCTCAGGACCAAAAGAGCGCATCGTCGTTCTAGGCTCAGGCTGGGCTGGATACGCTCTCGCAAAGACAATATCTCCCTCTCAAGCCTCTCGGATTCTCATCTCTCCTCGCTCTCACTTCGTCTTCACTCCACTCATCGCCTCAACCGCCGTTGGCACTCTCGAGTTCCGAGCTGCTGTCGAACCCTGCCGTAAACTCGATCTTACAGAGTTCCATCAGGCTTGGGCTTCTGATATTGACTTCGCCAACAAGACCATCACAGTTGAAGCTAACCAACGTGATGGAGTCACGGCTCGCTCGGGCAAGGATCTGTTAAAGGGCCTCGAGTTCCAGGTCCCGTATGATAAGCTTGTAGTGGCTGTTGGGTGCTACAGTCAGACTTTTGGTGTGGAGGGTGTCAAGGAGCATGCGTGTTTTCTGAGAGATGCTACAGATGCTCGGACAGTACGTCTTAAAGTGCTGCAGAAGTTCGAGCAGGCTTCTCTGCCTAGCACAAGCGCGGCTCAGAGGAAACGATTACTTCATTTTGCTGTTGTTGGTGGCGGTCCTACAGGTATCGAATACGCAGCTGAGCTTCACGATCTCATACACGAGGACTTGGCCAAGCTGTATCCCGAACTGATGCCTCACGTTGCCATCACCATCTATGACATTGCACCAAAGGTTCTCCCTATGTTTGATCGCAATCTGGCCGCATACGCCACAAGCATCTTCAGCCGTGCAGGCATCAAAGTCAAGACCGAGCATCACCTCCAGGGCATTCGACGAGACGACGATGTCCTCCTCATGCGTATCAAGGAGGAGCCTGAAGAAGTCGCAGCAGGCGTTGTCGTCTGGAGCACGGGTCTCATGCAGAACCCTCTGGTTGGCAAGTTAGTCGGGCGAGAGGTGGAGGGCATGGGAAAGATCGCAAAGAACTGCAAAACAGGCGGCTTCGCTGTCGATTCTCACCTTCGAGTCCAGGTCGAAGCCCAAGACTCCAACGGCAAACAAATCACAAAGACCCTCCCGGACGTCTACGCAATTGGTGACTGCGCCAATATCCAAGGCGAATCACTTCCCGCCACTGCACAAGTAGCAAGTCAACAGGCTACATATCTCGGCAAGAGATTCAACGCTGGGACGTCTTCTCAGGGGCCTCCAACTGCTCCGTTTCACTTCCGCAACTGGGGTACAATGGCGTATCTTGGAGGTTGGAGGGCTATTCATCAGAAGGGTACTGATGAGCTCAAAGGCCGAGCGGCGTGGATTCTGTGGAGGACGGCGTATTTGACCAAGAGCATGAGTCTAAAGAATAAGCTCATGATTCCATTTTATTGGTTGGTTACATGGATTTTTGGCCGAGATATCTCGAGGTTCTAACGTCATCATTGGATGGATGGCTGGGTAGCTGAGACAATTCCCTTTGCAGCAATAAAAGTGAGGTCTTGAGGTTACTCAACATCCCAAGTAGATGCGTGGTTCTAGTCGATTGTTAGAAAACCTTCGAGCCATTGGAGAGATTCAAGAAAATACCCCCCAACTAGTTTTTATTATCTATAATTTACATACCTAGGTGCTAATCACAAACGGAGTGGGGTGCTGTACAATTCATCCCCCTACCCTATGTCATCGTAACTCATCAATCACCTCACCACAACTTTTGCCTCATCACTTGTAATATCGCTCACTCCACCCTTCCAAATATCTTTCCTTTTCGCGAAAACGACTCTAATTGGCAAATGACAATGGAAGCATAAGCCAAAAGAGTTGATTCTGTGCGAGTCTCCACTCCCATCTCATCAATTACCAGACACTAACTAACCCCGCCAAAGTCGTCCACCTGATTTCATCACCATCAACCATGGCCAAGCCCACAGTCAACTACGGCCTATACTTGGTCACAGACTCAACGCCAGAGATTCTTGGCGATCGTAGCCTTGAAGAGGTAGTTGAGGCTTCTTTGCGAGGCGGTGTTACTATCCTTCAATATCGAGACAAGCACAGCGAGCGCCCAGTCGCTGTAGACACAGCCAAGAAGCTACACGCCATTGCCCGTCGTTACAATGTCCCCCTTCTCATCAATGATCGTGTGGACATTGCCGCTGAGATAGACTGCGAGGGCGTGCATATTGGACAGGATGATATGGGTATGTTGATATCTCTCACTACCTAACCATCAAGACATGATCTGATCATTTGGTACAGCATATGAAGAAGCAAGAAAGCTTCTTGGCCCCAACAAAATCATTGGCGTAACCGCAAGTTCGAAAGAAGAAGCTCTCAAGGCTTGTGAGGCCGGTGCTGACTACCTCGGTATCGGAACTGTCTACTCAACTCAGACGTGAGTGATATACAAGCATCGTGTGTGACTCACATCAGCCCCTGACACACGATCAGCAAAAAGGACACAAAATCTATCATAGGTCCCTCAGGAGTCCGCGATATCCTCTCAGCTCTACATGATGCCGGATATGGCTCCGTCCCCACGGTTTGTATAGGCGGCATCAACGCCAGCAACACTGCCCCTGTTCTCGCTGCAGCCGGGTCCCCCTCCAAGTCTCTCGATGGCGTTGCTGTAGTGAGCGCTCTCATCGCTGCTCCTGAGCCAGCTACCGCCGCTCGTGATCTCCTCGGTAAAGTCATCGTTGCCAAAATCCCCGAAGTTATCAGGGCCGTAGCCGACAAGACGCCCCTTTCTCACAATATGACCAACTTGGTGAGTACAGCTCGGTTCATGTGACGACCATGTTAAATTCTCATGCTGGAATACCAGGTTGTTCAAAACTTTGCCGCCAACGTGGCTCTTTGTGTTGGGGCAAGCCCCATCATGGCCAACTACGCCCAAGAAGCTGCTGACCTTGCCAAACTTGGAGGTGCTCTTGTGGTCAATATGGGCACCGTCACTCCCGATGGACTTCAGAACTATCTCCAAGCCATCAAGGCCTACAATGAAGCGGACAGACCTATAGTCCTTGACCCTGTCGGGTAAGCCTCCAAAAATCCCATCAATTAATCAACTTTACTCATGTTTTCAGCGCTGGTGCTACCACTGTTCGTCGCAATGCTGTCAAGACTCTTCTCGATGCTGGACATTTCACCATCATCAAGGGCAATGAGGGCGAGATTCAGACTGTAGCGGGCGCCACGATTACGCAACGGGGCGTTGACTCAACCTCTTCCCTCGCTTTTCCCCAAAAGGCATCCCTTGTACGCTCCATCGCCTTGCACCGGCACACCGTCGTCATACTCACAGGCGCTACTGACCTCGTAAGTGACGGAACTCGTACTCTAGCCATCAGCAATGGCCATCCCTATCTTGGCGAAGTCACAGGCACTGGGTGCACTCTTGGCACAACAGTCAGCGCCATGGTTGCTGCGTACGGCGCTGACCCTCTTCTCGCTGCTGTCGCTGCAACTGTCATGTTTGGACTCGCTGCTGAGCTCGCCGCTGAGAGGAACGAAGTCCGTGGACCGGGCTCATTTGTGCCGACATTCCTTGATGAGCTGTACAATATCCGAAAATCGACTGCCAAGGGTGACCTGCGGTGGCTGAATATGGCCAAGGTCAAGGCAGTTGAAGTTGATATCGATGTCATTCCAGGTGAATGAAGCTCGGCAGACAAGGATCGAAAATTGCTGAATAGACAACAAAGAAAACTTCAGCTATCTTGAACAAGCTTACTCTATATCATGTAACAGAAAAAGAGCATTGCTGAGTAACACAACGGGCTAATGCTAAGATGTTAATACAACCTTCTTCACCGACTTCGTAAGGCGTCAAGTCGACTCATTTAAGACACCAGGGTCACCAATGATGTTCCATACATTATAACCTCTCGTAGCCGCCGCTTGCCAAAAGTCCGTTCCTGAATCATCCATCAAGAAGTCTTGACTGAAGTCTACGAGATCAGCGTTGCCAGATCCCGTAAGCAGACGCTGTCTCTCAGCCTTGACCAAGTCTCTCACTGACTTCAGCTGCTTCACAAGTCTCTCGAAAGGATCTGGTGGAGGCGCGGGTGTAGCTGCTGTCGTTCCCCCGGGCGTCGGTGTACCTAGCATGTTGCCGTGTTTGCGGCGCCCCACGATGATGTCCAGATCCTGGGCTTGCTGGCTCATCACCTCGACCATGTCAAGCTCTGCGTGTATTTGGGCGAGGTTCCACCCGGGTAACTGAAGTGTTACGACCTTGATGCCAACAATGATGGTGTACACAAGTTCAGACGCGCTCATACACAGGAAACGCGGGCGTTCCATTTCTCGATGATCGAACCGGATATCGAAAAAGGTCTTTAGAGATCGAACACAAGCCCAAAGAAGTTGGAGTCGGTCAGTTAGAGGAAGATAGGATGCTGCAGAGTGTTGGTCCGAGACGGCGATCTCATAGAGGAGCACCTCGGCTACGTTGACATGGGTCTTGAGATTATCTAAACCATGGTGAGCGCTAGACGATCGGAATGGGGTGACATAAATACCGTTATCAGCGAACCGTGGGCCAAGATTGTCTTTGTACAGCTGCAACTGTTCCTCAAACGATTGCACTACCACTGTCAATGGTAGTTTGCTGGCGGTCTGAGTTAGGTTCTCCGCTGACATGGTGACAGATATGGACTGTGCCAGCTGCTGAATGCGCACCAGCTTTATCAAGTACTCATCAGAGGGGTGCTGCATAGTTCTCTCAAGAACTCTGCAGCACATTTCCAGATGGCTGGTATTCATAAGGACATCAGGCCGCTTGTTCGCTGTGAACACTCTAATCCAAGTCAGCAAACCCCAGAATGAAGGCGGGTAGTTCTTACAAAGTGTTAAGGTAATAAGTGCCAGCGTAAACTCTCATATGATCAAGATTGCGATCAGATTCTTCTCCTTGAAGACTCGTATCTTCCGTGAACCTCAAATTTACGCATATAGCTCTAGCAAGGAACAGCAGATTCGTCACTTGAGAGCCCTTCAACGCATAGTGAAACCTGCGACAAGTCAGGGGCGTGCTAACGAATTGGTCGCCATATCAGTACATACCATGCCACCAGCATTTGCAAGCTCTGGAGTAGATCCAAGCTGTTCAGGCCATCTACGACAGCTGCTCGTCCAATCTCAGCTAGTAACTCTTGGCCAAGCTTAACCTGTCTAGCTCCATCAAGAAACAACCCTACCATCATGACAGCCTTCCACAGGAATGGACGATGCTCACGCAGCTCCAGGGCTGTCATATGCCCAGGAACACACACAAACGGAAATAGACATGAGTGGATTGTCCTATAGCCGTTGAGAAGTAGCTCCGCTTCACGGGGCGTGGGCCACCAGGAGTCCCATGGCCGTGTCTTGTCCGGAGCTGACGGTGGAGGATGTTGACGGGGGTTATTTTCAATTCCCGGTTTTAAGGGAAACAAGTGATTGAAACCCCAGGCATCAGATTTGGTCAACAGCTCTGAGCGTTTCTCACTCGTCGAAGGTGGAGGCGAGGAGTCCTCCTCTTCTGAAGACTCACGCCTTACGTGCGAGGACAGCTCTTCAAGGCGTTTCTCCAAAGCAGCTATCTTAGATAGCTTTGGGCTTCTACGGGGCCGGGCCGGAGCCGGAGTTTGGTTAACACATGGCTTGTTTAGTCGATGGCACCTTGAAAGTTGAGACTCTGATGTCAGCAGCTGTACCTAACCGCAAACTTACATGTGTGTATGCATTCAAAGAGAAGAGTTTGGGACAAAAGCAACCAGAACAAGCCATGAATAACACCATCCTCAAAAGAACCAATTATCGTAACTTACCTGTCGCATTTGAGGCTCCCCAGAGGCCCAGGGACGCACCTTGCCTTAGCTTTAGCGCATGTTGTACAGGCCTTGGGTCCCTTGTTCTTAGCCTGAGTAGAATTGGGGTTCATATTGTCATTACTGAGTTATCCGATTCTTGTTAGTCTCACAGAAGCAGAGAAAAGCGGTTTGCAAAAGGAGACGGAGTTGAAAACGGCGTCGATATCCCAGACACTGAACGATATTCTCGAGACCCCTGTCGTTTGGGTTGTCGTTTGACTGGTCTAAAGCTGGCAGGATGCAGGGATCCTGTCACCAAGACGGAGACGGACCTCGAAATCTCACCGGGCCTCCGCCTCACGGACACGGCACCATCATTCAACTCTCCACCAACCTATTATTCAGAGACTTCGGTACAACATTCTTCCGAAAATGGATATGAAGACCGTCATATCATGACTTGATTTACATAGCATAAATTATCCGTCATAACTGTGTAGTCATGATGATCACAATTCATCGAAAAAGTCCACAGGTGTTTGGGAAACAATGGTATGTGTTTACTCCATATATCACAAGATGTGGTAATGGGGAATATTTCAATTGGCATGCCCAGAGGACAGCATAAATGGTAAAAGATAACTCAAAACGAGTGTTATATCTGCATAGAAGTGAATTTGAGTACTGCCCATCATCCATTGACGATGTCAGTGAGCTTGGGTTCCTCCCGTCGCTTAAGCAGCAGTAACAGCCTGAGAAGTCTGCTTGATCTCAAGCTCAAGAAGAGCTTCGGTAACGCCGTTGACAGCTTGACCGGTAGCTTTAATCTCCTTGGTGGCCTGCTCGATGTTGAGCTGCTTATCGGTCCACAGAGGCTCCTGCACATTATCCTGCTCGCCAACACCAATGAAGCCACCCTCAGCAGCCCAATCAGAGGTTCGCTTGATGTCGAGACGAGTCCAGATCTCATCGATAGCCTCAACAAGCTGGTCACGGTACTCCTTGATGTGTCCGGGAGTTGGGGTTACGCGGAGACGCTCCTGGCCAACAGGAACTGTAGGGTAATTGATAGCCTGGACGTAGATTCCGTAGTCATTGAGGAGCATGTCGGAAGCCTCCTTTGCAGTTTCGGCGTTGCCGACAAGAATAGGTACAATGTGAGAAGGGTTAGGAATGACGGGAATGTCTCGAGCATTCATAGCTTCCTTGACAGCGCGAGTGTGTAGCTGCTGGAGTCGTCGATCACCATCGAAGTCCATCTGGTACTCGATGGAAGCCTGAGCACCGGCCATTGTGGCAGGGGGAAGAGAAGTAGTGAAAATGAAGCCAGGGGCCAATGACCGGATCATATCAATGAATTTGGCGCTACCTGCGATGTAGCCACCAACGCAACCATAAGCCTTGCCCAGAGTGCCAGTAATAATGTCAATTCGGTCCATGATGGTTCCACGAGGGGCACCATTGGCGTGTGCCTCCCAGTCAAGGTGCTCAGCGACACCAGCACCGTGAGGTCCGTACATACCGACGGCATGGACTTCGTCGAGGAAAGTGATGGCACCGTACTTATCGGCAAGATCACAGATCTCCTCGATAGGACCAATAGAGCCGCACATACTATAGACTGACTCGAAGGCGATGATTTTGGGCACATGCAGGGGAAGTGATGCCAGCTTAGCCTCGAGATCTTGCACATCGTTATGCTTGAAAACGATCTTTTTGGTGCCGGAATGGCGAATACCCTGAATCATGGAGGCGTGATTCAGGCTGTCGGAGAGAATGACACACTCAGGCATCTTGCTGCCGAGCGTGGCGAGAGTCGCATCATTGGCGACATAGCAGGAACTGAAGACAAGAGCACCCTCCTTAGCGTGCAGCTTTGCCAAGGTACTCTCGAGCTCAACGGCGTGTCTGTTGTGGCCAGAGATGTTTCGAGTTCCACCAGCGCCAGCACCATACTCCTCCAATGTTTCGTGCATCTTTCGGAGGACATGAGGGTTGCGGCCCATACCTAGGTAATCGTTGGCGCACCATACAGTTACTCGATCCTCCTTGTCGGACATATGCGCACGGGGAAACTCTTTGGCCAAACGGTTGATGTTGTTGAAATAGCGGTATGATTTGTCCTTGTGTTTCTTCTCGAGCTCGGCATTGTAGAATGCTTCGTAATCGAATTTGCCAGGAGAGTGGAAGCCAGCGGCGGCAGCAGCAGCGGTCGGAGAAGCAGAGGTAGGCTTTCGGGTTGCGTGAACACCAGGAGGTGCGGGAGCTGAGAGGCAAGAGTCAGAATAAGAATAGACGGCATTACCAAGAGCATTTCTGGCTGAAAGACAACTTACCATTGTCACGGCCGTCAAAGAGCGGGCGGTCGACAGCGCGAGCCTCTTTGTTGCAGGTGGTGTGAATCTTGGCCTTACCAGTCTTAGAGTGGCCAGAGAAAGCACGAACAGAACCAGCAGCGCGGCTCTTGGCGGTCTGAACGGCCATGGCCTTTCCCATGACAGGGCATCGCTGGCCAAGCAGCTGAAGCTTGGACATGGTGCCGCCGCATGGAGAGGCGGGAGCCGGAAGGGCACGAGTCGAGGTGGACAAGGCACGCAGAGTGGCAGGCGTGGCCGTCTTCATGAAAGGGCACATGGCCTTGGACTGACGAAGGACAGCATCCATTGTTGCGTGTATTCGACAGTATTCGACAGTATCCGTAGAACTGAGAGGACAATGCCTTCGTCGAGTAAATCGGAGGGGCAAAACGTGGTGTTTTCGAACGTGGAGGGGCAAATATGCCAGACGTGCGAAAAAGCGAACAAGGGCTTACAATCAGCCGTGAGAAGTGAGACAATTCACAAGCAATTGGGCCTTTCACAGCAAGAGAAAAGCGAGGTTGGCGGTGTCGAAATGTGAGGAGAGAAAAAAGGAACAAGACAGTGGAAAATATAGCGGCTATGTAGTGAGTGTGACTGAGGTAGGATTGGAATCAATAATAAGTCGGCGGTGGTTCGGCAAGAACGGTCGGTCATTGACCCACTGAATGCTTCCGTTTCGGTTCCGTCCTTTTTCTTCGTTCTCTCCACCTCTCACAAGCGCTCGACGAGTTCAACTCCGCGCAAGTTTCCCTATTCGGGCAAGTAAACTGTGCATTCTTCTGCCGATGCAGGGCATTTCCCTCTGCATAGGTCAGCTTTCTCATGAGGGGGTGCCGACTGGTCTAGGCGTATCAACAGGTATCAATGCATATACAGGTTAGTTTGACACGTGAATTGTTTGAGCCACTCTAGGTACTAAGGTAGGTAATATGAAGCCCAAGATGAAAGTACTTTGCCTGTATCAACGTCTCTGTAACGGATACATGCGCCTCTACTCTCACCGAAAGTATTTTTCACCATTTGTGAAGGATATAAACAGCGGCCGACAGCGGCCCGCAGCCTCAAAAGGTGAAAGCCCGCACATGCCGACACCTGATGCGGTACGTACAGGGAAGACAGCGCCCGAGTCAAACTCAGGGACAGCCGTAACGAAATACCTCGCTCGTGATTGGCTCGTCCTTTTTGCACTCTAGATCCCAGCAAGGGCTAGATCTGTCCATTACTTCCTGGTTATTGGTTGGCTATCGTTGAATTGTCATTGAAAGGCGGACATGACGAGGTTCATCAACTGGAAGACTTCCATCATTCCGAAGAAAGAAGATAACATTAAGGGTTCCGAATGCCCTAATCTAACATTAGTTCGACATGCAGCAACCTTGTCAGACATGATACTTATTAAGAATTGGATCTCAGGCCAGATCCCCGAGTCTGAAATTGAACACTCTCGGCCTTGTACTAAATGTCTCGTACGATGCATACCCACTGCTCAACCATTAACTTGTTCCGTCTTCTTCCTCCCAAGTATGATTATGGATGTAGAGTGGTGGAAAACTATGCTAAGACATTTTCGTCTATCCCCGAAACCGTTGGTTTTGCACGTACTCATTAAACGCACTATAAAGCAAGACTTTGCTTGTTGAACATATTAGGGCATAATTGCCGAAGTCTATCGTGGACTATAATTCTTTGTAACTTCAATAAGAAGAGAATCCTTCTTTATGGCTGAAAATATGCTGCGAACATAATTAATGCTTCACCAAACTGTTCGGATGGCGATTCTGATATGTCGAATCGAGTCGGTCGGAACTCTTGAGGCAACGTCAACAGAATACATCGATGCGTTCAAACATGGCAGCGGAAAGAAATGCTTGCAAAATACATATCTCTCTACCTAAAATGCAAACCATCTGGTTTCCAACTTCAAGACTCAGGGATTGCTTGCTGCGCGAAGTTTATTATTGATAGATTCCCGCAGGGGGACTAAATATGGGCTTGACAATTGGACCCATTCGCCTCTCTCTAAACAAATCTGCATATTAACGCGTCCTCAAAAAGGGTATCATCTGGCTCAATGCTATGCCATACCGTAAACGCCATCGAAACTTATCTTCCCGTATGGACACCGTACTTTCATCATTCCCATCTGCATGATCCCATGAACTCCAATCCTCAATCGAAACGAACGATACTTGTAAGATCTCTTAAGTTAGAGACCAGGCGTAACATCCCTGAAACCAAACTGCCCTTCTCGAGTGCCCATTGCAGGTGATGTTCGGGTTTTCTCTTCAAAAAGGGCCTCATTTGCCCATGGCGGTAGACGGAATACTCGGTTTCTCCTATTGTCCGCCGCTTCCCGCATTATTTTCATATCATCCGTAGCCCGGGATCGCTTCTCACCCTGGTGCGAGCTTCGACGCCTGATATTCTGCAAATTCTTTGAAATAACAAATTAGTGAAGTTGCGCAGAAAAAATAGGGGGGGAAGAGGAAGTTAGAGAGTGAGAGAAAAAGAGGGTTGTCCAGAGCTGGGTTTGATGAGCATCATACATTTGGGTCGGGAGAACTAGTCTTCTCAAGTGCCCGAGCAGCGATCTCCGTTTCTGTGAGTGCATTGATGGCCTCGAGTCGCTTTTCGAGGTCTTTCTCTTCGGCTTGAGCCAAGTATTCTGGCGCTATGAAGCCTGTGGCAATTGCAATCACCCATTTTTGGTGCGATAGAAGCCTAATGAGTACCCTCCAATGCTTTGTGTCAGGGAGCAACCCATACTGGCCCTTCCTACGGACCTCGTTCACACGCATGGTTGTAGACTTGGCCATCTCGCCAGGGTCACCTCCTGTTTGTAGTACATTGCGTTGTTGCATTTTTTGAAGGCTCTCCCGCAGACAACCCTCGAACTCGACCATAGCAGGGTTCTCAGTTACGTTGAAGACTCCACCTTGCTTAAAGATGGGACTCGCGCGCGGCTGTGCAGAAATGATCGGGGTCGAGTGCGGCTCAATCAGTGGCCCAGAATGGTTATGCTTTCCGAAAAAGGTGTTCGCACCAGCCATTGGCATTGGTGCTGGGCCGTGGCTAGAAGCCGTAGGTTGCTGGGACACAGGCCGGTTTGTCTTATTGTATGGGTAAGCAGGGAACCCGAAAGCATGCCAAGGGGGGGGACTTACAGGTGAGCTCGTTTCGTGAGATAGTTTTCCGGCGCCTAACATATCCTGTCCAAGAGCTGGAGCGGTTGCTGGAGCGGTTGCTGGAGGTGGAAATCGTGCATGGTGAAGCATATCCGATGTATCATCAATTAATCGAGGCACAAACTGTTGAGATAACGAACTCGCACGAAGGAGCTCACCCTGTTCTCCATGCAACCTAGCCTGCTCCTTTAAATCCACTCGGTCTTTCGCCCTCAAATACTCCTCTGGGTTGGTTTCTCGAAGACGATTCAGTTCGATCATTTGGGCTACTTGCTTCTTCTCATCTTCAGTAAGCGCCGCGCCAAGATCTTCCTCTTCGAAAGTGTCCGTTGTCACAATGGATCGGATACTCTCGCCGTTCTCGCGATGATTTATAAGTTTGTCCAGAATTCTGTCCTTGCCCAAATAAGGGGTGAGATCGCTTGGCGGACAATGTCTGATCACCGACACTACGTCGCCTTTGCGCTTTGACCAGCTGATGGGATTCTTCTTGTCAACGACTCGCGATGCCAGCTGCATTTTGAAAACCTGTCTGTTGTGAAGATTATCTTCGAAAGTTCCTGCGACCATGAAACGGTAGACGAATACAGGCTTTTGCTGGCCGATACGATACGCTCGGCCCACCGCTTGTTGCTCATCTGATGGGTTATATCTGACGTCAAAAATGACAACCCTGTTAGCCCCCTGAATGTTGAGTCCTACACCACCAGCAGTTGTAGATATCAAAAACACCTCTTTGCTACCCTCATTGAAGTCTTTTGTCTGCCTTTGTCGACTCGGAACTGGTGTGCTGCCATCTAGGCGAGAAACTGTCCTCCTCTGCATTCTGCACATGTTTTCGATATAATCTAATGTGTGTAAGGACTGGCTGAAAATGAGCACCTTGTCCTTAACTTGACGCGCCTCGTCGAGTATGATTGTCAGCAGTTCTGTTTTTAATGAAAGCGTTGGCGTGTCCAAGTCCCTAAAAGAATGCAACGTTTCCAAGAACTCTGGAATCATAGACTTGGGGAAGGACTTGTCTTCATTATCGCTGTTTGAGCGGATGCCCTTTTGAATTGCTTTCACCTTTGCTTCAAAGCATCGTGGGTGGCTGCAAATCAATCCAAGATGGTTGATGGCAGCAAAAGTCTCAGCTTGCGAGTCGGTGCCTTCTCTTGCTACACCCCTGATGTACAGTTGGTACAACTGCTTCTGAGGTGTCGTTGGAGGCACGAATATGATGAACTCCTGCTTTGGTGGCAAGTCGCTTTTTAGGGCAGCGATCGTGTGGCGATTGATCTTCGGTGCCACAAGTTGCTCAAGCGCCTTCAGCCTCATTTGTGCCCTCCTTTTTTCAGCTGGTGTGCTGTCGTTATAGAGGCCTCGCTCGACCGGAGAGGCATAAATGTGGCTAAACTCGGAGAACGGGCCAAGAAAGTTGGGGACAACCCAGTCAATCATGGCAAAATACTCTAGTACACTGTTGGACAGTGGTGATCCTGTGAGTGCAATGCGACTCTTTGTTCTGAAGCGCGAACTAGCCAGGTTAGTTTGTGACTCCCGATTCTTCATCTTATGCGCCTCATCGGCGATGACCACGTCCGGACGATTTGTCAGAAGATCTGCTAGCTCCTCTGACATGTTCATAATCTTTTTGAACATTTCGTAGCCAAGTGTAAGGACGCCTCTGCCAGAAGCCCATGACGACACCACCGCAGCCCTTTCCTCGACCGGTGTATTAGATGAGACCTTGCGTAGCTCGCCCAGTAAATCCGCTGGTGCCCATTTGAGGAGCTCATCTATCCAGTTGTCTACCAAGGCAGCTGGGCAAAGAACCAGAATCCGTGGTTCCCTCAGATCTTCGGGTATTTGAGCCACTACAGATGGATCTTTAGATTGTGCTGCCTCTGCCAAAGCGACGAGGACAGTGATGACTTGCATAGTTTTGCCGAGTCCCATTGTGTGGGCTAGCAAACAACCTTGCCGTACACTTGGGTCTCGCACAATTTGATTCCATATGAAGCGAACGCCGTCGATTTGGTGATCCTTGATTCGGCGACCAATGTCCTCATGGATGTAGATAAGACCTTGGTCTTCTTCTTTGCTTTCGTTTATGATGAGGCGAGTCCCATCCCGTGACACCGAGCCATCCAGCGCAAGGGTCTCCCTCAATTTCTTTCTGCGAGCCTCTTGTTCCCTAAGCCTTTGATTCTCGCGTTCTCGAAGATCCACGGCTGCTTTGTCACGGATGATTTCTTTTTCTTTTGGTCTTCGACGCCCGGCACGCCCTTCCTCGACGACATCGTCAAAGTCATCCATCTCATCCTGTTCCTCTGGAAATAGGTCGTCGAGAATGTCCGTGTCTTGTCTATAGATTTGACTATCCTGGGGGAAGTGAGGCGTAAGAGCCGCTACGAACAGACAGAGAGGTTCGAAGAATTTGACTCGTGCCTGGTTCAATGTTTTTCTCAACTTTCCCATTTTATAGGAAAGCATTTGTTCTTCTGTTGTGTGCTGACACACGAAGAAGCAGCGACAAAGACGTACAACGTCAAAAAGAACCACCTTTACGTTGCCCTGTGGTAGCTGTTCGGGATCTTCCAGGGGTTCAAATAGATATGGCTGGATATGCTCCTCCCATACATTATTGGGGTGATCTGATAATATCAGATCGACTGCTGACTTCCGTCGGGCGTGTTCCATATGCCACATCTCACCGATCAACAATCGCCAGCGATCGTTGCGCTTGACGTATTTTTTAAGCGGTTGAGATGCAAGCTGCTGAAGATCGCCAAAGCTCTCAATAGGTGGGGGGTGAAAGCCGCCATCGTGACGTGGAGATTGTGTTTTTTCTGGCTGAATCTCTCGGCTTTGGTTTTCGTCATGACCTTTTTTAGAGACATGGTTAATGGGAGCCTGGCAACAGACAACATCGGGTTCAAGTGGTTTGTTCTCGACGTTAGCAGGGTCGTCTGTTGTCAAGCTCTCTCCATTGGTAATGGCTGCATCAGAAGGGCCTGCATCGAGAGTTTCTCTTTCAGAAAGATTCTTTCTGGGAGGGACGGCGTTTCCTCGATCTCCATTCAAGGGACTGTTCGCTTGCTTGGCAGGACTAGTCAAATCGATGGGACTAGTCATGTCATAACCCAAGCCTCGGGGTTCATCCATGTCGTCCTGCGTCAAATCCATGAAGTCAGTATTGAAATCCCCCCATTCCTGCTTCATAGGGGGAGGTGTTGAATCCCGATCAGTCGTCAACCCATTTTCAATTACATCCATGTGGTCGTCAGGAACGACGAAATCTTCCTCTTCAGAGCTAGTGAGAACCTCGTCTTCCATAAGGGCCAGGGTGTCCAGCTGCCGTACGGCGCGTGGTTTCGGACGGGCCACTGTTTGTGGTTTTGGGGGTGGCCTTGACGACTCAAGCAACTTAATCAACCACTCCTGATACTTCTTGTCTTCTAAACTTTGCTCAAGGCTCTTGGCTGCCTCTCGGTAATGTGCCTCGGAGGCCGAGTCCGTCTTCTGGATTTCGAGACAGAGTTTCTGGAGTCGTTCGATGAGATGCTTAGCCGTTTTGTAAGCATTCTGGATTTGTATGCCCTTAATGCCAAGGCGGCGAGATTTCTGCCATAGACTATAAGCTTTCCGCTCATACTTTGGGAGCTTCTTCTCAGCCCAGTTTTCCTCAATAGCTGTTATGGCCTCGTTTAATATCTCTGCGATTCGCTCAGGAGTGACAAAGGGATAAGGCTGGGGATTGTCGTCAAGGGCATCAAGCCTCTCGTTTTCAGCCTCTTCTTCTTTTATCTCCCTTAATGTCTCAGCGTCCAGTTCGTTGTCAAGGTCGGTGAGTTCGAGGATCTCATCAGACTCGTTGGAAAGATGACTTGGCGACCTAGAGGAATGCATATGTATGCGATAGCGGCCTGTAAGAAGCCGCTTAAGAATATTGTTTGCCGCGAGTCTTCTTCCAGGTGGAATTGTATGGATGCTGAATGAAGTAAAGGAATCGTCGCTCTCGTTGAGGAGAGAGCTCAACATACCGACTGGCGTCAGCATGTCCTCTCTTGAAATCTTGCCCTTGCCTAGGTAGGCATACGAGGGTGCATTATCCCACGGAAAGCCTGCAGAGTTATCGTCTGCAAACTTCATCCCAGCCTTGGTGGTCGCGTAGTCAAGCACATCAGCTTCCGTCGGGAGGAAAGCGGGGTCGGCGTTCCTTGGTATATCTGTCAACAGCATGGGCGCCACCCGCCTGCGCTTACTAGACCTCTCATCAACCTCGGGGATTTGGTCAGGAGGTTCATGAATGGGCGGCTGACGAGAATGCGTTGCAAGTTGAAGCTGGTCATGTGCTTGGTGTGTGTGTGTGTGGTTTTGGCTATCTAATTCCTGCTGCAATGGGTTCCCTGCAGCATGAGGAATCGTTCCATTAGTATCAGAAACGGAAACAGGCGTCTCCTTTTCTTTATGATGATCACCGTTCGGAAGATCGGAGGATCGCCGTTGTTCCGTGGCATGTGTTGAGGCTTCGGTTTCCTCGCCAGGGAATCCGGATTGTTTTCGCCTGAAGTCGGCTTGCCATTCCCAATACCCTTTGCTCCTAGAACGAAGAGTAACGATAGCTTCTGCGAGGGCAGCTTTGTGGCGGGCGATCCTAATGCCGAGACAGTCCATCAACTCTTGACGCGAACACACATGTTCGAAGGTCAATAGAGTTTTGCCATCAAACTCCTCCTCCTGGATGCGTGTGGCAAGGAATGCAGGATCTCGACTCCATGGGGCCCCAGGAGCGCAGAGTCGATTAACAACCACATCGATATCCCAGGAATAGGGATCATCCTCGATGTCGTCCATTTGGTGACACACGTGCTTAGAAGAGCACAGATAATTCTTCTATCAAACTTGGTATCAAAGATCGAGTAAGAGAATTAGTCATTAAAAAGGGGAAGAGACATACGTGGGAATCTTTATTATACTTCAAAGCATGCGCTTTTGTGACAGGTCTGCTGAGCAAAGGCCCAGCGACTAGAATATGCGTGGGAAGAAATGTGCATAGCCGCCGCCGCTTGGCCGCGTTTGACAAAGGCCACTCAAGGCTGAATCCTCGCTGCCTTTTGGCGTCGAAACAAAATCCCAAACGTTCAGAAAAGATAAATGCTTGGGTATCAAAGGCTTGGCTACCTTAAGGAAAGTATGAGGTGAAGTGAAAGTGCAAGCAGAGCGCAAGAGATGTAAAACCGTGCGAGTGAAAAAAGAGAAATCTTCGGGCTGGCTTCTCTATGAGTTCTATGAGATCATTAGAGACAAGAAAAATAGAAAAGAAACAAACCGAGTTTTGCAGAAATCGTAGATGCAAAGTTGAGCGATGTTGGGGAGAGTACCTTCTTTTCCATTCAGAGCACGCTTGTTGCACGGTACGCAAGGCAAGGCAGGTACTGTGCGTGTGGAAGTGGCAACCACCTTAAGATACTTACCTTAAGGTAGTAGACGGAGCAGCTTTGTACTGTCACGTGACTCCGCGAGGCTCATAAGCCAGGAAGGTGCACTCGTGACTCCGGAGGTAGACTGAAAGCTGAAGAAAGAAGAAGAAGAAGAAGAAGAAGAAGAAGAAGAAGAAGAAGAAGAAGAAGAAGAAGAAGAAGAAAATGAGAAAAAAGAAAAAATGAAGCGGGTGGGAAAGAGAGATAATGAGCATAGCAGCCTTTTCTGCTCTGAGGGACAATACTGCAGGTACCTATTTTGTGTCTAGGTACTAGGTAAGCTACTAACCTGGTATAAATGGGTTCACATCTATCTTAGGTACATCACGTCTTACTCTATCTTGTGACAGATCCATTGTCTTCAACTTCATACTTGTTCATGCATACCGAGATCGACTATACGCCATTGTGTTCAGCGGGGCCCCTAGATATCAATATATCACATCCTCTCCACATTAGAATGACAACCTCGCCGGAACTGAAGAGCAAAACAAGATATTACCTTACCCAATATAAACTTCACAATCTGCTACCCCGCTGTCGTAAATGCCCCTCATAAAACGCCCAAATAAAGTACTACACGTACGCAGAGTCCTTCCAATCCAATTGCCGTTAAAAGGGTGAACCCATTTGCCGTGGGTCTTCCATGTGGTCTATCGCCCTAAATTAGGCATGCTAACATGAGAACGAGCCTTTTATCTTCAGGTATTCCGCGTCCCGCACCCACTGTAATTATTAAGCCACCCAGTTCAGCCAAGCACGCAAGCCAGCGTCTTGACTAATACACCAAGGACTTTTCATACTTCTCTTCCATACCTACCTAAGGTAGTCTGTCTTTAAAAGTATCTCTCGATTCCAGTTACTCGGTGAACACCTCATTGCATAGTCTAAGTCAGTTCCAGCATAATGGCTTCTCTCACGGACGGGATATACCCACCCACTCTCAAGGCCGAAGAGAAGGACGCCCTCATCGAGACCGTCAAGGACTGGTCAATAGGTAATGGCCTCGCAGTCAGGCCTCCTCCCACAGTCATAGCCGCCGAGGCAGACCCCAAAAGCATCGCTGCTATCAACGTTCCTGTGACCCTCTTTCCAAGTCCATTTCCCAAACAATGCTTCGTGCAGGGCAAGGCAGTTCAAAAGACTTACAACGAGCTGTATGCCTCAGTGAGCAGGGATGAAGAGTTCTTGGCCCAAGTTGTGAAGGAGTGAGTACACCTCAAGTTTGCATGCTACAATTTCTAAATAAGTTTAGGGTCTCGGATGGTGATGAGTTTATTCGAAACTTATGGGACGTTCATACCAAGGTTAAGGCTGAGGGATATACACAGGTAAGTGTCTCTCGATTCAATTGAAGACGCCCCATTAACAAGACAACAGCCCCTGTCTCTAGGCTTGTTCCGCTCAGACTATATGGTGCATCAGGATACCGAGACCACAAAGTCTTCTTTGCAAGTCAAGCAGGTTGAGTTCAATACCATTGCTTCTTCTTTTGGCGGTCTTTCAACACACACCTCTGCTCTCCACAAGTAATTCGACTCCCTTCCTAAGCCGTCCATTAATAAACTGAGCCTAATAAGAACAGGTATCTTGCTACAACGGAGTACCCGATTTTGGAAAACCCTATTACACAAGGATCACTAGACCTGCCCGAGAACACCAGCACTCGTGGCTTAGCAGCAGGTATCGTGGAAGCGTACAATATTTATCCCGACTCTGAACTTGGCCACCAGAAGTGTGTCATCTTTCTCGTACAAGACGGCGAGAGGAACATCTTCGACCAACGCCATCTTGAATATCAAATCGCTAGCTCTTCGTCATCTATCCCTGTGTTCCGACTACCTTATTCCCAAATCCTACAGCACAGCAAGATTGCAGACACCTCTAAACGCCAGCTTCTGTACATCCTTCCAAGAAACCGTTCAAAGATTTACGAAGTTGCTGTGATCTACATGCGATCTGGATATGGACCTTCTGATTACCCTGATCAACAAGCTTGGCAGGCTCGTTATCACCTGGAGAGGTCGAATGCTATTAAATGCCCTAGTGTCCTGACTCAATTAGCTGGAACGAAGAAGGTTCAACAAATTCTCGCAACACCGCGCCCTTCCACAGAGTCCTCGGCTCTTAGTAGGTTCATTCGCGATGACACGGATGACGCAACTGAGCTGTGGCGCACATTTACCAACATCTACCCGATGGATAGCAGCGATGCTGGCCTTGAGGCTCGGAAGAAGGCCCTCGACCCCAAGATTTGCCAAAATTATGTGTTGAAGCCCCAGCGTGAAGGTGGTGGCAACAACATCTATCGAGGTGCTATTCCAGACTTCCTCAAATCTGTTCCCGAATCCCACTGGGGGTCTTATATTCTCATGGAGCTCATCACTCCCCCACCAGTCACTAACATCATTCTTCGCAATGGCAATCTAGAGCAAGGCGGTGTTATTTGCGAGCTGGGGATCTATGGTACTTGCATATGGGACCAGAGCACAGGCAAAGTTCACCACAACGAGGAAGCCGGGTATCTTTTGCGCACAAAGGGCGATAAGAGCGAGGAAGGTGGGGTCGCTGCTGGTTTTGGATGTATGGACAGTTGTGCGCTGGTGTAGATGCTCTCAGATTTCCGGAATAGCTCTTTCAGCATCCATATCGACACCGTACAATTTCTTGTTGACAAGCATGCCTGCCTTCCTAGAGGAATCCTTACCTGCTGTATTAGAAACTTGCCGAAAAGGAGAAGAATCCACCATGCGTCTAAAGAGCTGAGGTCACACATACTTATGATCATGGTTTACGGAGTAGTGCTTTCACAGCCCCTCCCGAACCATAGCCGCTATTCTGTAGCCTGTATGTGTAAGCACACGATGAAGGAATAAGTGTGTGATCAACAACGTTTATTGCATCATGGTATCATACAGATCCTCCTAAGGTTGTGCACAACGCTCATCGTACATTACATCCATACATTAACATCCAACAAAAGAAACCGGTCATGGTGAGAGAGGAGAACAAGTAGGCAGAAGACTACGGCCAGGCGATTTATTTGCGACCATGTTTCAAGAAGGAATTCCATTGATATTTGCTTCTTACTCGCCCTGCTCAGGAGCCTGGGGACGTCGGAGAACCTCGAGGTTGCCTCAAGAAGGGTTAGCTGTGGTGGATAGTATCTAGGGAGGAGTAAACATCATACGCTGGACAATGTTGAAGCTGCTTCGGTTCTGACCGTTGGAGTCGGTGTAGTTGCTCAAGGAGGCATCACCCTCGACGTAGACGCTGGCACTATGTAATGGTCAGCACAAATACCACGTGTTGTAATTGTCTTCAGAAGTCATCGTACCCTTTAGGAAGGTTCATGAGGTAGTCGCGCTGAGGGCCCTCGGCGAAGCTAGTGACTCGGAACCAACTGGTCTTGCGGTTGTCTCGGGGGCCGCTGTTGCTGGCGACAGCGTAGCGGAGGATCTCGCGACCGGTGCTGGTGGAGTGAACCTCGGGGGTGTCGGCGAGATTACCGATGATGGTGATCTTGGCCAGAGGTCGAGGGGTGGTGGTGCTGAAGGCCCGAGCAGCAGAGGCCGGGGCGACAGCGGCGCGGCGGAAGACGGAGGAGAAAGGCATGTTTGCTTGCTTGTGTGATACGTTGTTGGTGAAGAGCTGAAGCTGGAAACCGGGGCGGCGAGGGTATGGGTGGTGTTGATAAGGTGGATACTGGAGGACTGAGCTTTGGTGTGCTTGTCGCGTCAGGACGGTTTGTTTCGAAACCCTGACACGCGGTAGGGTGGGCAAGCTGAGGTCGGAATTAGGGATGCTCCCTCAATGCGCTATTTGATTGGCTCAGATTGAAGGTGTTGTGCGACCCGGTAGATGGGTGCCGTTTACTGTGGAGTGCTGGATAACTACATATCTACGACACTGCGATTTGAATACGACCTTGCATTTTTGCGCATTAACCTACCATCAATAATAAACTTCCAATGTCTTGAAAGCATAACCCATTTAACTCCCGCGTGGCCAAGAAGTGGTCGATTCCAAAAGCGGGCTTCTCTACTCGGTGAATCGGAAGAAACGAATCACTTACTACAGCATACTTGAAATATTCACTAGCTGTGACAGACTGAAATCTCCATTTCAATTGCACTCCAGCGGTGGAGCTTGTTCATCCTCTCATCTAGACCATGGTGCTAAGTGCTCTGGATGACTCCCCATAAATGATCAAATCGGTATATTCTACTGAGAAAAGGCCAACCCTGCCTAGCCTGCTCTGCGGCTCAAACTTCAGCGCCGCCGATCTCTTACCAACTTGAGATCGAACAGACTTGTTTTCTACTGTGTAAATGGGCTTGTCAGCATCCATGCATTGCAGCCTATTGAGTCTTATTCAGTGGTCTCGTTCGCTTACCCCTGCAAGATCCACTTACCCGATCAGGTTGTCAATAGACGCCCACAATAGCCGCGCTTTATACAAGCAGACATGACAGTGACGCCAAAATCTAAATGGAGGCGGAGATTCCTGCTTCTTTCTTATTGAAAGGGGGGAAGGGGGCTAATGATAGTTCCCCGATCGAAAGATGCTACTAATTAAGGACCCAGGAACACCAATTGGCATGCCGCCCCTTCATCTCATCTCATGTCGAAGTGACGGCACCGCCGTCTTATTGAGCTCTCCACCATGACACATCTCGCTGTTACTGACTTCCTTCTTCCTTTTATTATGTACTATTAAAGTCCTGCTCAACATAGCCAACAGAGTCGTTGCTTGAGGTCCTTGCGCTTCCCGCTTTGATCAACCGTTGAGCCAAGACGTAAACGTCCCGAGCCATCTTGCATCTATCACCATCACCAACAACACCAAGTTGCTTTGACTTTGACAAATCTTGAGATAAATTCATTCCTCCTTCTCCTCCTTCGTCGTCGTCATGATCGATTCAGCTCACCTGTTTGGTCGTGACGACTTGTCTATCATCATGGCTCCTGGACCTGGAACCATCACCACTCCATCTCTCACAGCCAACCTTGTTTGCAGAGTTCTCTTGGGGCTCCTCGCCAATATTGCCTGTATAGTCCCTCTAAAGAACCTCTACCGCAATGGAGAATTTGCAGCTGTTGTCTTTATTGCCAACATCGAATGGTCAAACCTTGACACAATAATTAACGCCCTCATTTGGCGGAACGACGACACCAGCAAGTGGTGGAATGGCGAAGGATTCTGCGATCTCAATGCTTATTACGTCAACTTCACCAACGCTTTATTTGGAACCTGCCTCCTGGCCATCATGCGGAATCTTGCCCAGCAAGTCGGCCTCCTTCGTGCCAATGCCCTCACAGTTCGGGAGAGACGCCGGCGTAACCTGGTCCAGGCACTTGTCATGTTTCCCCTTCCAATCGTCCAGGTCGCATGGGTCTGGCCATTGACTACTCAACGATACGCAGTAGCTACCCTGGCTGGATGCAGCTGGATTGCATGGCCTTCGTGGCCATACATGGTCTTCTTCGTCCTGGCCCCTATTACAGTCGCACTGATAACATCTGGATATGCGAGTGAGTCTATACCTCCCTTATCACCTAGCTATAGATAAGTCTAAGTTAGTTAACACACACAGTCCTCGTCTATATACGCTTTCGAGACATTGCAGAAACCACTCGTTCGGCCGTCAACAGCAGCAGGTCTGCTAACCAACGCGCTCAGAGGACGAAGCGTCGCCTGTACCTAATGGTCTTGACTATCTTAGTCCCTTATCTACCTCTAGTGGTCACCCTCGCTGTTCTCAACATGCTGAAGGCATTTCCTCTTCAGCCCTTTGATTACGACCTCATTCATAATCGAGTGATCCCCTATCCATGGTCGGCAGTCGTTTTTGTCCCTTCCAATGGTGTCAACTTCGGGTATTTGAACAACTGCTATATCCACATCCTTTCCGCCATTCCGGTCGTCATCTTTTTTGGCATGACCAAGGACGCCATGAATAGTTATCGTCGCGGCTTGCTCTGTCTTGGGTTTGGATGTCTCTTCCCCAAGCTTCACGAGGAGTATGACCCCGACAGGACAATCGGTGGAAGCAGTTCTGGACACTCTCATCTTATGGGCTCCACAACTTCGACGTAAGTAGATATCTGGGGAGTTTTATGTTCATAGAACTAATTTCACATAGTGCCTCTTCGATATCAAGCAAGATCAGGAGTCTTTTGTCTCAACGCAATTTGAGCACAGCGTCCTCTGCAAGCCTCAACCCAATATCTTTACAGTCCACCGACGCTGCCCCCGTGACTCATGAATACGAGTTGGGACCTCGATTGGGTGGATTGCAAGTGTCACAGTCGCCTTTACGGGAGATTTCCTATCCTCCCCCAACTGTTTCGGCTTTCTCAGAACCCGTCAACCCACCTCTTCGTAACCCTTTCCTCTTCCGCACGCGCTTCGACATGCCCGCCATTCCATTTCCTTCACTCTCCTCATTTCGCTTCAACAAGAAGGATAAGCGACCCCCGCTTGATCGCGGTTTGCCTCTCGACTCTCTCCCCTCCGTCGTCAACAACCAGTTGTGGGAGGACAGCTCCGCTACGCAGCCTTGCAGTCAGACACTTGTCTGGGCTGATAGGGAGATCACCCCAACTCCCGGTACTTTTACTACACAGTCCAGCCTGTTGGTTCCCATGTCATCGACGTATTCTGTTTCGACTGAACCTCTGCAGGAAACATATCGGCGCTAGGAGCGCATGTATGGCTGGGCGAGATGACAAACACTATACATCCAAGGGACGCAATGGAATCCCTGTCATTTGTCTTCTTTATTGCCATTTTGTTTTTAATTTAGCTCGTATTACCCGGGCTCGGCATCATTGCAGGCGACGGCGTAGGTGTGAAAAGTTTTTACTCTGGTTTAGATGTACGTCGTCAAGTACTTTCACAAGTCATAATAATTCACCTTTCGTGAACACCTTTTCTCCTTTTACTATTGATTCAGAGAGATGGCTGTTGGGCTTAGATGAGACTGAATTCTGGATTTTGCCATCGAATTGAGAGCAACAGACGCACTAGACTAATCCCTACGCGTTTATCTAGTATATATATTGTAGTAAGGAGCTTTCCGAGCTCCAGTATCATATTTTACCCATACTTCATAACCAAACCCCCCCCCCCCCGACTTTTAATAGTGACCGTGAAACCCATTGGTATCATAAATATCGAAAGAGATCAAAGATGGGTATGTGAAATGGTTTGGTGAATAAAAAGGAAAGAAAGAAAGAAAGAAAGAAATTAATTCGTAGTATAATGAATCCAGAGGGGAGTTGCTGAGGACATTGGTTACATGTCTTTTGCGTGCCTCTGAAGCTTACGCATAGCCTCGCGATGAATGTCAAGAAGGTCGCCATTTCGCATTCGTTCGTCGAATGCTTTGTCAGCCCATTCTTTTTCACGCTGCTGTGTCTCGCGGCGCTGGGCTTCGGCTTGCTTTTGACTCAGGAGGATGTTGCGACTCATGTCGACACTGCGCTGGACCTCGACTTCTCTGCTGGCCAAGAGAGACGATGGGGTGAATGGCGTCTCGCGGCCAGAATTGCTGATGACAGGGGTACCTGCGCGTAACTCATGCTGAACTGACTGTCGGAATGTTGCAAGGGCAGCCTCGCGGGCTGAAGAGGTGGGAAGAGTTGACACACGTTTGGGTTGGTGGGTGTTCAACAGTGCTTCTGAACTATTGAAGCCGTTACTATTGCTGCCACCACTGAGCCGCTGCAAAGATGGTGTTGAAACAGAAGGGCTTAGACTGCTCTGTCGCATGAGTTCCTTCCTCTGATTTAGGGGCAAGTCGTCCACATCTACACCAATAGCAGCGGCGTACATCGGATAATTGTTGAGTGATCCTGCGTCGCTCGAGGCTCTGTGCCGTGTAGGAAGGTTCACGTCGGATGAGCTGGGCACTAGGTTCGCTGCCGATTTATTGCGGAGATACATTTCTCGTTGGCCAAGGAGAGTCTGGGGGCTCGAATAAGATACAACGCCTGGTGTTGAAGTGCGTTGACTTTCATTTGCCGCTGGAGCATTCAGGTTTTGCATCCCCATGGTTTCTTCCTCAGCAATCGGTGGGGTCAGGCTTGGAACACTTTGTTCTTCTGCAATTGGAGCAATTCCGCCCGAGGCTATTCGCAAGCCTCCCGAAGAAGTTCGTGCCATAAGGCTACTAGTTGGAGTGGTCCCAGGGCTTCGACTCTGACTCTCGCCTGTGAGCAAAGCGAGAGCGGCTGGAACGTGTTGCTTTACGTTGCGTCTTGAAGCAGTCTGCGAGTAATTGGACGCTTGAGAGTCCGGTCTTGGAATCATGGGCGCAGGCGTTCCTTCGGCTGATGATTTTCGGAGCTCGTCGACATGTACAGGTGCGGGCGCTTCAATAGTCGGAACTACTGGATTTCGAGACGCCTCGATGTGGATTTCATCAACTTCGGGAGCTTCGGCGTTGCTCAGATGCTTGGCCCATTCGTTGGTTCTGTAGGAAAGTGCTACCCGCGAGAGTGACCTAGGTAGCCGATCTTTAGTCAAACTCACACGGGCTGATGAGCCAGAAGTCGCAGATCTGGTCTTTTCCACGTCAGCCGAGGGAGGCTCTTCGGCCTTGATAGCATCGTTTCCATCGGCATGCATAACCGTCTCCTGGTCGATTGGGGATGGGCTCGGTTTACCCTTGTCGTCCTTCTCAGAGAGCTGGGCGTTAATCTCAATGCTCTTTGGGAGCTCTGAAATCGGACGGGATTGGCGACCATCACCACTCAAGCTGTCGTCATCAATTGTCGCCGCAACTGAGCCGTCATCGTCTCGTGGTCGCGATCGTGGAATCACTAACTCATCAGTACTCTCGCCATGTTCGTTTTCTTGATGGTCTCCAAAGACACGACTAGATCGATGTGAAATGTTGCCGAGAAGCTCCATTGATCCTCGGGACAGGCGAGAAAGTCGCTTAGCAAGCGAGTGTCGATGGCCCGAAGTATGAATTCCAGTATCCTCTTCTTCATCAGCGAAGGTCGCCACCGAAGAACGATCACCGTTCGTAAGCGCATCATCATTATCATCAGCGACAGGAATGGTGAATGGGAGAGGAATGACAGGAGGTACAGCAGATTTGGCAACAGATGACTGTGTCGAGATGCGCCGATCAACCTCTTCGCCTGTGAGAGGGAGATTTTGCATAGTAGTTCCGGTATCCAATTGCTGATCCCCTCTCCCCATGACTAGCTGTACTGTATCATCCGTGGCAACGCGAACTGTGACCCTGCCGTCTTCATCTTGGTCAGAAGACATCAATGTTAGGGTAGGCTGTTTTTTAGTTTGAACAGCATCTGGCATCTCCGCCATTTCGATGACCTCGACGATCGAAGTCGAGCGTGTTTTAGAGGAGTCCGTTTGGCTGCTGCGATTCCTTTTTTCGTTTGTGGGCTCTGCATCGTCCGAGTCACGCGAGGCTGTCAAGCTTCTGACGTCTCCATCACCATATATTCTCTCCCATTGGCGCCTTTCTCGAGCGTTCGCTTCTTCAATGTTCCGGCCGACTTGCTCCTCTTCCTCGCGGAGGTTGCGCTCTCCTTCAGCAGCTTCCTCTGCCTTCTTTTCACGCTTCTCCCGGACAATTTTCCATAGTTTGATCTGGGAGATAATACCAAAGAGAAAGATGATGATGATGGCTGCAGTTTCCACGCGGATACCCTTAGTAACCGGGTATGTATTTGCGCCAAGAGGGAATAAATCATCGTTCAGTTCCCAAACCCAAGCCCAAAATTCCTTCAGTCCAGCCCTGCTAAAGCAGTCTATTCCCAGGACTGTAACAGTGGCCCCAGAAAAGGAGATCATGAGGATAAGCGCCCAATCCCGAGTATAATGGCTGAAGTAGAATGCAAACCCACCTACGGTGAAGCAAGCAATAAAGATGGCTTTCGCAACCACAGGCCCGAGTAACCCTCCAGGAACCAAGCAAAGAAGCCACATGCTAATGCAGAAGCCACCCAGGGCACAGCCTAGACCCTCAGTGATCTCCCGAAAGAACATTGAGGCTCCGCCGAGGACGCACCCGGAGATGACGGCGGCAACCACATAGCCTCCCTGTAGAGCATCGCTGACTTCAGATTTCATGACATAAACAATGAGGACGGCAACGCCCAATGATGCGGCGAAAGCAGTCGAAAAAAAAGTATGGATCATTCGGTTCTTGATCCCGACAAGGCCATATGCGAGGCCAGTAATAAGTAAGATAGTTCCTGCAACGCCCCAACCCGGAGTGAGCCTAGGCTCAATGGGTAGTTGTCCAGCGGGTATCGTAGCTAGAAAGTATTAGTCAATTTCTCAATCAACATTTCTGTCTAGTAATACCATTGTAGTAAGAGGAATCATCAAGTCCGCTTTCAAGGGAGCCATCTGTGCTGGTTGATGAAGGGTCTGAACTCTGTGTTTTCTCTGTCTCAGTAGCAGCCACTGAGATAGACTCGGTTTGAGACTGGGATTCTGAGGTATCAGATAGTTCTGTCTGCCTCGCAGAAACTTCGCTAGTCTTCGTGGCACTACTGTGTGCACGCGTTGACGTCGTGCTGGAATCGATTGCTGTTGTCTTCTCCGGGTTGTCGTCCGCTCTTGGAGCTATCCTAAAAACCTCTCCGCTAACATGCTGCACGATGAAGAGTAGACAGAACAGCGCCCACAGCCGAGGCCATCGAGAGTGCATTGTATGTTAATGGTATAAGTTGGTATGTACGATATTGATAATATGAAACCCAAAAGGTCTCAGCGATAGTATGAGATTATGCAAGCATCATCAAGTGCTAAGCTCAAGGTGTTCGAACTGGGGTCAAAATAAGAAAAGAAAAAAGAGAGAAAGATAGAAGCCTAGATCGAAAGCAGTTGAGAAGTGACACTGTTGTGCGAGATTCTGGGCGGATAAGATTTGGTTCATCAGGGTTTTAGTTGGTAACGGAGGTGATATCAGGTTGGCAGGTGATAGAAAGCAGATATGAAAAAAAGAACGTATGACCAAGGCGCTTTTGGTGTAATCTCGACCGCGACTATCTTCAACAAATGGATGTGATAATATCGACGTCGGATCGGCAGCACAGCGCAGGACGTCGGAGAAACAGAGCAAGCCCTCAAATCAAGATCTAACACCTCCAGAGGAAACAAGCGCAGCAATAAAAGAGAGAAGAAGAGGTGACAGAAAATGGTCAAGAACCAAGAGCCGGGAAGGGTGTGGTATCATAGTTATCGTCTGCTGAGTGGGTGTGTTCCTCACGTTCAAGATCCGACGGTGGGCGATGGAGTCGAGACGGATGCGATGGGATGGAGACACGGAGATCGGCTGGGTATACCCTTGTTAGCATGGCCCAAGATTAGCAATGACTGGACGAAACAGTAGCAAATGGCGCGGCCGTTGAGAACAGCCTCTTGGGCCAATTTCCCAAGCGCCTCCTGTGACGCTGTGGTGTCGTGATGGATGGTCGACGAACAACTTACAGGACATCACGGTCCACCGTCTTCCTGGTCCTTGGCTTGCAGCAGCTTGCAATCACCCACTTTTCAGGTTACCCTGTTCGGGATTAGCCGGTGGGGATCACGCCTCGAGCACCCCAGGTACTTAGCGACCCACCCCTAATCGAGTTGAAAGGCAGCCAATCGCAGCCAAGATGTACCTGTTTCGAGTACTTTCAGGTACAAGCTCAGCCCAATCAGGCCACAGCCGACCATGTTTCATTCAACGAGCTTACCTAAGGTACCTTAGGTACTAAGCTCTTCGAATTGATAACCGAGTCGTCAATAAAACGCTGCCTCCATCAACAGCTCCATTGAAGAATGAGCAAAATTCAATTCTCCTCTGGCAATGACCCTTCATCTCATAACTCAGTAAGGCTGCTACAATTTTTGAATCATCTTCGCCTCACAACCTGGTCGTATCTTTCTGAGACGGAACGCATAAGAGCCGCGCCTTTCTCTCCACTTCCCACACAGACATGCTTTTTCTCAGATTACACATTACAGGGATTCTGCTGAGCGGCTGATTAGTAGCGGGCTCTGTGAGAGCATGCAGACTCTGCTGGGGGCTGGCACTATGTCTCCAGTTCCATCCCTGTAAGGCATCCAGATCCATGTGAATGAGGCCTTTTGGATGGGCACAACATGGTGATTACCACACACATACCTGTCGCTGCTGGTCTTGTGCTCTCAGCTGGGGAGATACTCTTCCTGTTGGCATATTCCGTTCGACCAAACGAATGATGTGACTTCATCCACGAGGGGGCTTTCGTTAAAACATTCGATGAGAGAGTATTGCCTTGTCAATGGGTTTTCCCCTTCCGATCTTCTGAGAGCAAACGCTTGTCTCCCCTGCGATGCACACATACTAAAAGCAGGCAGACTAGCTGGCTGGTTATGTTGCAAGCCATCAACGATGCTGCAGGCAACTCTGCCTCCAGCCGATGCCATAGTCACACGTAGCTCAATTGGGGTCAGTTCTGCATCATCACCACTCGGAGTCCACGAAATTATTGGTCTTGTGAATGGGCCAATCTACGTTGTCTCATACCCCAGTCTGCCTCAACAGATCTTTCTTTGCCTTGGACTCATTGTCAAGGGCCATTGCCTTCTTCAGCTGCGCCTCGAAAGCCCCCATCAATGCCGTGTTTGATGACACAACTATATGTTGGCTGCGATATTGCAGACAAGTCACCTATGGCGTGGCACACCGGCTCACCAATAAACTCTGCTCTGTCTCAGGAGACGACAATGCTATGTATGTCTACCAGCCACTCAGCCCCTCGTTATTCCACCGGGATTCTCCTCTACCAACGAACCTGAGCTTTAAGCTGCAACAAAGAATGGTCATACCTTAACTTGTGTAAAATTTTCGGGCTATCATCCGAGCTTCTAATTTAAGTCTCGTGCAACGTGAGTTAACGCCCATAGCGGCATGGCCCATCATCCAGGGTCCATTTCGAGACTCAGAGCACGGAGAGTGAATTCTCTTCTTTTCTGGAGGCCCAAGCGTTGCCTTCATTGTTCTGGAACATTTTGGCTTCACACTGAAGTGCTCTCATATTTGTTTCTGGCATATGATTGAGGGCTTTACTTGCATATGCACATCAAAGCAAAGACCTCCAAGTGGCCTTTGAATTTGCTGCAAATACGTGGAAGTTATATGCGTGAATGGCTGTTGAGGCGTGGGCATCACTTGTCCGTAGAGTCTCGTCAGATGTCTTGCAGACTTGCTGTTTAGTCAATCATTGGCTTCAGTCGCCCGTTCTGGTCCTGGTAAGAACTTGTAACACTGGAGGATTCTTGAGTTCGGGTATATTTAGAGTATTGAGTAGTCGAACCTGGATTTCCCTCTTCCTAATACACTTTCAACCATTGACGGCGATCTATGAGCGTTGCGGCATATTAGCTTCCCCGTCGACATGCACAACAGATGTCGACTGGTGAGCGCCCAGCGATGGTCCCATAGCACAAAATGCAAAGCCTGCCGGTGCATATGTACGCCAGCAAGCAAAGGTTACCTTACCCAACACCTGGTCAGTAATAGCTCAGAATACTATACTAGCTCTCGATCAGTCGCTTAGCGAATCGGCAACGGCTTGATTAGTTTCAAGGCTATGTCAGCTTCTTATCTCCTCTGTAGAACTTGTGGTTTACTATAGCTCGGCAAGGTCACAATCCATGATCGAAGATGGACGTACTTACACTGGAGAGTTTTGCCTTGGCCTGGAGGTACCAGCGGATACTTTAATAAATCCTCGTCTCTTTACCCTTTTGGAACATACGCTACTGTACCTGGACACCGGCGCCGAGCGGTAGGACGCGTCTGGAAATTAAAGAGATTAAAGCGCTCCACTCTTTTTGTTTGTCATTGTCCACAAGCTTCAGCTGGACAACAAGCTTATAACAGGCCAGATCATGGGTGCTTTCACCATGGATGCCATCACGCCCAGCTCGTGCTCTTCTCGCCAATCTTGTCACGGGAAGATCATCAGCCAAAGTAGAGACGCGCACCCCCTGTCAACCTTGTTTCCCTCCATGAGAATGAGAGAAGCAGCGGCGGGCGTCGTATGAAGAAGGCTTACGGACAATGTTGAGGTCAATACCGATATTCAACATGGTGAATGTGAAAATGGGTCTAACGTTAGCTTATTATTGTCCATGTGGAATTGCAAATCCCCCGTCATCCTCAACATCTACTTGGTTGATCGACGTGTTCTATCGTGTGCAAGCGAGGTGTGCAACGAATGAATGGTGTCACCCGTTTATTTTGTTCCCATTTATTGTTCCACCAGTTGAAAGGCCCAGTGTTTTGGGTGAAAGATGTTGATCCAGTTGCAGTCTCTTGGAGTATCACTCATTGCTACTGGGATGTTCTTGATATCGAATCAACAACAATAAACTCGGACCCGTTACAAGCACACGAAGCGCAGAACATCTGTCATACTCTCGTCATCTTACAGAGCCAGCGTGTTCCTAAGCGCAACTTGATCATGTCTTTGGCCTCTCGTCCAAGGCTTGGTATAGTGTCCGATACTCAGCTTTAGGTTCAATAATTGACAATGCCTCACACCAACCCCATGCTGGTAGGCCTTAGCGGCTTATTGGCGATGGGATTCCCGGCCACGTGCTGTACTGTACTTGATGGACCGAAGAAACAAGGGTTGACGCGATCGATGATCGAGCAATTTGTTTGAATTTTCTCTATCCTTGTCCATCCTTGTCAAACTTAGCGCCTCGCTGATATTACCTATCATTTGCCGATTCAAGCATTACATAGAACAGCATGACAGCACATGCACAACTTATCAGAGTAACATCCGGATGTGTGACGCGGTAAAGTTAATTCCTAGCTCCGACCACCTCCACCAGCCGTAATCCTGTCTATTCACAAGCTCATTGCCTCGAGCTGTATGTAGACCGAGTCGAGTTCATGCAGGGAAATGGGTACAGGTTGAACAAACAACCTTCTCTATCGCCGACTCGAAATTAGCTTATCTCAAGTCACGAGCGTATCTTTCTGGCTCGCATCGATTTTGGCGAGAGTGGTGCTCATTAGATTCAACCTGAGACAAGAACCAACTTGCACGAGCTGGTGTATTGTTGATTGCTGAATTCACCCACAATGCCCGAACGACATCGACCTTCGGGAGCTGAAGTTGACCTCAGATTGGCTTCGCCAGTCGTGACAAGCCTTCTCTTTGTTTAATTACAGGATCCATTTTGGGGGGTCATTGTTGCGCTCTGTACACCTACCTCACATCCACTCACTCCGACCAAGAAATTTGAGTCCCTCAACCGATGATTCGGTCACAAGTATGGTTGCAGTTTATATCATTTAGGGAACCCCGTAACTCAAAGCCGTTCAAAAATAACTTCTAAATATCAAAAAAAAAAAAAAAAAAAAAAAAAAAAAAAAAATTAGCAAGTGTAACTGTAACATTCAATACGAGCTCATGTTCAGTAGGTGTGTCTCGAAAGGTATTCACCGGCAATGAGGCTACTAGCTGTGAATCATTCTCGAGAATTGACAAAAAGAATATCATTAAAGCCTATTACACAATGCGTAATCGCAACGCTCCATTATCGCTTGGCAACTCTGGATGGAACTCTATCACCGTTATATCTCGGTTGCACAGACGCCTTCCCGTTCCTACTGCTGCGCGACATCTTTGATGAAGGAGGACTCTTCTTTTTGCTCTTACTCGTGAGCACTAACAGTGTGCTCAGAGGTAAAAGCATGATTCTTAGCAGCGTTTTGAACGGGAGAAGGATAATGACGGTGAGTGATTCCACCGTCCACATAAACATGTTCTTATGTGATGCACTATTCTTCGCAGCACTCGCAGCAAGGGCGATAGCATCATCCAGTCTTGCATCGACCCCTGAGAAGCGCGACTCTGTCTGAAATTGGAGAAGCGTCGCCTTCTTCTCGTAACGACGAACAGCCCTATTGAGCGCGTCCAATTCCGGTTGAATTGCGTTACGCACATCGCGTGCCACAACGCTGTCCTTCTGCTTTGCTTTGCTAATCTCCTGCTTTGTTTCTTGGACAGACATGGTTTCTTCCGCTGCGAAACGTGACTCGAGTCGTTCCAGCCGCGCGAGTACGGATTCCAATTGTCCCAAATTCTCACTACTTTTCTGGAATCTGGATGGTCCTCCTTGTACTACCCGTTGTAAGTGAAGCGTCCTCGACTGAACCAGCTTTATCATGTGGGACAGAACCCGAAGCTCGGCTACGAGAAGGAAGATTGTCAAGTTATAGTTGGAAACGAGACCCTCGGAGGGGCGACTGAGCTGTGATCGGATGGCGTGTAAGAGGTATGCGCCGAGGAGTGGAAGAATGAAACACGAGGCTAGGGCGATTATTTCGTAATAGTATAGTTCCGCAAGAGCTTCCTGCTGCTGGTTTGATGGTTTCGTATCCTGCAATTCCTCAGTCGGTTCGGTCTGAACTTCTTGGTATTCCGGTACGTGATCAAGCGGCGAGTGAGGCGCTGGCATGTGGGTGCTCGAGTCGAGGTCGCTATCATCGTCGATAACACTATCGGTTGTTGACTCGTGCTGTATCCGTACCTCCTGCGCTGAATGATACCATGCCCTGTCCAGAATAAGCACATGTTCTCGAAAGTTGCGGTAGGGGAAAGCAAAGGATAGGAGCTTACCATGGCTGTGTCACAGACCAGTGAAGGAAAACGCCAGCCAAGCCCAATAACATAACATCCGTTACTACAGCGTTCCCATTCTTGAATAGAACACCAGATATAGCTGGAAGAAGAGCAAAAGCCAATGACAACGATGCTAGAGAAGATGTTTCTCCAGGAGAAGACTCAGTGCTGCTGGGATCTCGAAGCTGGGGATTCAGAAGATCTCGAGCTTCGCTGAGACTATACTCTGAAAAGTTTGAACTGCGGCGTGGCGGTATCGTGTCGAAACCAGGCGGTGACATATGTTGACGCCGAGAGGCAGCATCCTCGGCGACCGAGACGGTCATGGCACGGCGGAGTCCATGACCGGGAGGCGGGGCACTGAAGCTGGAGCTTGTCCCGGTAGCGGGTCTCCCGGCGGCGGACGACGCTGTATTGTCGTCCGTCATGGCCGAAGCTCAATCGCTGAAACCGCTATAACCGTTTGTGCAGGGCGGCGCTCAGTGTTGATGAATGGCCGAGCTTAAAACTATGTCCAGAGTATGTGTTAGGGAGAGAAAGGCGGCGCATTGGGCCAAGTCACGCGACAAAGCTCCCCGACGCGGAGAGTGAGGGGCCAAGGAAGACGAGGGAAGAGAAGGGCACCAGTCGAGGAAACGAAAAGGCAGGTGTAGGTGATGAAAGCGTTGTGCAACACTTGGAGCAATTGGAATGTGGTGGCGATGAGTTCATCGAGAGAGTGTGACGATGTGAGTTGTCTTAAAAGACGTCACTTACTAAGAGAGTGACCTACGGCATTGGAGAGTGAGACTGACGAGAGGGAGGCTCTTGGCTGTTTTCTGTACTACCTCCAGCACTTTATACTGTAATTTAGCGCTGGTGCTGGTGCTGGTGCTGGTCCCGAAGCTGAAGCTGGGCTGGCCATCGAATTCATTACATGGAACAGGCGGAGGTTTTCTTGAGCTAGTTTCCGTTCGTTCAGCTGGGAAAACGGGCCAGTTGTAGCTAAGTTATAATATCTCAAGTTGATGTGGAACAATGGCTAAGCTAGTGGGTGACATGGCCTTGTGATTTGACAGTCATCTGGATATGTCTTGAGATAGGTCTTGGGCCGTGTCGATCAGCATGCAAGGGAAGCGGGAGATCGAATCAAAATGTGCTTGAAGGTGTCATACTTGGTATGTTATGAGCAGCCTGCTCTGCACAATGGAAGATCTTGTCGAACATGGTGCATGCATTTGGAAGGATTGGGAGATATCCTTATAAAATATAAGGCTTTTGTATGGCTGTGAGTGAAGGGCGGATCTTGTGCCGTGTCTGATGTCAAGCTGTAAGGATAACTAACGAATGGCCTGAAATTCATGTAGCTGTCGGTAACAAAAAAGGTTCCAGAACGTCCAGCATCTCTATAGCTGGGATAATCACGGAATAGTCCCATATCAATTTGAGTGCTTTATGCAAGAGTCCCATTCAGGCCCGGAAGTCGGTATGTCCGTTCAGGAGTTCTGTTTGGAAAAAGAACCTGGAGACGACAACAGAATCGAGGCCGTCCTTCTTTTCAGCAGTGTGACGTCAACGTTCAGCTGATGTCGATAATGTCGGGTAGTTCCAGAGGATCAGGGGTACAGAAGATCAACTCCATCACAAGAGTTCACGTGCAGCACGTCTTAATAATAACGACCTGCAGTATATCATGCAAGCGAGGCTGACTAGGGTAGTAAATCTCTCTTCCGTCGTAACGATCTTGAAAATTTGCAAGGGCAACTAAATTCGAGACGTTCGTCCCATCTTGAGACAGGGGCTATCTCAGGTGGAATGACTATGACAACTGCAAGAAACGTGACATGTTCTTTGAGTCAAGTAACTGCAATAATGGCTTCCAAGGTCTGCAAATGCTCGAAGGATTATGTGTATGCAAGTATAGGACGATGAAGAAAGCAGAAAACGGCCTCGCAGTTGAGGCCATCACTACTCTGTACATTGCATGAATATTCAATCAGCCATGAACTAAGAAGATGCCTCGGAACTCAGCTCAAAGCCAACCATCAGTTCTCTGGACAAGGATTCCCAACGCCCGCACAAATTGAAGCCCAGCATGGCGTCACCCAAGGGACTACGTAAACCCCCTGTAAAAGCCGTCGCCTGTCAAAAAAAAAAAAGAAAAAGAAAAAAGACCAATTCAGGGGATGGAGACTAGTTTGTTGGAGCCCAGAAGCTCGGAAGCCCCTGGTTCCAGGTTTTGAAGATTCAAGATGAAGATTTGATGACGAGAACAGAGCGCCAGATACCAATTAGCACACACCCTGCATGCCTAAACGACCTACTGGATGTCAGAGATAGCCCAGATAGGAAAGGGAAAAGAAACTGTAGAGGTCTTGGCTCCTATTTTCTGCATGACCAGATGTCTCGATGTACTCTTTAAAGTAGATCTGGTTTTGAGTGATGACACTTGGTTACAATAAAGTTGCTGTATTCCCCCGTGTCTCGCTCGTCCACTCGTTGCTTAAAGACACCATTGCAGAACAAAAGAGCCTCATCTATCGACATCATCAGAACCACTCAAGAACTTAAAAGAGCCCGGTTGTAAGCTAACAGCACAACTACCGTCCGTTATATGAGGCTAATTCATCTAAGGCTTCAAGCGAGCGCAAATCTCCGCCTGTTGACCAAGAATTCCAACCCTTGGACCTTCCGGTGATACCGGCCAGGGAAGAGAAGAAAAAGAAAAAGGAAACACGATCAACGTTATAAAGGTCAAGGGGGGTTGCAAAGCCTTCTTTTACACTCCTTCATCAGGCTTCTCCTGGTTTGCTCAAGTACGCCGAGCAACCGTCGACTTATTAGAGGGTCAACCGTCCAATAGTGTTACGACAACTAGTCGCAAACTCGGCAGCCCTACTGATAACCCGTCCATCTCTAGCAAAAGTCTCCTCCAAGATTTTATGAGATTCAATTCCTTCCCAACTGAAAACATCCACATGCTGAGCAAGGCGAGCTGAGAGAACGCAAAGTCACTTTCGCCTAAGGTAGGGGCTCTCCTCCACTTAGGCTGCAGTTCAGCACTGAGGATGCTGGCTTCCAGGGCTTCCAGCAGCCCATCATCCACTAAGCCCCCTGTCAACCTCTCCCCAGCCCCCTTCCGCAGCCGTCATTGGCCCACCGTCAGCGAATTTCCCCTGGTTGACGTTCAGTTCCTTTATTGCTTCTTTTCTTGCTCTCTCTCTCCTTTGCCTGTCAACGACTCGAGCAATTCTCTTGCCCGCTGCCGCTCGACAATCCATCACTACGAGATCGAGGCCGATACCGTACACAACGACGATTTCACAAACGCCACTGTCTTCAGTCCTCCATTTTCTCTTAGCGCTCCCGATTTGAGTCTAGCAACAGCTGCAACGTGCAGTTGTCGCATTCCTTCGTTCTCTTTCTCTGCGTTTGTCTTCCGCCAACACCGGCTCCGTGCACAGGCAATTAGCGCCCAGCCGAACTCTCCAGGACGTAGCCAACAAGTCGACGACGGCTTCGGTCTCAATCTCGACCTCGATCTCCACCTCACTCACGTCAGCGTGAGAAGGACCTCGCCATTTCTAGCGAGCGCGGTCGTCCAGGCGGCCGTGCCGACAATCTGTTTCCAACGGATCCCCAACTTTCCCGACCTTTTCCCTCCAACCCCATACCGGCCGCCGTAGATGCACACGGCAACCCTCTAATACTGAGCCTCGAACCCCCAAGGTCCGCCTATCCCGGAACCGGCTCATCTTCTGGACAAGCCGCCGTTGCTGCTGCCGCCTCGAATATCCAGCGCCAGCCAGCTCGACCCTTTGACGGTTACCAAGCAACAGCCTTGCATCCTTCGCCATTTCGACCACAAAAGGCTGCTGGAGTTGTTAATCGTCCTCGTCGGTTATCAGCTGTCCGTCTCTGGAATCCTACAAATTCGACACCTCGGCCTCATACCAAGCCCGAATCGTCGCGTAAACGTCGTCCCTCGACCCCTCCACCACCATCCATTCCTCTTAAGCACCCGACATTCGATACCCGAGCACCGCCCGATCCCATAGGTACTGGACCCAGCGATTATCCTCTTCTTACGCTTTCCGAACAACATCAGATAAGGCATTCTTTGACGCCTCGCGCAAGCCTTCAGGTTGATAGGGCCGGCAGCAGTGACAGGCGCATAAGCCTACCGAATTCTGTGCGCGCTTCTTACGACGAGAAAGGGTCTCGCAGGGGTGCAGTGTCCGCCGAAGAACCACGCCTTAGCAGGGACCTGTTTGCTCAGGAGACCGTGGTGGAAGATCCAATTGTCAAGATTGACAAGGGCAAAGGGAAGGCTGTGATGATGCCAGAGACCGACGATCCTATGCCGTCTTATGGCAAGGATCTGGAGCGTGGTCCTGACATCATGGACCCGCGGATTTCTAACGTCTCGGCTGGCGACGGAATAGGATCTGCTCTGTCGACGACAAATTCTTCTATTATGGGTGAAGATGTTGAGCCCGATGCAGCTGGTGAATGGGGTCCTCAGCACCCTTGCTATCCTCACCTCAACCCTCATGTTCCCGTCGACTCACCTGAATATGTCAACACGCGCATCATTCGAATACGCCGCGACTGGTTGATCAAGGGCGATTTGGCACCGACATTTTCCAACCTATACCCAGAGATCCTGGATCCTGCTGGTCTATCCGAGCAAGAATTCCGCCGAATTATCGAGAAGCTTAACGGCGAGTTGATTCTTACGTTCGACCCTTACGGCTTGCGGAACATAATTGATGCTCTCCTTGGACTCGTCACTGGTTGGATTTGGGATGACGTTGGCCTCACTGGAATCAAGTCTCGACTGAATAGTCTCGAAAAGTGGATTGAGCAATGGAATCTTGAGATGGAAAAAACGATTGGCACTGAAGATGGTGCTATTCCACCCAAGATCTTGCCTCTGCGGCAAACGGGCTACATGACTGTAAAGTTACTTTTTTTCATCGTACCAGGGAAGTTACTAACGCATTGATAGCTCGATATCCAGATTCCTGATCCAGAGATTGCACCAGCTCCCAGCACCACGAACCCCAATGATTCCAGAACAGCCTTACCTTTGGAGCCTCCATCCGCTGTTGTTTGAACAGATAAACTGTCACTTTGTGACGCCTTTCTTCGACCGATTGACAGACCGACACTTCGTCAATTCCCTTTGAACTTACTTTCTTTAATTCCTTGACGACGAACGAGACAGCTCCTTTGATGAACAGGACGTCTCTTAACGAGTTGCAACAAGCAGTCTATACCCTCAGACTTGCGAGATGTTATTCCCTTTTATCCATCTTGATACCACAACACATCGCGCGGCGTTTTTTTCTTTTTTTCGGATTTGTTTGTCTTACATGAGAAGCCAGCTACTCATTTCTAAGGACTGGTTTTAGTGTTTCCATACTCATCTTGGAGAGATGATAGGTAGAAAAGTTGAGGCGATGCTGCCCAGACAAACCTGGATCAGGTCCAGGACCTACCTCTTGCTTGGCATGACTAGCTCTAGAGATGAAGATGAGAGTGTTGTCTGCTTGGGAGGCAATTATTTTAATTCGCGTAATTGTATCATCATGTACTTTGATATGATATATCTGTCTAATGCTATGTAACCCCTAATTGCTTCCTACTTGTTTTATCGGTTGATGGTGTAAGTAACCTCGGATATCCGTTTCGGCCCGCCTTCCAAGGACAATTCAAAGTCCGCCCTCTTGACCATTTCGTGATGTCGGTAATAACGCGGGCGGTCTTTGTCCCTGCCAAGCTACCAGGCCCCAACCCATAACCTTTTGACGAATGATACCATTACTGCCCATGTCATTACAAGAAGCAGCATTTGGTATATAACCGACCATCGGCACCGTACGTTCTCTCGCACTTGATCTTTCGAAGGACCAAAAATGGCGGAAAAGCCGTCGAGACTGGAGAATGTCGATTGAGGAAAGGCAGAAGCCTCCAAGAGGAGCAATTGGCTGGTTTAAGAAAGTGCTCAACCTCATACTGGCACAATATTTGGTTATTGGGTTCGCTACTGCTTGTGTTTTTGGATATTTTTTCCCATGCAAGTTATGGCTCTCTCTCGCCAAGACAAGTGCTGACACCCCGTTCACAGCTGTTGCTCAGCATGGAGGCATCATTCGTTCAGAGTATAGCATCCTCTACGGCGCGGTCGCATTCATCTTTCTCGTTAGTGGGCTACAACTATCACCAGGGAAGCTTCGGGAGAATGTGACAAATTGGAGATTACATATTCTGGTCCATGGGATTAGTTTTGCCGTTATCCCGGCCATTGTGCTTGGTGAGTTGTTTCTCTGCCATAGAGGATTATAACACGAGCTCATAGTTCTAGCCATTGTTCATATCTCTATCGCAGCTGGGGCTCTCAGGTCTCAAACCCCTTCGCCTCCGATCCTCATCGGCCTTCTTACCACTGCCTGTCTTCCAACCACTATTGCCTCCAATGTCGTAATGACACGGGCTTCAGGCGGAGACGAAGCCGCTGCCATTATCTCTGTTGTCATCGGCAACGTTGCTGGATCGTTTCTATCTCCTCTGCTCATATACGGATTCTTTCCAGCTGGGCATCCTGAAGCATTCGACAGCTGGCGCCCTGCTGATCCGTCCACCCTAGGACATATGTATGCAGATGTAGCCAAGCAGCTATGTCTCAGTGTCGTCTTGCCCCTTATTGTTGGTCAAGCTGTACGTTGGAGGTGGGAGGATCGCACCGTCAAAGTTCTCAATACTCTCAAACTGGCCAAGGTCTCAACACTGTGTCTTGTTCTGCTCGTATGGACGACATTCTCTGGAGCTTTCGGCACCGGAGCGTTGAAAGACTTATCTACAAGCAACGTCCTCTTCCTTGTCTTTATGAACGTTGCGTTATATGCTCTATTCACAGTTATCTGCTTCTTTCTCGCCAGACCACCTGGGCGCTTTGTCAGAACAGTGTCTTCATCCTGGCTTAGGCAAGTCTTCAAGCGCATGTCTAAAGAGCAGACGATCGCCGTATGCTTTTGCGGAGCGGCCAAAACAACGAGTTTGGGCATACCGCTAGCAAGTTCAATGTGGGCACGTGCGGATGATCTAACAAGAGCCTATATACAAATACCTGTACTGTTGTACACCATCGAACAGGTGTTCATGGCTCAGGGGCTAGTATACGTCTTTCGCTACTACATGCGGAGAGGAAACAAGGAACGTGGCAGCGAGGAAGCAGAGCAGGGTACTTCCCAAGAACAATGTTCTATCGAAGTACAAATGCAACCTGATGACCTCTCGAGGCAGGTCATTGATGAGGATGTGGAACAGAAAGGGCAGCGAGGTCAGTAGGCAATTTCAAACGTGTCTAAATTGGTGCATCGTTAGTCAAAGCTACAAAAAACAGAATTCAGGTCCAAATAACCTTATATGTCAAGGTTGTTTTAAACCACATATGCCGAATTAACTCTAATAAGATTACCACAATGCGTAAAGAGAATAAACTTACTCCAATGAAAGATATTGCCATACGTGAAGGGAATAAGTCGCACTTCTCATTATTAGAATTCATCTTCGATTTTTTAAATTCAATTGCAATAGATTTATCGGAGTATCATATTCGGGAAACCGTAACAATGATCATGATCTTCTTCAATTCGATCATTCTCAGGTCTGTCCGGCCTTAACACCATTCCCATTTACAGCATGCTCCTCCTGCTTGATAAGACTATCAAACAAGGGCTTTAGATGTTGAGCGCTCTTCTTGGGGTAACGCTTTTGGTCATTCTCGTAGTCGACATAAGTTACGCCGAATCGAGTTTCGTAACCCTCAGCCCACTCAAAGTTGTCCAGCAAAGACCAGGCAAAGTAGCCATGAACGTCCACGCCATCGAGTCTAGAAGCATCGGCCATGGCTCTCACGTAATCGTCATAGTACTTGACGCGGAAGTCATCTTGCAGGATCTTCTCTCGTGGCATGTCATTCTCACCCTTGATGCTGGTGCCGTTCTCGGTAACATAGATTCTGGGGAAGCCATAACGCTTGGAAATCCAGACAAGTAGATCACGGAAGCCTAGGGCGCATGGTCGCAACCAGGTAGACTGGGTCTCCTCGCCAATGCAATCACCCCGGTGGTTCCAGAAGTGCAGCTCAAGATTACCAACGTAGTCTTCAGGGGCAGCTTCTCCCTCCCGGTGCTTGACATAATTGGCAGTGTAGTGGTTCATGCCGTAGAAGTCATTGGATCCCAAAACAAGAGCCTTTTCCTCGGGGGTAAAGGTGGGAAGGCGGTCACCGAGCTGGGCGCGCATTGAGGCCGGGTAGTCTCCGAAGTAGATAGGGTCAGCGAACCACGAGATAGCAAACTCGATCTTGCGTTCGGCAGCCTCAACATCTCTGGGGTCCTTGGGGTTCCACGGGTATGTGGCGTCGCCGTTGAGGGTGATACCAATCTCACCGCCATTCTTGGGCTTGAATTCCTCACGATAAATCTTGACAGCACGGCCGTGGGCAACAAGAAGGTTGTGACCAACAATCCAAGGCTCAGTAGAAGAGTCACCAACATCGGATTTCTTGCGGTCAGAACAGCGACCGGGTGCGTTAGATCCTGTGCTGTAACCTAGAATGGCTGAGCACCAGGGCTCATTATGAGTGATCCAGTTCTTGCAGCGAGGGATAGACTCGAAAACAACACGAGCATAGCGCTCATAGTCAAGAGGAAACTCCTCTCGGTTCAGGAGACCGCCGTAGCGGCGGTCCAACTCATCGGGTACATCCCAGTGGAAAAGAGTAATGAAAGGGGTAATTCCAGCTTCCAGGAGATCATCGACAAACTTGCGATAATGGTCAATTCCAGCCTGGTTGATGGGATCATTTCGACCACCGAGAGGAATGATTCGAGACCAGCAGAGGGAGAATCGGTATGCCTTAGCGCCTACTGATTTCAGAAGAGCAATATCCTCAGCAGTACGGTTGTAAGAATCACAGGCGGTCACACCAGAACTGCCGTCTGCGATCTTGCCAGGCTTAGCGCAGAAGGTATCCCAGTTAGCAGGGCCACGACCGTCCTTATCGATAGCACCTTCAATCTGATACCTATCTGGATGGTCAATTACCGTCACTCGGTGGTACTGGGAGTTGGGTTACTTACGAGGCGGTGGCGAAGCCCCATTGGAAGTCCTTGGGGAGAGACATTGTGAATCAGGCTGGCTATCAGCCCTTCAAGTGTGGACTGATCTGAGTCGTGGTTCGAGAGAGCTAGTTATCAGGCCAGCTGAAACGAAAGAAACAAGAGTTGAAGGCCACAGGTTACAGTTGAGTGGAGGAGGAGGATGTTGGATTGGAAGAGAGGGAGGAGAAGATCATGTTTCTCTAGCATCACAAGACGCTCTTATATACCCCAACCTAGAACATGGGTTGTCGCTTTTCGTTCCACTCATAGCTTAGACTCTCTCCTCTCGTGTCAGCTACAATGCACGGTGAAACTGATGAATACCTTAGGTAGGTAGAAGGGATATGCCTCTCAATGGCCGTGTTTGTACTTCGGACCGTCATATCCGCGGCTGGATCATCTGCCACAAAAGCTGGGGTGGGGTTGACAAAAGCTGTTCTTTCACGACACGAAAAGACACGAACGCCAAGGTAGGGTACCTTCCTCAGTCGAATTGTGGGTTTATCACGCACAGCAACTGCCAGGGATCCATTGCTCAGGGCCACGCCTGTCTGCGCCTGCAGCTTGCTGATGGATGTCTCCCTCAACCTGGCACCCTCTTAAAAGGTAAAAGGCAACCCCAGCCAATGTGGTTGCCCCATGGGGATTGGTTTCAGGACCCTTCCAGATTCTCTTGCTGTTTGCTTCCTCCTTTGACTCCTCTTTTTTCCCTCCTTTTCTTCTCCTTTTTCTTCATCTCATTATAATTTTCCGGAAACTCACAATTGCCCAATTCTCAACAAGAGGTCTGGTAAAATAACAGATCCCTTGGACACTTAACTCTTTTTGTCCAACCTGGACCTCCGTTTTCGTCAGACGATTCCCGCTCATATGTGCCTACTCGAGCCTTCGGCCCGCCTCTCCGGCGCCACGACAGCCCGCTATCGCCAGAACTTCGGCACGCTCTGTAATGACCGCTGCAACTTCGCCTCACCGGATGAATCAAATGCAGGAGGAATTAGTTGATTCCCGAGATCTTATGCTCTGCACGTGGTGTCTCGGCCTCGAGATCCAAGGGTCCTCCCACCACTGTTTCCCATTGTTTAGGCTGCATTGTGTTTCGGATGCTGTGCTGTAACTGTGATCCTCATTGCTTCTCTATTTTGCATGTGCCTGCCGTGTCGCTCTCTCCCGGTTCCTGTTCCCACTCTATCAAACGGTCCGGACTGCATTGCCCCCGAATTTCCCGGGCTGCCATGGCTGCTAGGCCCGAAACACCAGTCATAGGTACTAACGGAACGGCCCAGATATCCGGACTCCCCATGCGGCTCAATGACGGATTTTGTCTTTTCGCTATCACCATATATCCATGCATATCTGCTTATCGTTTGGTTTTCTTAAACTGGTAGCTTCTCCTAATTCATCAGCATACAAGGATAATGGCTCAGATATTCACATGATAACGCAGGTTCAGAAAGCATGGCAGTACAATCTTTTTCGCAAACTATCTAATATGACAACCGAGATTGAGCCAACATGTCATCCAAGAGCCATGGGGTTGTTGAAATCGCTGCGAATATGCACTTGTCAACGCCTCTCGCCGTCGGAATTTTAGCAAGGGCCCCTCATCATTATCCCATCAGTCGTCAGCTTCCTCGATATTACAACAGTCACAATTGAGCCCAATTCGGTCAGCAGTACTTCCTAGTTCCCAACAGCACCTGCCTCCGAGTCGTCCCTGTCCTGTAGCTTTCGCTTTCCTGGGTTCGACATCTCCGCATCGTTATCTTCTTCCATCGGAGCCGTCGATTCTTCGCCATTGGAATATTCGACAATCTCCCACTCGACCTTGACTCGGCCATCATGAGATTGTTTGACACCTTGGCTTCGGCGCATGTTACCTAGGCGTGTTCCTTCTACCATGCCATCAAACCAGGGAACTCCATACGACTGACGCAATGCAGTGTTCCTACCCACCACTGCCGGTGACTGGCCTGCTGGGGCTTTGTCATCTTCCTCTTCTGGAATCAATCCCATGTCTTCCAGATCTCGCAAGTCCTCCCTCAGCAAGCTTCCGAGCGTAAGGTTGATGAATTCGGCCTCGGTATGCGGGTTTTCGGACCAGTAGGACAGTGGCGTACCACAGTAGCCGCAAAAGTGACGTTTTGAGTATTGTTGGCTAGGGTGTGTATAAACTCGTCGAATCAAGGCGTGTGTCTCGTCGGGGAAGAAAGAGTAGGTGGTACTATGATACCATGAAAGCGGAACTCGGATGTAGGCGGCCAGTGGAGTTGCAAGAGGTATCTCTGTAGGCATCTGTCAGCTCATATGCTCGATGCTCGCGGGTGTGTGTCTGAAGGACATCTCCGACTTACGATGTGCAGACTCAGTGTTGAAGAGAACCTGTGCCTCATTGATGCCATTTTGAGGAACAGCAATTATGTAACGGTTTCGGCCGCATTGGCAGCCGCCGCGCAACGGCCTGAGAGTGCTCATGGTTGACAGTGAGATTATGGTTGACTCTGTAAAGTGTGTATCAGTCAAGTCTATCAAGACAGGAAGCACGTATGTTTGTGTTTGGAGGGAGGGGAAAGTTTAGGTGATGAAGTCGAAGTGGTTGTAGTGAAGGGATGGAATTTGTTTGGTGATCAGCAGTTCCCGCCCACCTTCTCACCTCATCTCTGAAGGCTGCCCAAGCACGGGAAGAGCTCCAGGTGGCAGGCAGGACCCAGTAGGTGGGCAGGCAGTGACGACATATTCCAGTGAGTTCCCGCTAAACATAGAGTTTCTACGACTCTCTAGCGCTTCGTGGGGGTTTCTAGAATTACGCCGGCCCCACTGGACAGCTTAATGCCCCTCTTTTTGACGAACGTACGAGTTGTTGGCGAGTATGGGCATCAAGCTACCCTATAAACTATGAACAGTAAGTATGCCTGGCTTTAGAAAAGGTTTAGAGATAAACTTATTCGGGAACTATTGACTGTATTATTGTTATTCTGGGCGAGATATGTTTTTCTTGCTGATTTTCCTTGTGTCGTTTTTACTATCTACTCTAATTTATTGGTTGGGGTGACAGGTTAATCATCAGCGAACGTTCCAGCATAATGCCAACACCCAGAAAGAGCCATGCGCAATCCTTGACTTTGCATGCATGAAGGAAGGAAGGAAGGACTGTGCTTAAGTTTTAAGATGCACCCTGAACGCTTTATCTTTACTCAGTAGAAGATTAGACACAGACCTAGACTAGGTGAGGGAAGAAAACCTAGGCACTTAGTTCTATCAGCAACCAGAGGATTAAGCAAGTGTAGTATAAGTTCAGGAATATCTATAATGTAGTGATTTTTGGCGCCCCGTTTTATGATGCCCCTCGAGGCAAGGTTTTGACAAGAGAATCCTATACATAATGGAAGGAGAATGAATATTTGTCTTATTCCTTTGCCATTATCGCAACCCATCCATGAAACTGAGTCTCCCAGAGGCTTAAAAAACAGCAAAACGTGACAGAGCTAGCGAGATAGAAGCAAGGTTCCAAACTCATCACTTACTAACTCTACCTATTTGTTACATCATGTTTTTTATGTCTCAATGAAAGTGAGTGAAATGAGGTATCGAGGCTCCTGCACACACCGCACTATTCGAATAGTCAGCTTTTACCTACTATGACGCAGCTAAATCACCGAGCAACCTCTGCCACGACCACCTCATTAGGAGCCCAAGACTGCCTCACTCTTCAAAATACGACAGCCACTATTCCTCTTCTCGGTTTCGGCACCTACAAAATTCGCGGCCAAACATGCACCACCGCAGTTCTGGCAGCACTTTTAGCGGGCTACAGCCACATTGACTCAGCTGCGTTATATCGCAATGAGGTGTGCGTCTACGAAGCCATCGAACAGTCTGGTGTACCTCGTGAAGCGATCTTCCTTACTACGAAAGTCGGAAGTCCACGAAGGATGGCAGGCCAGGGTGACGTGTATCAAGATGTCGTCGAAACTGTGGACCGTATCGCTGGAGTAGATGGGTACGTAGACTTACTATTGATGCATGTTCCTGGACCATCCAGAGATTATCGTCAGAGATTATGGGCAGCGATGGAAATGGTTAAGAGGAAGGGAAGAGCCAAAAGTATTGGTGTCAGCAACTTTCGAGTCCGGCACCTCGAAGAACTGAAGGAGTATGCCACTGAATGGCCTCCGAGTGCGAACCAAATCGAGGTGAGTTAAAGTCTCCGCTGTAGTCTTGAGGGAAATCTAACGTTATGGTGCCTGTGTAATATCAGCTACACCCCTGGTGCCAGCAACGAGATGTCGTGACCTACTGTCAGGACCATGGTATTGTTATCGAGGCATACAGCCCGCTTGCAACAGGTACTCGGCTTAATGACCCAGAAGTACAAAGAGTAGCATCAAAACATAACAAGACTCCCGCAAAGATCCTTATCCGGTACTCACTCCAGAAAGGCTGGATACCCCTACCCAAGAGTTCGAATCCGGGTCGCATTCAAGAGAATATTATGGTTTTTGATTTTGCTCTCGATCTAGACGATATGATGGCCTTGGATGCGCTGGACGAAGGACCCGCAGGTGCTGTTTTTCGAATGAATGTTGATTAATCACATAACACGTCACGAAATAATGGGTTGGAAGCAAACCTATCCGTCAACTTCGCAACACTCGAACGGCTGCACTACGATGTTAGATATATTATGTGATATATACAAGAGTGCTAAAGAAATTGGTCCAAGTTACTCGAATGAGTTCCATGCCGCTCTTTTCCCCACAAGTCCCAAGTGACTCTCCTATTCCCTTCCGTGCTTGGCCCACTCCCTCAGCACGTTCTTCTTGATTTTGCCTGTGCTTGTCTTGGGGAGCTCATCTACAACTTCGACTTCTCTAGGAACCATGAACTTGCTAATATCACTCTGATGCTTGGCCCACGAGATGACCTCCTCTCCTGTTACACTCTTGCCATCCTTGACTGTGATGTACACCTTGGGTCGTTCACCCCAGTGTGAATCCGGGACAGCTACAGCGCCAGCTTCAAGGATGTCTGGGTGCTGGGCGAGCATGCTTTCGAGAGCAACAGATGATATGTTCTCACCCCCCGAAATGATGATGTCCTTTGCACGATCCTGAATCTGAGCGCTACCATCAGGATGCCAGACTGCAAGATCCCCAGAGTGAAGTACGCCTCCGGCAAAGAGCTGCCGTGTAGCTTCAGGATCCTTGTAATATCCTTTGGCGCAGATGTTTCCGATGAAAACAATCTCACCAACTTCCTTACCGTCCTTGGCGACGTCAATAAGCACGCCCTGTGGCTGGTCTGGCTTGATGACCCGGATTGGTTGACTTGTGATGAAGCCATGGCCTTGCCGGGACATCTTGGCAAATTTTTCTTGGGGAGGTAGATTATCCCATTCAGGAAGAATATAGCATTTCGTGATGGGCCCATATGTTTCTATAGAAATGATCGTTAGCAATTGTCTGTGTCGACAATTCTTCTTGCGCACCTGTCATTCCGTAAACGTGAACGGGCATGAGATTAAGCTTGGTCTACACATCATGGTTAGTTTTGAATGATTGTGAGACTTGAACATCTACGAAAACATACCATCTGCTCAAAGAGGTATCCAGTGGGTGGACTAGCGGCTACGGTAACCTTGACCTCTTGCGGTAGCCTTTCAGCTTCCCTGGCCGCTACTAGCAGTGTGTTGACTGTAGGAGCGGCGTTAAAGTGAGTGATCCCCTCTTCTTTTAGCAGTTTCCAAATAAGCGGGTAGTCAATCTTTCTTAAGCAAACATTGGTGCCGCGAACAGCGACAACTGACCAAGGAAATGTCCATCCAATTGCGTGGAACCTGTATTCGGTCAGCCAGTCATGATGACATGGTGAGCAAATTGTCTTCACTTACATGGGAAGCGTCCATAGGTATTTACACCGTCCAATGTTGAGGCCCGACTCAATAATATTGGCCATGGCAGCGAGATAGGCACCTCGATGTGTGTATACTACGCCCTTGGGACGTGATGTTGTTCCAGAGGTAAAAGGGATGGCAAGCATATCATCCTCACTTCGTGCCTGGGCATGAAGGCCAGCCCAGCCATGGCTACCTTGGTCAATGTCATGCTTCAACCCCTCCAAGACGGCTTCGTCAAAAGGTCCGGATAGTTGCCCTTCAGTTGCATCAGTATCCTGACGGGCAAGGTTAGCAACAGTTTCGAGACAAGAATGCACATGTGTGCGGGGGAGAAAATCAACCATATCAACGATCAAGGGCACACTCTGGTGTTTCTCCTTATAGGCATCGAGCAAGCCAACAAACTCATTATCAACAATAATGCAGTCCACCTCTGCAAAGTCAAAGATGTAGGCGATGTCATCCTGCTTCAGGCGGTAATTCACTGGCACAATGGCAGCACCCGCCGCAACAATGCCGTAAATAGACTCCAGAAAAGCTGGCGTGTTGGGCGCGAGTACGCCTACGCGTCGATAGCCATGCTTCAGGAAGTAGTAAGCAAGACCTCGGGCGCGATCAGCAAACTCAGCGTAGGAGCGCCGTAGCACAGCACCATTCACTGTGATATGGAAGATGGCTTCCGCATCTGGTTCAATGGAAGCAGCACGCTCAAGAAATGTTGTTGGTGATAGAGTGTGGAAGTTGACAGGCGCCGTGGGATGAGGGCGGAGATGGTTGAGAATGGAGCGGATGCGAGATGGAGGATCTGACATTGTGAAGATCGCGGATAAGGGTATTGCTTAAAGACTTTAGAGCAATGATGGATAACTAATGGTTAGGTACTGGATGAGACCCGAGATATGAGGATCATAGGTCCTTTCATAGCTGTATCTCGGTGGGTGTCTCGGTTCAGCCCGGCAAACACGGTACCAGCTCGGTTTCTCATATCCCAATTGCCCGGCCATTCAATAGCGACCGATATTTGATTACTCGAAGCAGCTTAGCTCGTAGTGAGCCAATGATGAGTTACAGTTCCAGGCTGATCTATCTAGTGTCTCTGTAAAGGCGGGGACCCCGCAAAATTAGGTGCGGACGGGAGGAGACCAGGGAAGCAGGGGAGAGACCCTTATTGTCCACTGTTCAGGGTAGGGAACCGTCTTCCAATCAAACTACCATGTCAACAAAAACATGCCGTAAAGCTTTGACTATCTATGAACGGTCGAACTATATGTATATTTAGGACTTTGAGTTGATATGGGCGGATAATTACACGAAAACCGTCGGAGTGAAGGGCTCACAATGTTCCGAGTGCTGCCAATCTCACGTATAGGTCGGACAATAGGGCCATATGAAAACGATGTGGAAAAGGAGCAAGGAACTGAAGCTCAGCGAGAGGTTTAACTTCGAATATCAACTTACATATCAATACTGTATTGTGTATATCTGAAGTTAGGTGGTAAAGGAGCAATGCAATGAAATACAGCCTGGTCTGTAGGATAGCCCAGTCCGTGTTTCCAAACTTTGTGGGGTAATCATAGTTCGTCGTGGTGGGGAATTGGCCTCGTGTAAGTGAGTTACCATGTGCTCATCAGGGACAATGAATCGGAGGCAATTGAGAAATGAGTAGACGTGACGAGAAAGGAAACCATTCATTGACAGTTAAACAATATAGGCCAGGAGTCCATAGAAGTTAAAGCATGGGATGCATTTGTACATACACCGAAGTTTAACGTGGCAGCTTGAGATTAAAAGAGGCAGAGTCGAGTGAATAAATACATTGTCTTATATTTCATGATCGAATGTGCCTTGTTTCTGACCAATTTGGAATAATCCCAGGTATTTATTAAGATGTTTTCAGTGACCCAGCTTTGGATAGTACATACTCTCTGTCTGCACTACTACACTGACTTTAGACAAGTATATGTATGCCAAAAGCTATGGACGAAAGGCCTTATATCGGCATATCAGATGATATCAATAGTTTCTTACATCAAGAGCAAAATCAGAGGGAGGTGACTTAGATAGACTGATGGACTGCCTCAGTCAAGCGAGTGAACATATCACATGTGGCGGAAGTGGCTGACATGTGGCTGCATAGTTTCTTGAGCTCTCCACTCCTCCTGCATGTCAATCCCCAGAACGGGTGGCCATCTTCATATGATTTGCTTATCATTTCTTTATCCATCGTCATTGTATTGCGTGTAATAGAAGCCCCCCATCACCATCTCTTTCATTGTACAGATATCCACTTGACATTCGTTTCTGCCATATCGGCCTTGCCTCTTTCTTTTTTTCTTTTTCTTTCATTAGTACCTCATTGAATGCAAGTGGCAGCACGGACAGAAGGAGCAATTGTCCCGTACTCTGTTACGTCTCGGTCTCAGCCAGCATCGGCTCTTTGAGACACGCTGTCTGTTGCTTCGACATCATTTGTTCATGCGAACCTCCCACTCGAGCTATTGACACCCGCGGTATGTACTACAAGGTCCTAGGCGACGAATTTGTACCCTCTTCCTTTGCTTGTCCTTTCCCATATACTCTACAACATCCCCGGAACGTCGTGGAAGCTCATGATGATCGTCTATAGCTCGAACCAACGACTCATGGCGTCTCGCGACCCCTCTGAGGGCCCCTCGGCTCGTCCCTCCACCACCCGCACTGCTTCTCACTCGCACACTCCTAAAACAACCGCTCCTAGCAGCGACGATCGATTAAAGGTCCCCAAAAGAGCCCATACTTTTGCAAACGCTACTTCGGCGAAAGATGGCACTGCATCTCCTGATGCCTTCGACACTGCTGAACATAGCGATTCAGACGATGGTATAGAAACCACTCGGGCTTCCATTGAGCTAGACATCCTTCCCATCGAACTTATAACCTTGACGGATAGGTATGCACACTGAGAAATGGTAGATCCTGACTGTGCCATGCTAAATCATGTATGAATAGCTTCATCGAGTCTCTGAATGCGAAAGTCCATCCGACTCCTCCTAACATCGAGAGGTTATCGCAGAAGTTCCAGGAGTTTTATACGCAAGCCTCTGCTAACATCAACACCCATATCAACGCCCTTGCCTCAAGACAAAGCCGCGACGTCTCACCCGCACCATCCACCTCTTCAATATCCTCCGCCGCCAGTCGGCTTCGATCAAAGGCCAGTGCGCTTACCAAGGCTGAGCCAGAGCAACAAATGATCACATCAGAAGAGCTAGCAAGCCGTAAGAGAACAAGGAAGGCTCTTGAAGCCAAGAGGTCTCTGCTGGAAGAGGCTGTCGAGCGTAGACTATGTGAAGGCATCTACGACAAGATTTACAGACACCGAAGCACGCAGGATGAGGCACAAGATGACAAACTACGCTCCAAGACTGCCGCCTTGGCCTTGGTCGGTATTGGGCCTGCTGACCTAGGCATTGACCTCACAGGCGAAACAGATGAATCTGAGGGGAAAGCTGGCCCGACAGTGGAAGATATTAAAGAGAAGCTGGAGCCTGCCAGGCGAGACATTGCCATGATGACACAGAAGCGATATCCACTGGGTAAGCTGAATCATCTCAAAGCTGCCCACCGAAGTATCGTCGACACCCTTGCTCATTTCCATCCTTCGGCATCCGCTGATGAGATTATGCCTATGCTTATCTACACCCTCATAACTCTGCCGCCAGAGAACCTACATGTCATTAGCGATGTTCACTTTATACAGTATTTTCGATGGGAGCCAAAGCTTACAGGCGAGGCTGCTTACTGTTTGACTAACCTCGAGGCTGCCATCAGCTTTCTGCAGACAGTGGATCTTACAACACTCAGGGCTGATGAACAGCTTTCCGGTCCAGCAAAGAGCACAAGCCCAAGGACCGAAACTTTCCCTCCCGCTTACCAGCAAGGAGAAGCGCCCTCATCAGCAAACGTGCCTGAAACAAGCAAGACCAAGGCTGAGGGAGCAAAGCTTTCAGCCCCTGATGTCAAAGCATCTGTGGCGTTGCGTAACCGTCGTCTGAGCGATCTTGTAAACGGGCCTGCGCAGGCATTTGGGGCTGCCAGCGATGCTGTCTTTAACACGGCTGACCAGAGCTTAAAAAACATATCGAACAGCTTGGGAGATAGTTACAAATTCCTCGTAGGAAAGTTAAGGGAGCATCAGGATAGCCCCCGAGAGTCTATCACAGTACCAAGGACTCTAGATGATGCCCGGAAACTTGTCAGCACGCCCTCCCCCGATGAGGAGGACAGCAGCGGGCTTAACAGACTCCTTGCACCCGACGACAATGATCTCCTGAAGCGCCCAGCCTCGCGCGAAGAACGGGTTCTGAACCTGATAGGAGGCCGCCGCGACCGCAGTGCTGATAGTACTCGAAGTGGTCGCAGTGCGAGCTCTTCAAAGAAAGTATTGTTCGCTTCTGACGAGCCCAAGACAGCCAGCCAAATCCCGGGGCAGAACCCTGCCGTTCTGGACCAGATGCGCAACTTGGGCAATTCTTTTAATCCTATGGCTCGACTTCCCAGTATCAGTATGATCCGTGGATTTGGGCGCAACACCCCATCAGCCCCTGCAACACCAGCTGCTAAGGAGTCGGTGAAGCCCGCCGACGGTGGAGATTTAGGAACAGTATGTTCAAGACATGAACGCCAGAATACCAGTAACTAAGGCTAACAAACACCCAGGCTTTCCCCGATATCGCCCCAGCTCTTCCACCTAAAGAGATTCCTAGAATTGCCCCGCCCAACAAACGCTTCATGGAGATACAGACTCCTGGGGAGCTTAAGCTGGGTGAAGTTCTTGACTTATTGCGAGATTACCGTCGTTTGGCTGGCGCATTGAAGGATATTGGCGCTTTTGAGACAAAGTGAGAAGGGCCATAATATAATACAGACCTATGCATAGATTCTCTAGACTTAATTAAACTTGGATGAAGTAATTGGGTAGGAGTAGTGGATATGCTGTACGAATAGCGAAAGTGTAGTTATTGTTGTACTTGACGCATAGAATGATATGAATGACAATGGCTTGCACCTAGGGCGGGATCGCCTTCTATTGGGCACTGCTACTCTAACAAAGGTCATGATGATATACAAGTCCCCAGACAAGATGAAACGCAATGTGGTCTGGATCTTGCTATGCTACATAAAAGACCATGAATATGAAAACACCTTGGTCCAGCCTCTAGAACCATCATAAATTTGTGACATTCGTTTGCCTCGACATGAAACAAAAGCTTGCGCTATGACAATCGCCTTCCAAAAGCTCTAAGTTCTTAAAACCCTGATGCTGAACGCCGTAAACCCATTCGACATTTGAAATCGCTTTTTTGTCTGGAAAATATGTAATTTGTGAAAATGATGCATGAACAGAATACCCCTCTGAGAAGGACAATGAAGTCATTTAACAAAAGTATAAGGCCGTGTCTGTCTCATGACCCATAGAAGCAAAGCTTTGGTTGTTGCCCGTCGTTTAGGGCATTGGGTTGGTCTCTGCGCGGCGAGGACCACCACTGTGAGACTCAATGGTTCGAAGAGGAGGAACGTCGTCCTTCTCCTCTTCGAACACTGGCTCAGTATTGAATCGCGGGAAGTCCCGCAGGTTGTTGGAGTTGTTTGATGTTGCGCGTTTGTGACCATGTATCTCGTTGCTGGGGATTACGGGACCAGGATATAAAAATTGGGAGATGATGCGACTATTTGCTCGCTCGCGTATACGGCCCATACTGCCACGTCGACCAGGTAAACCGGGACTGATAGGCGGCTCCATGCCTGAGGTGGTTCCCATTGAGGCATTTGTCCTGGTGCGAACAAGAATTGGTTGGTTCTCCTCTGCTTCCTTCTGGAAACGTGCCTCACTAGGTAGCAGAACAGCACGATCCAACCCATAAGGTAAGCCGCGGTGACGGCCACGGATTTGCATGGCAACGATAATAAGTTTCCCAACGACGGTGAACTGAGAGCACAGAGAAGCATTGACGTTGGGTACACCCATACTCAAACCCACAGTTCCGTACGCACTGATAACTTCGAAAAGAACATCAAATAAATTGAAGTCTTTTGCCTTGAGACTTTCACCTTCACTGATGGCGAGAAGGAAGAACCCCACAAAGACGTACCACAAGTCGAAAGAAAGTTGACGTCGCAGATGGGTACCAACATAGTTTAGGGCGCTGGCTGATTCCTCCTCGTCTTCATCTTTCTTGTTGTGGTAAACTCCGAGAGATTTTTCTTCGTAGACGTTCGTTCGGCGGATGGAGATTGCGATTGGGAAGATCGAAATGTACATCATGATCATGTACAATACTGGGATGGCAGGGTGAAGGTCGCTTAGGCTGAAACATGAGAAGCCTGCAGTTCTGGTAGAGGCAGCTTGAAATAGACCATCGGCAATACGAGTATGGACAGGTAGTTCAGCGACTGGGCCTGAGTTAAGCTGGCGAAGGTTAGCATGATAATAAACAAGAGGGGCTGACGAGCTGCATACATCTAAGACCACAAAGAAAAGCAAGTCTATGGCATTTAATGCGGCAAGAATCCAAAATAGCCACCAATTGGCGCTCGAGGGGAATAGGAGGGTGAAACATCGGCGAGGATGGTCAAGAAGAAATCTGAGTTCTTCCCACAGGCCGGTCCCCTTAGGAACAATCTGAGCAAGAACCCAAATGACAAAACGTAGCATGACAGGAAAACCCGTGTTTCCAATGATAATGAAGAACCACATGATCATCATGACATACTCCGATGTATTGAAAGAGTTCATACTGTCAGGGGTTAGGGTCAGACCCAAGTCGTTGAATGCCGAGTTGGCTGTCCAAAATCCCCACCAGGTTCTTGAAATAGCGTTCCCTTCAACAATTCTCCCGTATTTCTCATTATGAAGAATGAAAGGCAAAAGGAAGGTTACAGCAATGAGCTGGAACCCCCAAAAATAGGAAAGTAAAATCAGGGCCAAAGTCCTAAGGGATCGATATTCGATACCGCCAAGTTCCTCTCGCTGCTCCAGGGTCAAGCCCACAAAGTTAGAATTTCGACCCATAGTCGGGGTGTAACTGAGGTAAGGCATGTCCTTCGTGTGGTCATTTGACAAGGCCGACTTGATAGTGTCGATTGTGCGTGTTCGGAAAGCACGGCCCATAGTGCTCTCATTATCATCGTGCACCTCCTTCTGGCCACGGTTGAATACACGAGGCTTGCGAACTCTAAGGGCATTAAGAGTGCCGCCAACGGCTTTGGCATCATCAGTCAATTCGTGCTTGAGGGGACGTTTCGGCTCAGCAATAACAATGGTTGGTCTGCGGCCTGTTGGTGCCCTGGAGTCTAGTGTCGCGTGGTCTGGCCTCGATTCCACTGTTCTCGTCATAGCAATCGTGTTGTTATCATCATCGCCGTCCTGGGTATCATCATTGTCCAGCCTTCGAGGTCCCATCCCCCGCTCTGTTTCTCGGGGACCAGGAATCCTTAGAATTTCGTTGTCCTGGTTTCTTTGACGCTCCAGGATAGCGATATGCTCCGCATGGCTTCTTCTTTGGGGAAATTTGGTCAAGTCGTCGTCGACTCCGTCACTTCTCTTGACCGTTTCAGCAAATTTAATACCTGTCGGCGCATTCTGTGACCTGCTCTGCCCCTCATTCGCTTCCCTGCCATCTCCAAAGCCTTGGTCAGGTTTCTCCAAAGGACTTAGCTCTATGCTGTTAGAACGGCCGGCTGAGACCGTGTCGCTTTCATCGCTGCTCGCAGGTGGTGGTTTATGTGGTAGATTTTCATCATCATCGTCGTCGGCGATCGCCTGAGATTGAATAACATCATTCCCATCAAGCAGTATCCCGTCGTTCGTGATACGTGGAGGTCTCCCCTGGTAAGGCACAACCGTAATATGCCGACCATTGACTCCTTCTTCAGCTTCGCGTTCATTTCGTGGACGAGTCTTGGCCTTAGAAAGTGTAGCACGGCGCTGTCTGGCGTCCGTAACCCACCCTTGAAACCTCTTCTCGAACCAGTAAAGACGTAGGAAGACCACTGAAGTATGTAGCGTGATTGGGTTAGACGTTATAGTAAAGAGGTAAACGACAATCTGTTGAAAGGTGTTGAGAAGGTTGACGTCGATTGGGTTTAGTCCAGCTTGTGTATTGGCTCCGCTGGCGAACATAAGAGAATCGACATAGGACGTTTGGCCGCGGCCAGCACCATATATAATGACGGAAGCTAGCAAGGTTGCGCCAATGATCCATGTATCTGTGAACAATGGTCAGACAGAGACTTGGCATTCGAAATTTGATGCCTGATGGAAAGCAAAAGGTGTATATGAGATCGCGTGGGGGTTGCGCTCAAGACGGAAGCATGGGGGTTATCGAACACCAATGAATGTGACTTACAATGAACGGAAATAAAGTTGAAGTGTGGTTTTTTGGACATAAACGGCGGCTTGACAGCTTTGAGCCGCGCCCATACAGAGGCGCGCGTCTCATCGAGCATGTCTTCCAAAGAGAAGAGAAGTCCGTTGGTAACTTTTGTGACGTTAAGGAAGATGCGAAGGCAGAAACCTAGAAACAGGGAGAGAGGGCTTCCTGGGCTATTTGGGTTAAAGTTAGTCGCTGAGCTTAGGGACTAGACTGTGCCATGGCTAAGGACAATTATAGTTATGGCGTAAGAAGGCGGAGACTGGAGACTGAATAACGGAGGGGCACGGGAACTGAACTGGCGATTTCCTACACACCACTCCCACTCAACACAGAAAGAGCAAGGTTTTCTTGCAATGCGTCGAGTATAAGAAATAGGAATGGTCCGGCGACTTGGTGCGGAGTGAGTCTTTGGGGCACTGCCAGTGGCCAGGTAATTTTGATGTCGAGAAAACAGGGTGCGGCCTGGGCTAGACTTTGGTCAGAAACAACCTGGACTAGCTAACCATTCTCGGAATTGGAGACCCGAATTGTTGAAGTTGTAGATAAAGAAGCATATTGGTTTGATCGAATCCTTTCAATAGATTGTGGGGATGAAGTTGGAAGACGCAGACATTAAACTGGGCAGAAGAAGGACTTTTCAATACAGTAGGTAGGCAGGCACCTAAGGTAGGTATGGATAGCACCGAAGTGTACAGGCACTATAAGGTAGGCGCTAGGGTGTCAGGAAATTTTCTAGAGATAAGGAAGGAGGCAATGCAATAAAAAGAACCATGAAAGTAGCCCTGGCAGCGGAAATGGAAGAAAGATAGTGGGAAAAGCCCCTGACATTACCAACGCGCTACCTGGGATTCAAGGAAACGGACACCAAAAGTAATACTTTTATCAATGCACTGCACTACTACGGCAACAACAGCAGCAACCGAGGAAAACAAAGACAGACGGCGGCGACTCGGAGTTCGCGATCCAACCACGAGGGACCTGTTGATGATTTCAAGGGGCCCAGATATCCATGTCGTGATTGATCAGCCATAACCACCCATGCATGCATACTCCCGTCCCTTGGCTCTTCCATTACACACGGAAAAAGAAAAGAAACGAAAAAACTCAATGTTACAGTACGGAGTACATGGCAGGGGGGGTTCAGAAGACAGCAGATTCAACAAACTTGGATCATGGATGTGAGGTGAGCCAAGCCATGGACCGAGATACCGGGTCCATAAACGATCCAGGCACAGCAGAGCACACACGCGGCAATGGCAGGGCTTGAGCCAGGACAGGGGTTGTTGGAAGCCCAGATGCTTGCAGATGGGGACACGGCGACGACGAGAAACCTACAGACAGACTGAGGATTCCACCGCGCGGGACATGTTCCCCGGCACCGGTAGGCGTCCTCCCGTCTGGTCTTTACATTAGTGGCTCCATCCTGAAGCCGAGTTTGTTGGCTCCAGTCATCGGTACTAGGGCACTTAATAAACACATATGTATGAGCAGGCTGGAGAGAGACGGCGGAGCGGTGCGGAAACCAGTACGCATCAGTGGGTGAAAAGCTACGAAGAATATGTACTCCGTACAAAAACTCTTTATTCAGAGCGCCCGTCTGTTTACGGATAGCGGAGCGGAAAAGGTGGCGGAAACCGTGAAAACACCCGCTGATCCCGCGACGGTTGGGTATTGTTCCTCTAACATCTCATATGATCAAGTAAAGCACTAATGATGTCAGCCTTCTATTTTTCTAGATCATTGATGAGGTCGATAGACAATACTACATAGTAAGTACTAAATACGTTCCCCCCCTGGCTACTGACGATCATCATGTTCACACCACCACACGCATCACTCGAATATCCTTGTAACAAGGCCAGCGTCACCGCGACTTGGGGCCCGGCGAAGCATTGAACTCGGCACAATCTAGGTAACTTGGGACCTCAATTCTAACGGCAGGAATATTAATAACAGCTCAACGTAAACTGGGTAATTCACTGATTGGACCAGATAGTTTCCTGCGCTGATTGAAGATCTCAAATTTATTTGTACCCAGAGGGATTCTTTCAAGTTCCCTGCGGGCGTGAGCTTCGCCTGCGGGTGATAAAAGCCTGTCCTTGTCTGCTGTCTGTGTGTTGCACTTTTATCGGGCCAATGGCACGTCCCCCCCAAGCAATCTCCAATTCCATGGAAGCCAAGAAAATTCGGAGATCTGAGAGATGGTTTTACATATGTACATGGTGAAACCACTGACACGTGCTTTGCCCGAGCCAAACAAAGGGACAAGTGGAAGGGGGTTTGGACTCGATGATTGTGGACAGAGTCAGTCAAAACCAGTATAGGTAGGCCACCTATCTGTAGTTAGGGGGCATTGCCCATACTGCAATCGAGCTATTATCCTTGACTGGCACTCAGACCCTGCCTCAAATATCAGGGCCGTTTCTCATGAGACTAGGCGAAAAGGTGTGGCGAGCTATCGATTGTGATCCATTGGTTACCACCAAGCCGAGGAGATGGGAAGTCTCCCATTTGTTCAGTACCACATAATTATGCTGTTATCACCATATTCCAATGCGATACATATCCTCTCATAACTACTGCTCCGCCCTTGCGACACTACCCTGGGATGAACTCCTCCAACAATGTGATGTCACCGCTCTTTAATCGCATGTCCACAGACCACTACCCGATACCGCCGTTCGCGAGCTACTGAACACTCGAGTGGCTGAGACAAAGACCTCTGCATGTGTATACGAGGGTGCTGCGCAACAATCAATGGGGTTTCCGGAAGAATGAAACCTTTAATTTAACCTAACTTCCATGAGGATGGACACCACGTACGAACAGGTCAATGCCTATCATGCAGCCTCTTTTCAAGCAGGTCATGCAAATGAGATATGAGCAAGTTGTAAATCTAGACTGCACCATGCCACACCCACTTTACACCGTCAAATCAGGACGGTACTAATTGGGAAACATCCCAACACCAAAATACATGACAGAGTGCAGTCAGAATAAGAATCACCAATTCTTCGTGTGAGGTTGCAACCAGGAACAAATATCCAAGCCCTAGTACTGCCAAGCTTTTCTCCCCGGAAACTAAGGCGGCACTAGTTTAAAGAACCCCCCTACCTGGGACCTCGTAGCTCTGACTCTAAAAAATACTTGCTACTGCAGGTATCTGTGGATAATGGCCGTTGGTGAGATCGTATGTGGCCTTTGGCTCACTACCTTTCGTAAACCATCCTTCACATGGCATCATATTTGGAAGCCGTGTCACACATTGATATGTGGTGTGATGCATGTCACCCTGTGATGCCTAATCCGTTTACGAGATCTGATTAGGCTGGATTCTCCCTGTTGGCCAGTCTTCTTATCTTGTCATACATTCCCATGTCACCTGGATCTTTCACCTCATGCACTGCCATCGTCTGAATCTACGTGTAGTCAGTCAATTCACTCCAATGAGTCATCCCTTGCCTACTGTCAGAAATCTAATTGAATACCTAGTGTGTGCAATGTGATCGGCTATGGCCGTGTTGTGTTTTTTCCTGAACGCCGAATCTTCCCCGTCCTTGCGCCCCAAAAGCATTATTATGCGTTCCGCGGCTGCGTATTCTTATACATACGACATCTTGTATTTACCCGTGATTCCGATCCCCTGGCTTATCATTCTTTGGCTCACCCAATGTACCTCCACCTCCATTGTGCCGATTCCAACTCTCTTTAGATTACTGTGCTGCTGCTCGCCTGGCATTCTCGCGTCCAATCTTCTTGAAGAAGGCATTGCTGTCCCCCTTCTTCCGCTTTGCCGATAACTTCTTATTCTGCTCGATATACGCCATGTCCTGGCCACCACTGAGCTCGCCGAGAGTTCCCGCTGTTCGTCGAGCTCCCTTCTTTTTCTTGCGCCCCATAGTACCCTGATGGAACATGTCGTCGTTTGGGTCATCCTCCTCCATGCTCTCATTCTCCACAAGAACCTTCTGCAACAGTTCACGCCGCTCCGACACATCTGCGAATGCTAGTCCGGGTGTCTTCTCGATGTTTGCTAATTGTGTAATGACCTTGAAAGCATATCCCTGATCGACAAGGAAAGCCTGACGTTTGGAAGAAAAATACATTTCTTGCGTGTCTTTTGACACCAGAGAGTAGAAAAAGGCATTGAAGCCCTCGTCATTACGTCTCTTGGCCCGAAGAATTCGTCCTAAACGCTGCGCTTCCTGGCGACGTGAACCGTAGTGCGATGAAATTTGGATGAGGCAGGTAGCCTCGGGCAAATCGAGGGACGTGTCTCCAATCTTTGATAAAAAGAGCGTGTTGACATTCGGGTTGTGCTGAAAGTTCTCCAACACTTGCAGACGTTCTGCTTGACCAGTGCCGCCGTAGATGAACGCTTTTTGAAGCTTCAGCGCATATGCTTTGAGCGCATACACGTTATCCGAAAATACTATAATCTTGTCTCCTCTTGATTCGTGGTAATTAATGAGATATTGACAAGCCTGAAACTTCCGAGGGTTCATGATATAAAGCAAGCCCTTCTTCCGGCTTGGTGCTTTGAGGTACTGGTCGTAGAACTCTGTAGGCATTGGGCACCATACTTCTGCACACTGAACTCTAGCAATGTGTCCTTGCTTTGAAAGCTCCATCCAATTGGCTTCAAATAGCTTTGGTCCAATAAGAAAATTCAAATCAGAAATCTTGTCGTCTTCTCTGAGGAGTGTTGCTGTGAGACCAAGCTTCGAATGAGTCTTGATCGAAGACGTGACTTTTCGGAAAATGTTGGCGGGCACAACATGCACCTCGTCCAGCAGCATCAGGCCCCATTCTCGGCCTGTCAAGAACTTCATCATCTTCTCTGCATCGTAAGATCGGGCCCGCGATTGTGTGACCATTGCATAGGTTGTGACGATGATACCAGTGCTCCCAGTGAAGACATTGTTTTTGGAATCGGATGTGAAGGCAACAATGTCATCGGGATTGATGTTGGACCACTTCAAAAATTCATTCCTCCATTGTACGACGGACATTGAACTCGTGCATAGGACAATGACACCCTTCTTGATAGTACAGGCTGCTGTGATACCCACAAGCGTCTTTCCAGCACCACAGGGCAGGACGATTAGTCCACTCTTGGCTCGGCCGTTGCCAAACATCTTACTCAAGCTTTTTTCCTGATAAGGCCGAATCTGAGTACCAGGCTTCAGATCGATATCCAAATTTGCGTTGGCTTCATCTCTCCGAAAGTCATACTCCTCCAGAACTGGATATCCTAGATTCAGGCATTCTTTCTGTACCGTTTCGACATCCTTGTCTGCAATTTCAAAAGAATGCGTCACTTCCTGGTCCTCGTCGTCCTCTTCGTTGAGCGTGGCATAGACTTCGCCCTCCTGGACGGGTTCTCCATCTTTGCCTTGTTCGCCTGCTTGGCTGAGACCATTGGCCTGCTTTACTCCGGCGGCATTCTGTGTTCCGGGAATGACAAGGCCGCCAATCTTAGGCGCCACTGATGTTGTGATCTCTTCCGTTCCTTGGACGCGTAGGGGACCAATTTTGGGGTTCTTGAGGAGAGTCTGGAGCATGTTTGGATCAGGACTTTCGACGTAGTACTTTGTATTCTTGAGAACCAGCTTCACCTTGCCGTAACTCTGAGTACAACTTGTAATGAAATTTCGAATCTCATCTGGCAGAGGTGTCTTAAGAAATCGATCTAGTGTATTGATGATGTCCTCTGGCGACAACCCAACAGAGACGGCAGCGTACAGGCTGTGTGTTGTAAGGGCGTATTCGTGCATGAAAGTCGGTCGAGACAAGGGTTCAGAAATAGTGATGAGGAAATCCTGAGCCTGCTCCGCGAGTGGATTAAAACTCTCTAGAATGATGCGGCCTTTCTGAGGGTCTATCCAGAGAGGTCGGTTCTGATGATCTTTCTTCAAGACCAGGTATGAGAAATCACGGTCGCCAAAGATGTGTGGTAGGGGATCCCGAATCGCATGTCTCTTCTGATAGCGATCCAAGGAAAATATGTCTATATTCTTGTTCAAATCACGTTCCAAGGCCTCGTCGACGGGCCCCTCCTCCTCATCCGGCATGTCCTCATTGCTATCGATCGTTCGTGGCGTTGCAGCTCCAGGTGTTGACATGCGCGAAGACCTTCCCACTTTTGCCCCGCCCTGGACGGCAGCACCTGCTTTCCTCTTAGGCGGCATATTTATTGAGTTTCCGGACAATCAGGGCGTGGTTGGCGGTGGTCGTATAAATGCTGATGAAGGAAAGGAGAACGTGAAGGACATATGGGAAGTGAACAAGCGCTGCTAAGAGCGTCACTGAATGATGATGACTAACCAATGTACTTAAGTGGGCCCATGTCCATCTGCTGAAGTGCCTGCCTGCTCTAGTAGGTAATCTTCTAGCGCCTGTGGCTTGTGATCAGGGGCCGTAAAGTGCATCCGAAAGCCTGATTAATACACCCCACCAAAACTCTACCGACATTCATCTGAACTCAACCTGTAACCATTCTCAGACACCACAATTCAGTTGTGAACACTCCTTCCAACGGCGCAAACCATATTGCAAACCACGGAGATTGCTTATTATTTGCTACCATGTGGTATGGTATGCCACGATTCCATTCATTATCCTGCGACTAATCAACGTCTAGCAAACACATTCTCAACGCCCAAGTTTCCGTTCGGTCGCCTTGTTGTACGTCGAAAGTTTATTGAAGCCAGTCTTGGCGACTTCAAGTTGTTTCCTGCTCACCTTACTAACTAACTTTAACTACAGGTCGAAAATGGTTCGACTGTGTCGAATGCCACAGCGAACAGGAGTCACACCCTCTTAAGGAAAGCTTCGAGATGATTTTTGCGTGCAAGAAGTGCAGAAAATGCTTCAGAAAGGATGTGAAGGAGTTCGAGGAGGCCGACGAGTTTTGCCCTCATTGCGACAACCACTTTGTTATCGACGCAAAGACCCCTCAGGCAGCTCTTTCAATTGAGAGCGACGACGTACGAATGGACAATAAGATGCTCAAGGACGACAGGCAAAAGACAAAGGGACTCAGGTCCATCTTTGACCCGACAGAGGAAGCCGATAAGCTGGGATAATCCAGAACAAGATCAGATAAAAAGAGGAAAGTCACGGCGTTCAGGATACATAGCGATTTGTCACTTCCACGGGGATACGTTCTGAGAGAATGCGTGCGTCATTAGTTGTGTTAATACAATGGCACTGGGTCCCGACTTTAGAGACTCGTGCTCTTGTCTATGTAAACTCTTCCCATACGCCTCTCTATTCCGCAGCGGAGTCATCCTGAGATCGGGTTAGGATGGCAGCACTGCCGGTTCCGGGGGTCCGTCCCGTCTTCTTCTTGGCAGCTTCTTCCTGCTTCTCCTGCTCAATTTCCTTGACGTAGCCTTCAATCTCGGACGTAGGTAGTGTTTCGATGGTGGCGCCAGGTGCCATGAGAGAAATCTCGATGTTCTTGGCTCCGGTTTGAACAACCTCGAGCAGCGACTTGATGGCAAGCCGGATGGTAGCCTCTCGGTCCATGTCCTCCTTGTAGTTTCGCTCGAGGAACTCGCGAACAGTCTTGCTTGAACGACCGATAGCGTTTGCCTTCCTGTTAGATCATTAGTTTCGAAAATTCGCCAAATATTTTTATCATTTTGAATAACGCACCAGGCAGAGTAGATGCCGGAGGGCTCAGTCTGGTACAGCCGAGGGACATCGCTGCCGTTATCGAAGCCAACAATCAGAGTGCTAATGCCAAATGGTCGGACACCACCAGCCTGTGTGTACCGTTGCTGGACGCCAGCGACATATTTGGTAATGTAGTCGATAGTAACAGGGTCTTCGACTGACAAACGATGGGACTGTGCCTCTAATCGAGCCTTGTCGACGAGGATACGAGCATCCGCATTTAGGCCAGCGAAGGCGAGGGCGACGTGGTGATCGAGGAGCTGGATCTTGGAAGGGGTGATGCGAGTATCTTGCAACTTCATGGCGGAGCGCTTCTCACATCCTAGCACAACAACATCGGCACCCTTGACACCGACAGCACAAGTTCCTATTGAAGGTATAAGCCACCGTAACAAAGCTGTTAACCAAAAACCTGATATCTACCTCGCTTGACAGCTTCGCCGGCATATTCGACCTGGAAAACGTGGCCGTCGGGACTATTCAGATGTTAGGAAGCTTGTCGTGAGTGTTGTTATGGTACTGACCTGAATACTACACTTATTGTTAGCGATGGATATATCATTGAACACAGGCCCGTTGTGTGAACTCACCCGACAGAGCTCTGTCGTAGCCGGATGCCATGGTGCAGAATTAAAGAAGAGTTGTTGCGAAATCGCTTTGTTCGAGAGTATACAGTGTGCTTTTTTGGTGTATGAAGGCGAATCGTGGAGTTGTTGCGAGGCTCAAGGAGTGTTGACGTTGATGTATTGGGGTGCTCAGCTTCGTCAGAACGGCAGCCTGCCTGGTACCTACGGAAGGCTGAGAGCTGTAGCTCCCCAGTTAGCGGGCAACGGGCCGGAAAAACACCGTTGCGTGTTCCGCATAATGGGCACGGACCTCTCCTTCCTGCTGGCTCTCTTCTACATGCTTATATAGACTTCAAATCCGTGCAAACAATCATCGGCCCCTGGAAACAATTGATCGCATCTTGGTTTCATATACTCCGCTTAGTGCTTGTGTACTGAAATTAACTATCATAGCCCCATTAATTCAGCTTTGCAGTCTCGCAGTCTATATATGTCTCTCGACTCCCTACTTCAACTGTGTACGAAGCTGGTTGTTGACGAATGAAAAGAATGGAATTGTCATTTCTCGTGAGGCAAAGAAAATAGGAGAAGGGGTACAAGGTAAGCGCATGACTAATGTTCCTGAATAAGGGACACGTCAATTGTCCCCGAGGTTAGAAAGTCGCTACTTCGGACCATGTTTGACTCTGTAAAACACCGGCAACATGTTGGCCTTTCTCAATGAGCCGCGATCGAAAGTTGTCGATCCACATGATCTCCATGAGGCCATCCTGCGAAACCGAATTAATATCTCTGTACAAATCCATCGCCACGGCCATCGGCATAATCAGCATATCAGGTTGAACAGTGTCATGCAAGACTGAATCGAGTCCACGGCAGATATCTGCTGCAAACATGCGCCCATGCTGATATCGATTGAGATCGATCTGCAAGTCGAATGGCAAGTCAGGCCACATATTTGGGTAAGCGTCGATGACTGGCTGGTAGATGGCTCGGTGCAAGCTTTCAATGCATTGGTGAAAGAGGATTTGTGTCATCCAGTAATATAGGAAGGCAAGTCCGGTGTTTGCGTCCCTGAAAGCGTACGAATTTGTGAAAGGAATAAGACCTCCGGGACTGATAAGCTCCTCAGTCCAGTAGGCCACGGGATGTTCAAAACTGGGACGGTTGGCCATTTGAAACCAAGCATCAAGATGTCTCTCGAGGGAAAGGCAATCCCGGAGAAGCTGCTGAGCGCTGTGCCGTCGATGGAGGGTTGGTTCTGACGGAACAATCTGATCAACTTGAGAAAAGATGGCTGGCAGCAGAAGAACAAGGTCCAGGAGATGGTCCAGGAGAGACTTCGGATGTCGATGCCACGGGACAGTCTTCCAATCTGGAGAGGATACAAACGTATCTTGTCGCCTCAGGAGAGCGAATCCGGTCTATCTTGCACTCAGCAGAACGAAACAACCATGAACCGTTGGACGCTACTTACAGCTAGAGGTCGATACACCCGCACAAAGAAATGATGATTGGGAAAGTGACTAAAATAGGCTGGCCCCATTCGTCTCATCTGTTGAGACCCTGATTCACCAAACGCATATGCTGTTTCATGCTAGCTAAGTGTCAGCAGTCATTTGGAATCAGTAGAGGCATTGCACAAACCTCGAAGAAGAAGATGCAGTAACTTTGCGCCGAGTCATCTTGCTCATATACGCTCGGTAAACGTGCTAAGCATTGTGCTCTTACACCAAAGTCTCCTTCGCCCAGTAATGACTGTAAGTCTGTCGGTGTATATGGCGGGAACGTAATGCGAAAGGGTGTGGAGTCATCAGCTGAATGATCTGGAAGAGTGTATGGAAGCCTTGTGTGCAAAGCTGAGACGAGAACCGAATACTCCACTCCTTGGCTTGACACAAGTGTGTGATCGTCCCAGGCTGAGGTGAGAGGATGGACCGGCGTGATATCGAGCGCTCTGGGAGGTTCCTCGTACGAAGGCGAGCTGTCCTTCTTGGATGATGAGCTTTTCTTCGGATGCGAGGCTACTCTGCCTTTGTTCTGCGGCGTCCCGGTGATGAAGACTCGTTCGCGTTCATAACCTTCACATTGCCTTCCACTCGATGTACACTTCTGGCAGAAGGGCCTCTCATTGCTGCACTGTTCGAGAATGTGAGCTTGGATGGCAGAGTTACGATGAGATGATAGAGACTTACCTTGACTCTTCTACGCCGGCAAGTTTCGCAGCCTTTGTATTTCCCAGGGACGCCAACCATATTTATCTTGATAAGGAGGGTCAGTTGCAGGATGTCATCTTGACAAGTTGTGTTCGGGGCAGCTTCTATTATAACGAAAGAACTATGGGATGGCCAGGATTTCGGCTACTCCGTCTGCGATGCTGCACCTAAACTGTCACCGGCATCTGTTGCAATGAGGCATCCTGTCAACTGTCTATCACCCCACACGTCACGGAAGTCCATCTTGCACACAGTCATTAGAGCCACCTCGACGCGGAGATGTAAAGATGGCTCCTTTCAAGGTAATCACCTGGTGAAGTTTCATCGCGGTAATGAGGGCCACCATGTACGACGAATAAGGAGTGTCAAGAGCTCTCGTTCGACCTGACCTAGTTGGCGACGGCCGCTCACAACATCCACCGGGTGTAAAGCTCTCACGGGCCATGGCTCGGCACATGCTAGGTATGGCGAAACAATCCAATTGGAATCGATTGGGACCGGCGACGTCAACGGTTAGGGACCCACGCCAGGGACTTTGGACTGGGATAGGAATATGCGAACGAGCAAGTCTTCACTTACAGGGAACTTTTGGCCTAGCGCATCGGCTTCTTGTGGAGAAGCTGCAGCGTCCGCCCCATAAGGCTGACAGGGAGGTGTGTGAGGAAGGGCGGCATTGGCTCCTCGTTGGCTATCAAGTTTAAGAGCTGAAGCTGGCTATTTGATAAACAACACGGAGTGGAGGGCAGCTCCGTTACTCCTGTTTGACAGATTCCAAATGACGAGGACGTGGGCATGGGCATGGGCATGGGCACAGGCAGGGGGCCTTTGAGATGCAATGAGACACAACCAACTCATTACGAAGTGTCAACATTAACCGGCCGAGTCATGTTTCTGACTCCCAGTCGTGTTGACTTGCGTCTTGCGAATAATTAGGCATTAATTTACCTGATAATGTGATGGCTGAAAATAAGCAGTGACCTGCACGTTTCGCAAGATGACGGAGATAGTTCCGCCCTGTGGATTGATTGACTACCACCAACGCTATCCAAATCGGCTATCGACTTTATCTAAGCATGTCTGCGTATGTATGCATACGTAGTTGGGTGTTTGAGGGTCATGGCTGTTTTTCAGATGGCTATACACACAAAACAGCCATAACCGCAATGTGCACAGCACTTTTGCTTATACAACGCTTTGGGCCTCATTATTCAAGCTTTTGCTCATTCGCGCTCGCTTAGGTCAGCGGGGCTATCGAGGTCGTTTGGCCCAGCCACAGCTAGAATTACTGAGCAGTACGAATGACGCTGCAGCATACCCCAATGAAGGGAAGGGGGGTCACATATGCTGTCACTCGGGTACGAGCCCAAGAGACCGGGGTATCAAATATACTTGTAGGGGTTCATGATGCCATTCTGGGTCAGATGTCAGCCCTAATGCCGGGGAATTGTAACAGAGGGTTGAGGTGAAAATAGAGTTCCACAACGCAGCGTTCGATGGCTGGGGGTTTACCCAAGCTTGAAAGATGGACGGGGCGAGGGGATCAAACTCACGGGATCAAAGAGATTCTTGATCTGCTTCATCAGACCAATCGTTGTGTCGTCTCGGCTGTAACCGATAAACTTCTTTTTCGCAATTCCCAAACCATGCTCAGCACTGATACTACCACTACGCTTCTGAATCCATTCGTATACCCAAGGCTCCAGGGCCTTCTCAACTGCAGGATCGTAACGACGCACCGGAATGTTGAGGTGCAGATTGGAATCGCCCATATGGCCATAGCCAAGTACGTCAACAACCGGGTGGTCAGACGTGTCACCCAGAAGACCCAGATCAATCAGACGAGCCTTGGTATCTTCAACAATGGTATACATCTCGTCGAGGGGAATAGAGATATCGTACTTGTAGGTGCCGCCCCAGTGGCCAAGGCACTCGGTGATGCCCTCACGCCAGCCCCACAGGTTGCGAAGCTGCGTCTCGTCCTGGGCGACGACACCGTCGGCAATAACTTCTCGGGTCATGACATCCTCAAGGAAGGTCTCTAGCTTTGCGTAGTCATGCTCGCCGTTGGAACCACTCGTCTCAATCAGGCAGTAGAAAGGGTATTCTCCTTCGAGGGGATGCTCCTGGCCCTTGACCTCTGAAACGATTCTCTGGCTGCGGCCGTCCATTAGCTCAAATGCAGATAGAATTTCTGATAGCTGCTTCTTAGCCTCACGGAAGGCAAGCTGAGCTTTATCATACGACTCTATGCCAAACACGGCAACGTTAACAGCGGGAGATCGCTGGGGACATTGAATAGCGATCTTTGTAATAATTCCCAAAGTTCCCTCTGCACCAATGAAGAGCTGCTTCACATCGTAGCCGGTGTTGTTCTTTCGCAGGGTACACAGGTCATTGATGACGGTACCATTAGGCAGAACAGCCTCAACACCGAGGACGGTGCCATGCAAGCTCCCATAACGGAGCAATCGCAGACCGCCAGCATTTGTGGCGACGTTTCCACCGACGTGGCACGAGCCCTTGGCGCCGAGGTCGAGAGGAAAGATATAACCCTTTTGGGCAAGGTATGAGTCGACAGTCTCGAGCACACAGCCGGCGTCAATAACAAGTGAACCACTGACTTCGTCGAATGAACGAATCTCGTTCATGCGAGCCATACTAATGACGATCTCGTCGAAAACGGGAATGGAGCCTCCCACAAGGCCTGTGTTTCCTCCCTGGGGTACGACAGCCAAACGCTGTTCATTGCAGTACTTGAGGATGCCGCTAACTTCGTCGGTGGTGCCTGGACGCAGCACCAACTTCGACTGGCCCTTGTACTTGTGCATCCAGTCCTCATTGTACGTTTCAAAGTCGGCCGCGTCGACGCCCGCTCCGCCGCCCGTGATTCCGTCAATAATGGCCGAGGGGTTGTTACCCAAGATCTCACGGAACCTCGCAACGTGCTCGGGGGTCACCTGGGCGAACCGGGCGTCGCGCTCGAGTTGCGGGTACGTCTCGGATGTCAGCTTGCTTTGCTGTGCCCGAGTTTGGGAGATGAGCCTCGGGGCTGTAGTCGCGATGCATCGGGCGGGCGTTCTTGAGTGGGCAAGGCTTCTCTCGAGGATGTTGGTCCTTAGAGAAACAGTCCTCCGGCTACCGGAGCAGGAGGCGGGTGCTCTCAAGGCACGGAAGAGCTGTGAACGACACGACATGCTGGGAAATTCGACTCTGGATCGAATTGACCGTGCAGATCTTGAGTCCGGAATCCCAATTGTCTATCTAGAGGCAGAAATATAAGAGAGGAGGAGAAACTGAAGCCGTAGTCCATATCGCCCCAGTAACTTTTTATCTATTGCGCAAGGCTAAGAAACTGCGGAGCCCACCTTTCATCCCTCTCACACTATCCGACCGGCTATATCTAACTGAATAAAATCCGGCATCGTCTTCGCCCGTCTAGAAGACGCCGATGCAGTTGCCGCCACCATCCGGCATCGCCGTGTTTGATACCTATAACCTTGTTTTCTCAACGGTTCAAAAGTTTGTATGTGCAAATGTTAGGTAGTTATTCCGCTTTGTCAATGTAATTCGGCGAAGTTGACTTTACACCGAATCAAAATATCCAGCTCAACGTCGGTGAACCCACACTTTTGCCGTATACTTCCTCCCACTCTTCAAAACATGCATAATCTTCCGTCCAATAAAATCCTCCCCTCCACTCTCGACGGACAAGTCCAATAAGTTGGCACTTCATAGGTACCTAGGTAAGGTAGTTGTTATTCTTAGGTAGGCACCTAGTTTGTAAAGTCCACGCACATGATATGACATGATACGATACCAAAGTCCCAGCCTCAAACCATTCCGCCCCCACAGATCGCCTCAAAGGTACTGTTAGGTCTTCAACTTGATGTGAGTGTACAGCAGATCGAACAAATAAACAGAATCTTCGGTCTATCAAGTCTTTGATTCTTGGTGGTATTAACTAAAAAGGAGAAAATAAAAAAGAGACACATTCCTACGGCGATGCCCCCAAGAAAGCTGGGTTGGACGCCTAATGTGTGGTTATCCTGATCGGCCATCCATTCGCTCCCACCAAATAGTCAACCCCTCTCTGGTATAAGTCAATGGGATATTTATTTACCGTAAGTGAAATGCACCCCCCGTCTTCGCCAGCACAAGGTAAAACGCCACTAGGCGATGCATCATTAAAAAGGGACATGTAAGTATACTGTATCTCGCCAGCGTTCTCTCTCCATATTTTACCCCTCCCTCCTTTTCGGACTCGTGATGCCAAGTTTCATACTCAGTTCCATTTGAACTGATGCGTGCATCTCTAGCCATGGGTCTTCACCCTGTTTCTCCTAGACCCCGTTTGTGTGAGGGCTTTGTGGCTCAGCGTCGCTCCTATTCTGTTGTGTAGCTTCTGGGTTCTCTTGCTGGTTATTTTGATCGTTGATCAACTTCTCCATGAAGGAGATGTAGTCGTACTGTGGCATTCCTCTGTCCTCCGACATGTCTGGCCCACTGTGAGGCGGCATGATCTCGATAAGTTGATCAATCACTTCGTCGGGCACCAAGCTGTGTCGTAAATCCATCTCTGTCACGTATGGCTTTCCGTCTGCCACCTCGCGGAACGACTGGAAGACTTGTTCTGCCGTGTTCTGATCTTCTGTCACATCCACCATGAACCGGATAAACTGTTCAAACGTTACATAGTCGCGCCCACCAGATGTTTCGAGGAAGTAGTCGTGCATTTCGTCCTCTGAGAACACAAGCCCCAGTGACGCAAGCGCCGCACTGAATTCAAGTTCCTGTAAAGAGTTTGTGTCGTCACGATCGAAGTGACGGAAAACACTCTCAAACTCTTCCAGCTGGATAGGGGTCAGGTTTGTCATGCTTCGCGCTACCATCTGGTTCTCCAAAAACGCAAGTTTCTTCTGCACCGAAGTCTTAACAAGACCAAGCTCGTATGACAGTTCGTCGTATGTGTAGGTAGTAAAGTCGTTCTCCTCAATATTGGCCTCTTGGCACTTCTGATCCAGCTCTGAAATTTTGTCCAAGTATTGGTCTAAGGGAGAAAGGCTCTCACTCAGCTTCCTTACATGGTGCAGTTGGTCTTCCACGTCACCGTCAAGGCCAGAGATGGCCAACTGCATGGTATTGAGAGCCATTGCAAAATCATTTGCCTTGTCAGCAAAAGATTTGCGGAGGGCGTTTTTGATGCTATAACAATGTTAATCGAAGAAAAGGAAGGGGGGGAGGGGGGGGGCATCTATTGAGGATAGTCGACTTACTCTCGGATTGTCTCGTTTATTAGCTGGGCACGTGTCATCTCATTTGATGCTAACTCTGCCCACTTCCTCTCGAGAGCATCCAGGCTCAACTCCGCTGGTGGATCGTATGGACGTAGGCGATAAGTCCCCAATTTGGTCTTGATGTTTCCGAGCAACGTTGCCAGGTCACTCTTCTCGGCGACCCATTGTCTTTTTTTACCCTTTTTGTACTCAAAGAACTGGTTTGATTGAGCTTTGGCATCGGCGTATGTTCCTTCAAACGTAGCCTGCTTCCACACCTCGATCTGCTCTTGAATGGCTTGTAAGAGCGCCCGCATCCGCCTTTCGTAGGCACTTTGCATCTCCCATGCCCCTTGCATGTTGTTGACAAACTTTTCAACGCGACGTCCAGCGTTCTCGACCTTTTCCATTTGCGAGAATGCATGGAACCAATATGCAATATAAGTCATCAGAGATCGTTCATCGGGCTTGGCCACGTCGCACACATCTTCCACATCAAGCAGCTTAGGGATGCCAATCTCCTTATGTGCGATATCGAATGCTAGTTGCATGTTGCCTCGATGATCCTTCTTGTCCAGGGCGTCATAGTCGATAAGGTCGGGTCGGTGGATATCCAATAGAGCACAGAACGCCAAACCATCGTTCCAGCTGGCGCTAAAGTCTCGCACCTCGACCTCGTCGTAACACGCCGTCTTCCGTTGACACCACAGCAGGAGACCCTCCTTTGCTGACATGCCCTCCTCGTTAATGTCACTGATGGTAAATCGAAGAATCAAGGTCCAGATGAGACCAAGAACAATCTTTTGGTTACCATCAACCACATCCTCAGCACCGATGTTGGTCATTTGAATACCCCTGGACTTGACGAAGTCAAGTGCCAGGTTCGCATTCTCAAATTTTTGTACTCGAAGCTTGGGTTTCGAGGCATAACGACCGAGCGACTCGTGTGAAAGACATTCGAGGAGATGAATCAGCATGACCTATGCATAGATGTCAGTGACAGTTAGGGGAAAATTATACAGAAAGTAAACTTACACCATCGCTAAGATCTTTCACGAGGTCTTTAACCTCAAGGTTTCGAGCCTCGATCTTCGTGTTGAGCCTGGAAGAAGGATGTGAGCATGCTGCAGGCCAGGAATTTAAAACATAAATACCATTTTGTGAAGGTCTTTTGTTGGACCGTGACCCATCTTTGCTGCTCTGCAAAAGCCATTCTCGTCAACTTCTGGTCATGTGGAGGCTCAACAGCAGCAAGAGCGTCTGCAGGAGTAGATGCGCTGGGCGGGAACCTTCGCGAATTGGTTGACTGTTTCCCTATCTGAAGACCTAGAAGAAATGTTGTATTTGTAGTTCTGCTGCCTGACCGTTGCACTCGAGCCGCATGCAGTTGTGACTTGTCCCGCCTTGTGCGCGGGGTCGGTGAAGATGGTGGAGAGTATGAGAGCGAACAAGAATCCTGTGTGAATGCTCGACGACGGGCGATGAATCCAGTTACGGGCGAGGAGAGCCTGTTGGACAAAGAGCGAGGAGTGTGTGGGGAGGCCTCGAATACGGAAATTGGGGTAATAGGAAGTGACTCGAATGAAGCGGTAGATATCCTTGAGGATGAAGATGAAGCCGAGGCCGAGACGGTGGAGATGTACGATAAGCGAGATGATGCCGATATTGAAGCAGATGGAGAATTGTGGAAATGTTGATGATGCTGATTAGAATTGTTGTTGATGCTGAGATCTGTCTGGTAGACGTAGTAGCCTTCTTTGTTCTCTTGGTAGCGATGCTGCTGGTTGCAGTCGCAGTCGTCGCTAGATTGGGCATCCGCGTGTAAACAAAAATTGGGGAACTTCTCGTTGCCCTCCACGTTGCCGGGTTGCAGTGGAAGCATCCCCTGAAAGGCTTGGGCGGAATCCTTCGTAGCGTCCATTTTTAGCTGGTTTTCAGCGCTTGCTAAGAGCGGCTAGTTGATGGACTGTTGATAGACCGGGGTTTTATCGATTTGAATTGATGTTGAATATCCGTTCCCTGCAAGAAATTTCGACCTGAAATTTTATATGGCCGCACACGGGAATTACAAAGATAGGTAATTAGCTATAAATAAGTTGCACATCCAAATGGTGAGGCGGTCGTTAGGTTTATACCTGGGCGTTGGGTTCTATCAGTTTGATCCCAAGCGCATCCTACACCTCCTCGCATGAGAACATACCGTGGATTTCCCCTGGATACATCCTCGAGACAATGCACAGCGTGGTATAAATAGACTTGGGACTAATTTGGTACATTTTTTTGTCTTCTCCTTTTTGTTCGCTGGTTCATTTGAAACAACTAGCATTCCTTTGAGTGATGCCGACTCCTTCTATCTTGAAGAGCGAGGGGTTCAGATACTCGATACTTAAGCCGTGGAATTTAGAGAGTTCATTAGTTTTGACCAGGGTGGACCCTGCGCGAGGAACGAAACGCTGGGGTCGATCAACCGGCTGTAAATCCCGATGCATGGCGCTGGGCTGTCTCAACTGCCTATCATTGGAGGTAGGTCAAACTAATAAGCTTCAATGTGTGTACAGAGTAAACGGCCAGGTAAACATTTATTAGCTAACGTCTTGTGAAACCTTCTGTGAAACCCTGGTATTATGCAACCATAGACCCAGCTTAGTACATTATAGTTGAGTTGATAGTTGCAGCTTCAGCCGAATTTGAAGCAGAAATTGGTAGCAATATCTAGTGCTTTGCATCAATTGAAGAACTCGGACAGTTTTGAATAATCTCATGTCCTATCGACGATACCACTCCGCGTCGTCTCCGGGGCTCATCGTGTTCGAACGCCTCCTAGCACCTGTAGAGATTCAAACAAATGGTAAGCATGACAAGGTTCACAGAAGTAATCAGCATCAGACGAAGACTGTTTAGATCTTCCACACTCAAACAAGCTCGCATGAACATATATCGTGACACTCGAATAAATGAGATATCGTATAATAGAGAAGTACGACGTTTCATAGGACGGAAATCCCCCAGCTTCTATTAATGATTGGCTGCGATTTTGTTTGCCATGAAACATATACCCTGTACAACAGATAGATCGTCAACAACAGGCTGCTTTTAACGAACGACAAAATGAACAGCTTTGAGTATATGGTCAACAATGGCTGGGAATCTGTACAAAGAGCCATGTAGTTGGCGACCTGGCTGTCTATAAAACAATCTAATCAAATGATCTGACGCTGGAAGTCGTAGCTGCAGTTTCTCGTGCTATTATACACCCATCAACATCATGAAGACCATCACGTCCTCCTTTAGATTACTGGCATGATAGAAACAGATTTGAGCAAACGATTTATAGATGTCTCAATAAGTTCTTATACACAATATATCATACAACCACATCCCGTGCATACTTTCGTCTATTTCTTCTTCTGTCCGAGAATCTTGGCATGCTGTCTTCCAGAGGGTTTTCCAGACTGATTTGCTCGTGACCGTAGAGTATATCTCTCCTTCTTCCATGCAAACACCATTTGATCCACACTACCCATGTCGTGCTTGGGCTTCCGCATGTACGTGAGGCGTGCTCGTCGTGCCCTCTTGGGCCGTCGCCAGATAATATCAATACCCGTCACAGTCGGGCTGTAGATCTTGAACCACATCTCCACACCAACCTTCATCATCTGTCCACGCAGTTGGATCGCTGTATCCTGGCCTCGGCGTCGGATTTGTAGAAAAGCGCCGGCAAAAGGCTCTCCACCCTTTGTCGTCACCATCAGAACGTCGCCAACCTTAGCGCTGTCGGCGTGCTCCCTTGAGAACAGTCGTGTGCGTGCGCCAGTCGGATCGAGTTTCGCGAGTTGCTTTTGCAGAAGTGCGGGCATGGGATCGGGGTGGGTGGTACGAATACTCGGGACTCGAGGGTAGATATGGAATTTGCTAACCTTCGTGAGATCCGCCCCTGGTCTAAATGTCAGCGATATTGTTTTCACAATATTGCAGATCGTAAAGATACATACGTTGTTCAGCGCTGAAGGCGTTCGGTATCGGCTTGGGCACAGGCTCAACGGCTGTTGAAGAAACACTCCTTTCGAAAGTCCTCAGGAGTCTTGTCCGTCTAAGAGCAGACTTGAGACAGCCAACTGGCCGTCCCACGCTGGCGACGTTCATCGTAAATTGACTTGTCGTGAATTATACAAGTAATTGAGGTTGAGACAGGCGCTAGAATTTCTGGAGCTCCTCCCAATGCTTCCAATTCCCGTTGCTGATTGGCTCGGCCGACAGTTCATCCGGTACCTTTTTCCATGGAATGCATAATACCTTCCTATGAAACTACCTACCTAGGAGTTGCCCAAGCCTTGAAACCTCAAAAGTTATCACAGCACTGTGGGACAGTCAGCACAATGCTAAACAGATCTTTAATTTCGGGCTTGAGGCCTGTAGCCAACCTACGGACGTCGCTTGCACTGCCTGCTATCCAGTACAGACGCTTTAGTATATCTCCTGCACGCAGTAAGTGAAGTAAAAAAAAAGTGCAACACTTATAATACAGGAAGTTGACAATCGACAAGGTTTTAGTGCGGTGTTCGCCGAGACCAAAAATGCCCAGTTGAATGAAATTCTCACAGAAATTCAAGAGAAGATCATTCTCCCTGCCCACCTACCCGAGAAAGCGAGGAAGCTTGTCTTCAACCCTGACAAGAGCGACTACATCCAGCGAAATCCCGTCACCATCGAAGTCGATGGGCTCGAGCACACTTTCAAGACCATTGATCGATTCCACGATGTCCCAAACTCGATGAAGGCTTTTGCAGAGGCAACAAAGCTCATGAAAACCAAGGAGGAATGGGATAACATAAGCACGCTGCTTGCTGGCTATAAGAAAGCTGGAATTAAACTCAAACGCTGGCATGCCGACGCCGTGACTCGACGTGCAGGCCATCATGGGCAGCCGTATGTCGTCATTGAATGCGCCCAGCAAGTTGAAAAGACCGGACTAAGTCTACAGCGCGACTGCACTGTCATCCTGCTGTTGGCATCTATTAACCGCAAGATCACATCCCCGAAAGGAGAGGAGAGCGAGACGCAACAGGCTCTGAAGTGGAATAAAATGGTCTGGGATATCATTCAGCGCCCTGAGCACCTTGCTAAGAACACACCCCCTCGCCGTCAGCCTCATATGAACCCCGTTATCCGGGGTATGATTCTCTTCTCCCAAGCATCTGCAGTCAAGGAGCAGCAGGCAGCCGGAGCTCCAGTGGATGATTTGATCCGAGAGCTTCGAGACAATGTTGAGTTTATCACCAGCGCATGGGCAGAACGAGAATCCGATGACTTAACAAGCTCACCCTACCTGAATCCTATCAACAGCCGAGTCAAGCCCAACAGCGATAACTACGTACCCGAAAGGCAACACGTTTCTCCTTTCAACTACATTTTGACTCTTACCCAGAACATAAGGGCGATAGAACTAGCACAGGAGATCATCGGTGAAGATGCCAAAGACCTGCAGCCTATCCACGATCTTATGGAAAAACACATCGAAGATTTTGTTATGATGAGTCCCGATAAGAACTCTTTTGGCTGGGACATGGCGTATGAGAGAGTCACAGGCCGACAGCCCAGCTGGAAACAACATTTGCCTGCTGCGCCCCGCCCTAGGAACGACGTAGAGGATAACTAGTCCAAAATATTCATGCACTTTGAGAAGACCCGGAGTCTACATGAGGACGATCTGTCACGGATAGCGGAGGAATTATCATGTACAATATATGTATCAACGAGATTCTTTTTATATGGGATGCCTCTAAGGCAAAACGATGTACTTCTCCAGGTGCTTGGGAATAGCTCCCAGAAGCTTCTTGTCTGTCAACCACTTGCGCGAGAACAGTCGATCAGCGTATCTGTAAGCACCGTCGCAGAGGACAGTGACGACAGTATTACCTTTGCCCAGCTTCTCAGCAACCTCCTTGGCAGCTACAACGTTGAGAGAGGAGCTGGCACCGAGGTACAACCCCTCCTCATCTAAGCATCGGTAGACCATTTCAATGCTCTTCTCGTCTGAGATGTGCAGCGAACCGTCCACCAGGCCAATATCAGGCTGGAGATTGTCGGTGATGCGACCTTGTCCAATACCCTCGGTGATACTGGAACCCGTGCGCTCGGTAAGCTTGCCGCCAGAGGATACATAAGAATGAAGCACACTGCCTGGAGGGTCGGCAAGGAAACTCTTGACCCGGCCATCAGAGACGTCCTTCAGATACCTTGTAATGCCGGCTAGGGTACCAGCAGTTCCAGTGGCGCATGTGAAAGCGTCAATCTTTCCATCTGTCTGCGCCCAGATCTCAGGGCCCGTCGTCTCGATATGCGCACGGCGATTGGCTGTGTTGTCGAATTGGTTCGTCCAAACGGCGTTGTCGAGTCGCTCAGCGTGTCGACGGGCCTGATGGTTGTAGTTCTCAGGATTATCGAACGCGACAGCAGGGACCGGGTAGACCTCAGCGCCGAGGAGCCGCAAAAGATCGATCTTGCCCTGAGACTGGGTGTTTGGCATGTATATAACGAGCTTATAGCCGCGCGAACGACAGACGTGAGCGAGGCCGATACCGGTGTTTCCTGCGGTCCCTTCGACAACAGTGCCTCCAGGTTTGAGGAGACCGCGCTCCTCGGCGTCCTTAACAACGTACAGCGCTGCGCGGTCCTTGACGGAACCACCAGGATTCATGAACTCTGCCTTGCCGAGGATCTCACAGCCAGTCTCCTCGGAGAGGTGGTTCAGACGGATGAGAGGGGTATTTCCAATAGCTATTATAGGTCAGATTCCCTTTCAAGGACCGGGATTACATTGATGATAGGCGCACCTCCTGTCAAACCTCTCGAGACACCTTGAGCTCGAGACACATTGAGGGTATGAGAGCTAGGAGCTGCCGCAGCTTTGGCCGCGGCATC